GCCTTTTCCCCCCCCCCCCCCCCTCCCCCCGATGGACCGCCCTCCTCCCCCCGCCCTCTCGGATCCCCCATCTCCCCAAACAGGCCTCCGGCCTCCCCACCCTCCACCCCCACCGCCTCTTCCTCAATCGGGTCCCTCCCCCGCTTCCTCCCCCGCCCCCCCGGGACGCCCCCCCCTTCCCGCCCCCCGCCGCCCCCCCCGCCGCCTCCCCCCCCCCCGTCCCGCGCCCCGAGCCCGGGCGCCTCCTCCCCGCACCCTGCGCACAGCACCCCCCCGTTCGCGGAGAGCACCCCGTCTTCTTCATGCAGCCCCGGGCTGTCCCGTCCATAAGCGTGCCGGAGGTAGAAGGTCGACAGCACCCCCATGCGGGCCGCCGTCTCCACCGAGTCGGCCCTGGGCCCCCGAGGACCCCTTGGCTTGCCCTTGTCGGAGCGCGGCTTCTTCTTGCTGGTGGCCTCGAGCTGCGCCGCGTCGGCTAGGATCCCCTTCCTCAGCAGATCGCCGTGACAGGACTCAATCCTACCCGCGCATAGGAGCACAAGATCCGTGCCGTCTCGAACCTTCTGTGCCAGTTCGCGAAGCGCCGCCGACCGCGTCCTCCAGAGTCGATCTCGCGTTTCGCGGGAGTGTGCGGGGACGAGTCCGTCTGTTCCAGCCACATCCGCTCCCTGGGGTCGAGCGGCGTGACTGCTGCTGGCGCAGAAGCACACGCCCCTCCCTCTGTCGCGACGGGCAGGTGCCCCCCAAAGAGGGTCTTCCCGATCGGGGCCGGAACCAGCCTCCTCTTCGCGGCGGCAGCATACTTTCCGCCCCTGAGCGTCTCCAGCTGCCCTGCGAGCTCGCGCGGGAACGCAGCCCTCGCCGCCCTCCGCTCCAGGATCAGCGCTACTTGCACGAGCTGGTCCTCCTTCGCACGGATGTCTCCCCCTCGGAGGTCCGGCAGTGGCGATGCGCCGGTCGGGTGGTGCGAGCTTTCGTCGGCGTCGCGGCTGGAGGCCGGGGAGGTCGACTGGAGCTCGCTCTCCTGTGTGGTTGGCAGGCGAGGGTGCGTCGCCAGCTCCCGCCGCTCGAGCGGGGTCCGGTCGTTGGCGTGGTGGCCGGGGCGTTCGCCACCGTTGGCCTGCTGCTCCCTCGCCGCGCCCTCCTCCGCACCGCGACTTCAGGGGTGCCGCCCATGCTTCGGGCGGCCCCGTCATTGAGCGGGGGGGGGGGCGGTGTGGTGTGCAGTTCCGGCCGTGGGTCGGACTGCTCGCTGTCATGTACTCCGTAAGGTTCTGGTTGGTGCTCTGGCAGGTCGGGTGGGGCAGCCGCGCCGGTGTTGTCGCGCGGTCGGCCGGCGGTTGGCGCAAACGCCACCCGCCGGCCAGTCGGGGGCGGCTCTGGCTGAGGGCTGGGGAAGGCTTTCGCAGATGCGTCAGCAGTCCCGTCAACCTCAGTCAGAGCCGCCGCCGTTCAGGCTCCCCCTGCGCCGGCTCCTCCGGCGCCCGCGTTGTCGAGCCGGTCGTCCTTGAGTCCGCCCGAGCCGTTGGGCTGGTAGGATGTATAGTCCGCCTCGACGTTTCCCGTCGACGCGCTCCTCAGGGCTCCCGCCGATTGGGAACCCACGGGCGATGCCGCAGCCCATGCCGCTGCATCTAACCCTTGGGGTTGGTCATGCCCGTGCGCCCCCTGGGGGTGCGGCTCGGGCCGGCTCGGGTCGTTAGACCCGGAAGTTGCGTTGCTCATCACACCGTCGTCCCCCGACGATGCGCTTCCCCAGGACCCCTCTCGCAAGAGGCCAACAGGAGGAGGCGCGTCCCCTGACATGGGCGCTGCTCTCTCCACTGGAGGGTGCATTTCCACCCGCGGACTCGCTCCGTGCGAACTCGCTGTATGGGTGGTTTTGTTCATAGACATGGGCCCGCGCGCCGCGCGCAGGCCGATTGCAGGGCTCTCCCACAACCACGCTGACCCGGATCCCAGGACCAACGACAGAGGCGAAACGACACTCGGCCCGCCGACACAATTCGACCACTGGACACTATATCTAAATGCGGCGCAGGCCAATCTCAAGTTCCCTTCTCGATTCTTCGCGGGTTTCGGTGCAGTCACCTTCCCCCGCGACAGGTGTCAGAGAGCGTTCAAGCCGTTGTGCAGCTCCTAAGAGAATGGTCCGGTTTGGGCCGAAACCAAATGGAGGAATCAGCGGTCCGTCGGCACGAGCTCTCGGTGAATGCTTTGGGTTCTTCGGGCTAGGGTTAGGGTTAGGGTTAGGGTTAGGGTTAGGGTTGGTTGTCGTCGCGCGCTCTCGATATCTGGCTAAGACAGAGACACAGCAGCAGAGGCGACCCAAGCAACACACCAGAGCGCGGACGGGGGCGCGAGCCGCCATCTTGGACTGTGAGGTGAGTATTTGCAACCGGGAGCTCGCCGCCGCCCCACCGCCGCGGCCGCCCTCCCGGTGGCAGATAATAGCCCAAGTCGAAGAGTGCGCCCCACCCTCTGTATCTGGGCGGCAGGCGGGACTAGAGTGGCACGCTGGTGCGCGGATGGGGGCGCGAGCCGCCATATTGGACTGTGAGGTGAGTATTTGCAACCGGGAGCTCGCCGCCGCCCCTACACCGCCGCGGCTGCCCTCCCGGTGGCAGATAATAGCCCAAGTCGAAGAGTGCGCCCCGCCCTCGGTATCTGGGCGGCAGGCGGGGCTAGAGTGGCACGCTGGTGCGCGGATGGGGGCGCGAGCCGCCATCTTAGACTGTGAGGCGAGTATTTGCAACCGGGAGCTCGCGCTCGCCGCCGCCCCTACACCGCCGCCGCCGCCCTCCCGGTGGCAGATAATAGCCCAAGACCCAAGTCGCAAAGAGTGCGCCCCAAACCTCTGGTCTGCGCTACAACTAGTACAACGCAGAAAATGCGAGTGTGCGGACACACGGATTTTAAGTCTGAGAAGCTTCTGGCGACACGTTCCCCAGACTTCCTTAAGACAATTCCTCTCCATAGTCGCTGAGGCGGTAGCCCTCTTTTGCGTATGCAGCTACGGCACTTTGCCGCGCCCGTTTGTTGAGCCGGTCGTTGAGCCGCCACAGCAGCCACGCGCCGTGAATCTAAAGGGGAGGCGAAAGTGATGAGCGTGTGCAGGAGAAGAGTGTCGAGAGGCTGCGCGGCACGCCTGGCGGTTCGCGTCATACGTGCCAACCCCGGAAAGAGCGCTGCGCTCGCCTCGGAACTTCGGGCGGATGGTGAAGAAGCAAACCGCGCGGTGGGCGGCGCCCGGCGCCAGCGACATTGTCCCCGGCCCGCGGTGCACCAGCGTAGGCATGGCGACGATGCCGTCGCCCACGCGGTTGTCCAGCGGGCCGCACGGGCGCATTTTGCTGATGAGCGCGGCCGGGTCGTCGATGAGCTGCGAGGGGAAGAACGAACGGGAGATAGCTACATGTGAGGGCCTCTACTTGCAGCTTCGGGGAGGGGCGGCGACCTCGGAGAAGGCAGACTGCAGCCTGTCGCAAAAAAGCTCCTCGACCTGCGTGTCGTCGCAGCTGGGGGCACCGCAGACCTCGCCGCAGGCCTCGCAGTTGAAATCCTTGGCACAGTGCTCGCGGCGGCGAGCAGCGTAGTCCGTGAGGATGCACCACCGACCGCACTTGATGCACTCAGCTCTCAGCGGCGGGTCGAAGGGATACTCGACGTCGGACCGGTACGGCACGCACTCGGTCGGTGCCTGCGGCCGAGGTGAGTCAAAGCTGTGGCCGCAAGCCTGGTGATCAAGGGGAGGTGCGGCCGCGCCTGGCCAGAGTTCAATTGCACGATGACGAAGAACTCGCGATTGCACCTAGAGGGAACGATGCAAACGGAATGCAATTCGGACGTCAACAACCGAATTGCAGACATCCAAAAATTGCCGGGCGCACGTGTCGTCGGCATGTGGGATCTGCGGCGGGCTTCCCGGAGCCACGTAAAGCACCTGCGAGGGTCGGTGCACGCCTCAAGGCAAGGGGTGAGAGGTGGGCCCAGAAGAACTGCGGGCGCAGAACCTTGACGGAGTCCTTTGGCACTGTGTACTCTTCGACACCGTACACGGCGAGCACGGCCTGGCTGATGACGTCCGAGCGCTCTGCTGCGTCCAGAACGAGCCGCAGCTCAGGGCCCGTCACTGTGAGCTGCAACGCGTTGCTGATCTCAACCGCGCTGGCGCGGTCGAGATTGCGAAGCTTTGTGCAAGTGGCAGCCGGGAATAATGCCGGCGCTTCGACAAAGCCATGTTGCTCAATGGTGATGGCCATGTCGTTGCGCAATTGCTGCTGCAGAACCGGCGCAGGAGGAGAAGCTGCAGGCTGCTGGGCCAGATTCGCACGCGGGCGCTTTGTTGAGGGTTTTGATGTCCGCGCAGCAGACGTCGCGGCGTCGCTCCTGCCGCGCGCACGCCCCTCACAGGAGGTGCCCCCTCGCACTTCGCGAATTGCTCTGTTCCCCGGTGGGGGGTGCGGTGCGCTGTCGATCTTTATCCAGCGCGGGTCGACGCGGTCCTCGACTTCGCCGTCGTCATATTCGACTTTGAAAAATCCGTCGTCGAAGGCCGCGACGATGACGCCGCGGTACGTCTTAGGGCATCGTTCGCGACCATACTGAGTCGCGCCAAAACGGGCGCGCACCCTCGAGCCACAGGCTAACATGCTGAGCGCGGCGGTCAACGAAAAGAAAAGTGAGGGCTCCCGCGCCCCTACCCCAGGCAGCCAGGCGCGGGTACCCTACCCGCCAAAAACGGAACCTGGCGCGAGCTGTGTCCTCAGGATGCTGAAAAACACTGTCGGGCTTGCGAAGCGAAGCCTCAAGGAACGCGACGCCAAGCTGCCTGGTGAGGAGCTGTGTAGGCACGCAGTCGTCAGTGGGAGCGAGCGGGAGGTCAAGAAGCTCTTTGTCGGGCTCTCCGAGGAGGAGTGCGTGCATCTTATCGCGCGCAAGGGGCCTAGCCAAACCGGCTCGACGCTCCTTCACCTGGCGGCCGGTCACTTCGAAACGACCGTCTCCGACGACCGCTGTATAGCGGTGCTAAAACTGCTGCTAGACCAGCTCAAGCCCAGCCTGGTTCAGCTGCACGGTGCCTTGCCCGCCTCCGCTCGTGCCTCCGCTCGTTCGCCTCCCCTTCTGAACCTAACCTACCTTCGTCGCAGAGATCGTCGACAATGACAAGGACACCGCCCTGCACGAGGCTGTGCGCGACGAGCGCCCCGCGATTGTCGACATGCTCCTCGAGAAGGCCGCCGGGAGCAGCAGCGCCCCCGCCCTGCTCGTGAATGCGGGCAACAAAAGGGGGGAGAATGCGCTGATGACCGCCACCATTTTGGCCGCCAGCGTTGCCGCGCTCTCGGACTCCGCCTTGAACCTGGCCGTGGACATTGCCAAGAAGCTTGCGGAGGTGCCGGGCGCCAACTTGTCGGCGGTCGACAGCTTCGGCTGGGACTGCCTCTTCCACATCATCCCCGAGCAGAAGGGCGAGGAGGGTTCCATCAGCAGCCGCAGGATCGCGGTCCTAGGTGGCCTTGCCGAGACGCTCTTTGAGATGATTCGGACGAGTGGCGGGACGAGGCCGGTGGACATGCGCGACAAGCTGGGCTACACGTCTCTCTTTTGGATCTGCGCCGCGGGGATCGACGCTTATGAGCCCCTGGTGCACGCGTTCGTCCGCCGCGGAGCCGATCCGAACGCTGTTGTGGCGCCGCCAGACGAGTATCCGGCCGGTTTTACGTCTCCGCTCAACGCTGCGCGAGACTACTCCGAGCGCCCGCACAACCGCCGCGACATGACCGACATCTTGTCTCTGCTCAATAAGGAGCCGGCAGAGCGCGCTGCGCTGCCTCTTGTGCAGCGGGGCTCGCGGCTGCAGCGGGGCTCGCAGCAGCCACCGCAGCCGCCGGCGCCTCCGCTGCGGGCTGGGGCAGAGCCGCCCGAGGCTGGGACCGGCGCTGGGACCGGCGGCGCTGGCCCTAGCAGCGATTCGGCCGCGGGCCGCGATTCGGCTCGCGGCCGAAAGAGGCGTCACCCGCCCGAGGCGTTCCCGCGCGACGAGCTCCAGGCGTTGTGGGCGGTCATCGAGGCGCCGACGGTCGATCTGAACCGCGTCAAATTCTCCGAGCAGAAGTGCTACAAGCACTGCGAGCTGCAGATCGCCAGCCCGCAGGTGAACGCCGCGAAAGACAACGTTCAGCGCGCCTGGAAAGCAACGCAGCGACGACCGCCCGTGGACCGCAAGCCCAAGTTCCAAATCATTCGCTGCTACGGAGTCTCTGGCGGAGGCTCTGCGATCAAGCCGCCGTACACAGACAACTCCCCGTTCTATTGCCTGCACAAGAACGTGGAGAACTTCTTCGACTCCCCGTTTTTTGGTGAGCCATGTGCCCTCCCTCTCCCCGTGACTGCCTCCCGCAATCCTCACGTTACCGCCTTCGACTGATAGATTTCCCGGGCACGCAGCTTAAGTGCGTGCCTGACTCGGACGAGCGCGAGGACTTGCGCGGGCAGGCATCCGTTCACGCGACGAAGGACTTTGCCGCGTGGGACATCATCGGGGCGTACAGTGGCCGACTCATGACCGAGTACGAGCACGTGCACTCCAACTCCTCTTTCCTCGTGAAGCAGAAGACCGACGACTACATTTTCCAGCTGACGACGAAAGTCGTGGTCGAAGGGCAAGAGCAGCGGCTCGTGATAAGCCCCTATCCTTTTTACGGCAACGAGTCCATGGCAATCAACGACGGGGCCATCGACAAGAAGAAGGTCAACGTCGGCTGGATGGAGGTGCTGTCCGACGGCTGGCCCTACGTCTTTGTCGTCGCGCTCAGGGGCGGTGTCAGAAACCGCCACGAGCTCCTTTTGGACTACAGCAGCACGAGGTACTGGGAGGCCCGGGATCAGTCGGCGTTCGAGGACGCGGGCCCTCTGAAGGCGCTTCGGGACCCGGCTTTGGTCCGCGCGCGCGAGCGCCTCGCGCAAATGCGACGCGCCTCGGATTAGTGTAGTATGACAGGTCGCGGTTTGTGGATGTGGTACGATTACGCGGTCTAGCGGTATGTTGTACGATGCCTCTGCATGTAAATTTGTCGTGCCACTTCGCGCCAGAATTCTGCTCTGAGAGGGCTCGGGTGTCGGGATCCCCGCCTACTTGCTACTTCTTTCTTACCCGGGCACCTAAAAGAATTTCCATTACCGCGGCTCTATTGACGCCTCGCACGCACGCGGTCCTGGCTGGGCGTCCCCGTACGCGGCGCTCGCCTCGCTGCAAGCCCCGAAAGAAGGCGGCGACGCCAAGGGGTGGAGGGCCCTCCCGCCTCCCCCCACCTCCTCAGAGGGTGCTGAGCAGCTTGTCCTGCACCGACCCGCCCGTCGCGGCGCCGCGCGAGTCGAGCGGCTGCCCGTCCACCTGCACGAGGGCGGCGCGAGCGGTCGAGCTGCGTCGGCGGGGCGCTTGCGGGTTGTGGGCGCGGTGTGGCCGTGACGGTGGCGGCGAGCGTGGGGATCGCGGCTGTGAGAGTGGAGGGGGCTCGCCTCGAAGACGCCGGCCGCATAGTGGGCCATGCAGAAGGGGGCGCTGGAGTAGGGCGCGCCCGGCAGCTGCTCTGCGGCGCCGTGCCGCCAGCGCAGCGGCAGCCAGAGGTAGCCGCGGTGGTCGCGCCGGAAGTGAATCTCGACGGCGCCGCGGACCGACTTGCGCAGCGCCCGCTGCGCCTTCCGGTGCGCCGCCACCCACCGGCCGAGCCGGCCGGACGAGCGGCCCAGCCGCACCTCGGTGAGGGCCTGTGCGCGGGCGGGCGGCGGGTAGGCGGAGGGCGGCGGGCGGGCGACGGAGCCCTCCGGAGAGAGCGCCCTGCAGCGCGGCGAGCCCGGCGTGGGGTGTGCGCCATGCGCCTCCTACAGTTGCGCAGCGGGCGCACGCCTCTGGACCGGCGCCTCATGCAGTGGGCTCGGGGCTAGCTGCCGCCCTCCCGCGCCTCGCTCCCCTCGCCGGCGCGCTCGCAGCAGACGACGAGGCGCGAGGTTGCGCCGACGGCCTGCATGACCGCCATCGTGAGGAGCGCAAAGTGGTCGTCGCTCACGGCGTTGGCGGTCCCGCCGAGCAGCTCCGCCGCGGTGACGGAGCCGAGCTGCGGCAGCAGCAGCGAGCCGGGCGCAGCGCCGGCCCTCGGGCTCGAGGCGTTGCCCCCAGCCGTGGCGGCGGCGGCGGCGGCGCGCGCGCGCGAGGCGACGACCGCCGCCTCGAGCCACGCGCGAGGCCCGAAGGAGGAGGGGATCGCGTACCCGTCGAGCTTCATCAGCTTGAGCAGCTCCTTGACCACGTCGTCCGACACCATCAGAGGAGGGATGTCGTACCCGAGCAGCGCCGTCTCGACCAGCGACGCGATCTCGCCGTGCGCCGCCCACGCCCCCCGCGGGGCACCTGCAGCGCCGCCGCCGCCGCTGCCGCCGGACGCGTCGGCGGCGGCGTCGGCGGCGGCGGCGGTGTCGGCGATGTCGGCGGAAGCGGTGTCAGCGGCGTCAGCGGCGGCGGTGTCGGTGGTGGCGGCGGAAACGGTGTCGGCGTCGCCGGTGGCAGCAGCGGCGTCCGCGTCCACGTCGGCGCCATCCTCCGCGGCGGCGCCTCCGGCTCCTCCGGAAGCGGCGGCGGGCTCCGGCGGGTCGGCGCCACCGACGAGGCCGCGTAGGAAGAGAGAGCGGAGAGTGGCGACGGCGTCCTGGGCGAGGGAGAGGAGGCGCCACGACTGCGCCGCCTCGAGGAGCGCCGCGCGGCTGCCCTCGCGCAGCTCCTCGGGCGCGAGCTCCGCCAGCTCGAGCAGCTCGCCTACACGCGGAGAGGGGCGACGAGGTGTCGCCTGAGGCTCGCGAGCCCGGAGAGAAGAAGAGGCAGCCCGCCGAGCACGGCCTCGTCGCCGACCGACGTGTTGAGCTCGTGCTGCGAGAGGAGCTCGACAGCGAGGCCTGCGGCGGGGGGGGGGGGGCGTCCGCTCACTCGGCTGGAGCGGCGGCGGTGGGACCGGCTCCTCAAAGGCCGAGACCGACGCTCTCCACGCGCGCAGACTCGTTGAGCGCGGCGGCGGCGGCGAGCTCTGCCCCCTCGACCCCCTCCTTTGGGACGGCGATGCGGAGGCGCAGCTCCTCGACGGAGCGCGCGATCGACTCGTTGAGCAGCACGGAGCGCGTGCCTGGGGACGGCTCCGAGAAGCTTCGGGAAAGGGGGGGGATGGGAGCGCCGAGCGGCGTGGGGCGGCTGCCGTGGATGGCGGCGAGCAGCTCGGCGCGCAAGGGCCCGCCGAGGGAGAGGGAGGCGGGGACGAGCTCCTGGGGCGAGGGAGATGCGAGGGGGCGAGAGGCTGTGAGAGGGTGTGAGGGGAGGGGTGTGAGGGGAGGGGCGAGGAGCGGCGAGGGGGGCGGCGGGGCGCGAGCTTCCTGCAGCACCTCGGCGTCGCTCATCTCGAGCGGGACCGAAAAGGCAGCGAGAGTCCCCTTGAGGCCTACAGAAGGGGGGCACGCCCCGCCGGGCAGGTCACACCGCGGCACCGCGAGGGGCCTTCCCCCCTTGCCCAGGCCCACCCTCGCGCATCTCCTCCTCGAGGCGCTCAGCACTCGGCTCCCCGCCCTCCTCCGCGCCGCCGCCTCCCTCCGCGCCGCCGCCGCCCTCCTCCTCGCCGCCCGAGAGCGGCTCCGCCTCCCCCTGCGCTGACACGGCGACCGCCCGCGGCTGCACCTCACCGTCCGGCCACTCCTCCTCCTCCTCGACTCCGCTCGCCGCCGCGGCGCCGCCCTCCGCCGCCGCCGCCGCCGCCTCGCCGGCCGAGCCGCGCGCGCGTACTGCTGCGAGTGCGGCGATGGCGTCGCCGAGGGCGGCGAGCGCCTCGTGCGCCTTCGTGTGGGACTCGCGGTGCGCGACCACCGTCTCGAGCATCTTGTCGCGAGGCATGAGCGAGGCGAGCTCGTGGCGAGGCAGCTCGCGCAGCGCCGCCTTGAGGACCGCCGCGTCGGAGGGCTCGTTCTTGAAGTCGACCTGCCGGGCGAAGGCGCGTCGTCGGGAGGGCGGGGAGGCTGTGCGGGCGAGAGGCGGTGCGGGCTCCGCCTCGCCTCGCGCGACGCGCGGGCCGGCGCCGGGAGAGGGGTGTGCGAGGCGTGGTGTGGAGGGGCGGGGGAGCGCCTGCGAGAGGACGTCTGCGAGGTCTAGGAGGTGTCTAGGAAGTGTCTCGGAAGTGTCTAGAGAGCGCCTGCGAGAGGACGTCTGCCAGGTCGCGTTCGAGCTCGGCGAGGAGCTGGTCGTTGGAGGAGGGCTTGGCGCCACCCCGCTTCTCGCGCACCGTGTTGAAGAGCCGCGCCTTGTGGTGCTGCTGCCCCCAAAAGTCCGCCGTCGCCTGCCACACCTTCAGCACCTGCGCAGCACCGAGCGCTCGCGGCGCGCCGCCCTCGCCGCCGGCCGCCACAGAAACGTTGGACGAGTTTGCGAGCGCGCCGAAAAAGTCGGCGCCGCGGTCGACCCGCAGCGAGGCGGCGAGCAGCTGCGACTGCGCGCCGAGCGCGCGGCTGTGCGGCAGCGGCGCCGCGCCGAGGTCGCAGCCGGCGGCGGCGAGGGCGGCGGCGGCGGCGAGGGCGGCGGCGGCGGCGGCGCGCAAGGCACCGTGGGGGAGGGTCGCGTGCTGGGGCGAGCCCTCGGGCGCCTTGGCGGGGAGAAGCTCCGCGAGGTGCACCACCAACGCCGCGCCGACTCCGGCGAGGGCGCGGACGGCGGCGGCGGGGCCGGCGGCGAGACCGAGGGCGCCGACGGCGAGCCAGGGCGAGAGGTCGAGGGGCAAGCGGTCCGAGTGCGGCCGCGGCAGGTACGAGCACAGCGTGCCGAAGAAGAAGGCCACCGCGGTGAGCAGGAACGGCTGCAGCAGCTCGGCAGGCCGCGCGACCGCCGCGCCGACCATCGCCGCCAGCCCGCAGAGCAGCCAGCCGGGGAGGTGGAGGGCGTCGAGGACGGGCCACGGCGCACCCTTGGTGCCGGCGGCGGCCGCCTCGAGCCGCGAGCCGTAGTGCGAGATGAGCACCAGCCGCAGCAGCCAGAGGGGAGTGAAGCCGTCCGCAAAGCATGCCGCAGTGAACGGCCGCCACACCTCGTAGTGCGGCGGCAGCGCGCGGCTCGACAGCGCCAGGTCAGCCGGAGACAGCCGCTGCGTCTGCACCAGCGACGCGGTGAGCACACACAGCGCGAGGTAGGCCTTGACGATCGACATTGCGAGACTTCTAAAAGGCGAGGTTGCCCGTGCCGAGCGCGTCGAGCGCCACTGCCAGCGAAAAAAATACGCAGTGCGTGCGCCCCACACGTCACGCGAGCGCAGGAGAGTTTGCGGCAGGGCAGTACCGTGTACTAGCCGGAGGCATCGCGCCGAAAACCCCGCGCATTCCGCCCCAACAGAGGCTGCAGGAGGCAGATGGCCAATAGCTGTCGTTTAGCGACCATCGTTACGAAATGTAGCGTCACCGGGAGGCGGGAGCTCTCCAAGCTGTCTTGGGTGGTTAAGCGATCGCCACCGCCACGGCCACGTCGTCCGACTCGTCCCATCCCTCCCTTGGGTTGTCTGTTTTCTTTCTTTCTTTTTCGTCCGACTCGCCGCGCCAGCGGTGCGGGCACGCTTGCACATTGTTGAGAGAGAGAGAGATTTTTAGCAATACCAAACAAATCTAACACTCACACGTCATTTGGGGCCTGGAGCCCTGTTCACGCGCGCGCGAGACGTGCAGACAGGGTTGCCAGGTGAGAGCGAATGGCGCGGTTCACGCCTCGCACAACAGAGAGAGAGATGCGCTCTGCATGGTGGGACATAAAAGAGAGCGAGTACTTGGGCGAGTAGGTTTGTTGTCATTGTTGTAGGACCAAAATAACGCACGACACTGGGCACAGGACTGGGCACGGGACTGGCGCGCACTGGCACTAACACAGGTGTTGAGAAGGCTTCGGGTGCGCGCCAGGCAGTCCACCTTCCCAGGCGAATTCTCTCCCGGTTCATGTGCTTATCACAGTAGCCCCGGGACGGGGGGGGGGGGGGGGACTCACCCGGGGGCTCACCAGGGCCCGGCCGTCCCCACACGAATGGGGGAGCTGAACGTTTCCGTAGGCGAAAGGATAAGACAAAATTTTAAACGAGCGCGTATCAGTGCGCGCCAGGCAGTCCACCTGCGCACGCGAATTCTTCTCCCGGTTCATATGGTGAGTGAGTAAAACTGGTTCATGGGTGAGATGAGGTCGATGCGCCGTCTTCTGCTATTCGTGCTTGCGGGGCTCGCGGCCGCCGAGAGCGGCCCGACTCTCATCGCTGGCGACGCCCTCGGCTCGGACTCGGTCAAGCACGCCAGCATCGACCTCGACGGGCACTCGACGGAGGCGGCTGAGGGCACCTCCTTTTTAGCACGCGGCGAATCGAGCCCGCATCACCCGCCGAACGCTTCCGCGTCGCTCGGCGGCGACGCGTGCGCGGAGGCGGCCCACAAGGAGGCGTGCATCATGAATGTGTGCACGTGCGCGACCAGCGAGTCTAGGGACGCAAACGTGCGCTGCAAGGACAACAAGTTGAGCGAGTTCTCGCTCGAGGGCGATTCGGCGCACGCGTGGGACGAGGGCATCGCCCTCCACGCCGGCGTGCTCGAGGCCCCGCTCGGTTCCGACCGCAACTTTCTCTGCCCGCTGGCGGAGGCGCTGAGCGCCTCTGGCACCGGCAGCGCCGACGGTGGCGGGACTTTGGGGCAGTCACGGCCGACAATCGAGATCGCGCAGGGCGAGAAGCTGCTCCGGACCGGCGCGAGCGACTTCGTGCGCGCCAACGTCACCAAGAGCATCACCTTGCTGACGGTGATCCAGCGCGGCCCGCTCCAATCCGAGCACAAGTTTTGCGCGGTGGGCGCGGGTCCGTCGCAAGAGAGCGCGGCCGACGGCGCCATCCCTGCGGTGGCCGTGCTGCCCCTCGCCTACGAGTGCGACGCGGCGGAGGCTCGTGCGGACGCGAAGTTTGCGACTGGCAACGCCGCCACTCCTGGCCCTCCCTCCCTCCGCGAGTGGTGGTGGTGCTGCGCCTCTGCGGCGGTGCTGCTCCTCCAAGCGTGTAACGCCTGCTGGCTGCTGCTGGGGCAGCGGGCGCCGCGCTCCGGTGCGGCCTCGGGGCAGCGGGCCAGCAAGGCGGTCCGTCCTCGGCTGAGCAGGAGTCACGGCTTGGTGGCCTTGCTGCTGCTGCTCTCCGCCTTCCCCGTGGCTCGGGCTGGCTCGGGCGAGGCTGGCTCGGGCGAAGCTGGGTCCGGGAGTTGGGAGCTGTCGACTCCGCCTCCATCTCCGCCTCCTGCGCCGCCCCCCCTCTCCGAGCAGCTCGGCTGCACTTTTGATTTGGACAATTGCGGCTGGAACGACACCGCGCCGGACGGGTACCCTTGGACCCGCACGAGCGGCGGCACGCCATCGTCAAACACAGGCCCGAGCGGCGACCACACCACCGGCTCGGGCTCCTACCTCTTCACCGAGGCCTCGTCTGGCCGCTCCAACAAGCTGCACCAGCTCGAGAGCCCGCTCTTCTCGCTCCAGCGGGACGCCACCCTCTCCTTCTTCTACCACATGTACGACATTACTGACTTGGCCATGGGCACCCTCTCCGTCGAGGCGCACGTGGACGGCAGCGGATGGTCGACGCTCTGGAGCCTAACTGGCAACCAGGGTAACGCCTGGCTCGACGCGTCGGTCGTCCTACCCGCATTGACGACGCAGGTGCGCCTCAACGGTGAGACGGGGCCTGACTGGAGCTCGGACATGGCGCTGGACGACGTCTCCTTCTCGCGGTCTGCGCCGCCCTCCCCGCCGCCATTGGCGCCGTCGCCGCCGCCGTCGCCGCCGCAGCTGCCGCCACCGTCGCCGCCCCCGCTCGTCCCCGGCGAGGCCCTCGCCCGCACGCCTCAAGACATCCGGGACGAGATCACCAAGGCCGTGGACCAGGGCCGCAACGCGATCGTCTACGTCCCGCCGGGCGCCCGCCTTGCCTTTAGCAGCTACGTCGAGTGCAGCGGCGACATGCACCTCTCGGTCCGGAGCAGCGGGGAGGGCGCGACGCTCGACGGCAAGAAGAGCTCCCGCATGTTCTCCATCTCGAGCGGCTGCAGCCTCTACCTGGAGGCGCTGCACTTTGTGGACGGGCGTGGTGTTTATGGCGGTGCGGTGTTCGCTTATGGCGCTGGCGACATTGCGATCAAGGACGTGTCCTTCACGGGCTGCGAGGCCAGCGAGGTGCGCCGCCCCTCTCTCCCACGCACCGCTCGGCCCCGCAAGCCCTCGCCACACAGGAATGCTGGGCTTGCCCGCCCTCTCTCGCTTGCCTGACGCCCTCCCCGCTCATGCCTGCCCGCCCCAAACTCGCGCAGCACGGAGGAGGTATGTACGTGTACGAAAGCGGCGACGTCTCGCTGGACGGCGCCAGCTTCAGCGAGTGCACGGCTGCTGCATATGTGCGTCTCCCACGGCCACACACGCTCGCCTCCCCCGCACACGCACGCATCGCGGCGCCGGAGGCGGGAGAAGAAGGCAGAGGGAGATGGGGTGGCAAACGGGGCAAGGGCCGCTCTGGGCCTACCCGCCCTCTCTCGCTCTCTGACGCCCTCCCCGCTCATGCCTGCCCGCCCCAACTCGCGCAGTACGGAGGAGGTTTGTACGTGTGGGGCAGCGGCGACGTCTCGCTGGAAGGCGCCAGCTTCAGCGAGTGCACGTCTGGCAGGGTGCGTACGCCCGCACACGCTCGCCTCCCCGGCACACGCACGCTCGCACGCCATCGCCGCAGCCAGAAGCGGGAGGCGAAGGCAGAGGGACAGGGGGTGGGCGAAGGGGGCCACGCCTTCCCCAAAGGACCGCTCAGGGCTTGCCCGCCCCCTCTCGCTCACTGGCGCCCTCGCCGCTGATGCCTGCCCGCCCCAACTCGCGCAGTACGGAGGAGGTATGTATGTGTCCGGCAGCGGCGACGTCTCGCTGGAGGGCGCCGGCTTCAGCGAGTGCACGTCCGGCTATGTGCGTCTCCCACGCCCGCACACGCTCGCCTCCCCCGCACACACACGCTCGCACGCCATCGCCGCGCCGGAAGCGGGAGACGAAGGCAGAGGGGCATGGGGTGGCGAAGCCGGCACGCTTTCCCCAAAGGGTCGCTCAGGGCTTGCCCGCCCTCTCTCGCTCTCTGACGCCCTCCCCGTTCATGCCTGCCCGCCCCAACTCGCGCAGTACGGAGGAGGTATGGTCGTGTCCAACAGCGGCGACGTCTCGCTGGAAGGCGCCAGCTTCAGCGAGTGCACGATCACACAAGCGGTGCCGCGCGCCCCCTCCACAAGAGGGTGCACAGACTGAAACGGGGGAGACCAGACTGTGTTCTTTTGTAGGCTCTTTATCTCGCTGGCATCGACCGCTTAGCTCTCACCAACTCGCAGTTTGTCGACATCGTTGCGAGCCAAACCCCCGCCGCACTCTTCTACTCCTCCCGCATCGCTGGCTCCGACTCGATCCTCCGCAACACGACCTTCTTCGGCAACTCTGCGCCGGGACACATCACAATCCTCGCCGCCTCGCCTCTAACGTGGGACTGCCCGCTCGGCTCTTGGATGCCGAACGTCGGCCAGCTCTTTGGCGACCTGTCCGGCTGCAACAGGCTCTGCGCCGAGGGTCACTACGGGAACGCGTCGGACCACTTCACCACCGACTGCAGCGGCCCCTGCTGGCTCGGGCATTTCTGCCCCGAGGGATCCGTCCTCCCACAGAAGTGCCCCGCCGGCACGCACATGCCCAACGAGCGGGCGGCGAGCATTTCGGACTGCTTACCCTGCGCCTCCGGCCAATACCAGCCAGAGAGCGGCCATGAGGAGTGCTTGCCTTGCGCCGCGGGCTCCTTCTCCCCCATTGTCGGCAGCGCCGCCTGCGAAGCCTGCCCGAAGGGCGGCGTCTGCGAGGATGCGGGCGCCGCCTCTCGCCTTGTCTGGCAGCCTTGCCTTGCGGGAAGCTTCAACCCGAATAGAGGCTCCAGCTCGAGCGCGGCGTGCGAGCTGTGCCCCATCGGCACGGCGAGCGCGTCACCAGGGGCGGAGAGCAGCGAGACGTGCTCGCCCTGTCAGCCCGGCCATTTCGCCGCCACGCCCGGCCTCTCCAAGTGCGAGCGCTGCTCCGCCGGATCCTACCAGAACGACACGGGCGCGACGGGCTGCCGCGACTGCGAGCAAGGCAGCTATTGCCCCGAGGGCGCGTCGGCGCCACTGCCGTGTGAGGCCGGCAGCTACTCGGACAAGACGAACCTTGACTCGGCGGGCGGCTGCGAGGGCTGCCCAGAGGGCCACGCTTGCACCACTGGCAGCGTGGCTCCCATGGCTTGCCGCGCCGGCACCTTCGCCGCCGGCTCTCGCAACGCCGAGTGCGAGCCGTGCAAGGCGGGATCCTACCAGAACGCCACCAGGGCTGCCGGGTGCGTCCCGTGCGGGCTTGGCAGCTTCTGCCCGCTCGGCGCGTCCCTCGAGCTGCCTGCGGCGTGCGAGCCGGGTACATACGCCAACGCCACTGATGACGACGGCCTGCCCGACTGCTTCGACTGCCCGGCGGGCTCGTCGTGCGGCGGTGGCGCGGCGCCGCCGGCAGAGTGCTCGCCGGGCTCCGTCGCCGCCACGCCTGGCCTCGCCAAGTGCGAGCGGTGTGAGCCTGGCACATCTTCCGGCGTCGGCAGCAGCGCCTGCAGCGAGTGTGCCGCAGGCACGTACGCCGCCAACCCCGGCCAGGGCCAGTGCGTCCCTTGCCCCCACCCCCTTAGTAGTGAGCGCGGCGCCGTCATCTGCTCCGTCTGCCAGAAGGACTTCTACCTGCTCCAGAGCGCCGACCCGGCCGACATCTTCTCGTCCCCGACCGACTACTGCAAACCTTGCCCGCCGAACGCCGTCTGCCCGGACAACACCACTCGCGAGGACATCATCGTCCCGCGCGGCTACTGGCGCGCCAGCTCCTCCAGCTCCGTGCTGACAATGTGCGGTACCTTCGGGGGCGATGATAAGGCCGGCTCGAAGCGGTGTGTTGGCGGCACCCAGTCTGGAACGGACGGCGTTGGATACTGCAACACGCTATTCAAAGGCCCCGAGTGCCAGCTGTGCGCGGATGAAAACCAGTACCTCGTCAACGGCGACAACTGTGTCGATTGCCCCACCCAGGGGCGCAAATTCCTGGGCCCCCTTCTTCTTGGGTTGGGCCTTTGCGTCGTAGTCGGCGTTGCGGCCTACCTCTACAAGAAGCGGAGCTGGCGCGAGCGGCGCTATATTGGACCGCCGCTTCGCCTCACCGACCGCATGGTCGCCTTGCACTCGCTGCTCGGCATGCAAGCAAAGCTCAAGCTTCTTCTCAGCTTCTACCAGGTTGTCGTTGTCATACCGACCATCTACGGGGTGACGCTCCCGCAGAGATACACAACGTGGCTCGACGGGATTACTGAGGTGATTTCTCCGTCCAACTGGATGCCCATACCCTGCGTGTCCTACACGCAACTGTTTTTGCCTTACGTCTTCACTCCACTGGGGCTGGCCCTTTCCCTCTTGCTCATGGGTGTTGGGATGGGCTTCTCGCAGTGGCGCGCTCTCCCAGCGCCGCGTCCGCCACCTCATCGGACTGTTGCCGCGGGTCTGCTCGAAGTCTTGCCCGCTACGCTGATCCTCATGTACTACTTTGTCCCGCCCATCAACGCCTATATCTTCCGCTTCTGGCGGTGCAAGCTCTACACAACCTCGAAGCCTGGCGAACCTCTCGAGCAATACCAGGTGATGGTGGAGCAACCTAGTATCCAGTGTGCCAGCGACGAACACGATTCGATCTTTCGCCGTTACATCATCGGGTCCATCGTCATCTGGCCAGTCGGCTCGATGGTGCTTTACTCGTCGCTGCTCGTCGCGTGCTACAAGCCGCTGCACGCACAGCTTCACACGGCGCTGACGCGGGCCAGCGCCTTCCTGCATCAGGATTACGAGACGCAGTGGTGCTGGTGGGAGGCCCTGGAGCTCGCACGCAGGCTGGTGCTGACAGGCGCGGTGACGGCGATCATCCCAGAAGAGCGCGCCTTCTTGCGCCTTGTGTTGGCGACGCTGATTTCCACACTGCACACCTGCGGCATCGCCCTCGTACGCCCCTTTAAGAGGGTCGAGGACGATGTGCTAGCGGTGGTGCGTCAGCCACACATACACACACGCGCGCGCCCCTCCAGCCCTGTCACAGTCACCATTTCCTGACTTCTGCAGGCGACGAGCCTGACGACGCTTCTCATATTTCTCACCGCCAACTGGATCTTCATCTTCGACGGCATTGACGAGCACTATTATGATGTTAGCCTTGCGAGAGCAGATCCGCTCGACGTGTTGGGCTTTGGCAAGCTGGACGGCATCGTCGCGGTCATGATATCGCTCGTTTTCAGCGTCCTTTTCCTCTTCATGATCGGAGCCGTCATCGCCGCCCGCCGTGTCGCCAAGATCCCCAAGATCCGCCTCGTCTCGACCAAGCAGCCCCCCGAGCTGAGCATCGTGCTCGGCCTCACGTGGCACCTCTTCAACAGCCACATCTGGTGAGTCATAGCTGTGGAGGGAGAAGAGGAACAGCAACCCGCCACAATATACCCGGCGGATTCCGATAGGTCGACCGGTCAAGACGCCGTCAAGGTCATCAAGGGTGAGCTCGAGCAGCTGCTGCCGGACATCAAAGTCTTTCTTGACGCGCGCACATGCTCAGCCGCTGCTTTAGCTACTCACAGCCCCTCTGACGCACCGCGGTGTGCTCTCAGGTAGATGATCTAAAGGATATCGGGGCGCTCGAGGAGTACATCCAGCGCTCGCAAGCCATCCTCTTCTTCCTCTCGCAGGGCTACTTCCGCTCCAAGGCTCGCCTCTTCCTCCCACCCCGCCTCTACCGCACCCTGGCCCAAGAATTCCCGCCTCTCCCGCGCCACAGAACTGCCTCCGAGAGGTCCGCTCGTCGCTCGAGAAGGACAAGCCGCTCGTCCTCGTCCAAGAAGCGGACCCTGCAAAGGGTGGCGGGACGCTCCAGGCGCTGCGCGACGAGTGCCCCGAGGACCTGCAGCCCGACATCTTTGACAAGGACTGGCCGCTCACGATCTGGTATCGCGTCGATGACTTTCAGCTCATCTCCCTCAAGATCATCGCCGAGGCGCCGCCCAGCCACGCGGTCAGCCGCTCCGCCGTTCTCTCTACCTCCGGACCACCCCACTTGAACGACCCTAGGCGGTGCTCCTCTGTTCGCCCAACTTTCTGGACAAGACCTCCCTCCCGCTCTGCGTGTCGGGCGAGCCCGAGAGCCAGTCGCTCGTCTTTTCCAAATCGTGCACGCTCTGGGCCTCGCCAGCCAACCCGGGCGCCGCAGAGCTGGCCTGCGAGCTTGCCAGGGCCTTTCCCGGCCTCACCGTCTCCACCGTTGCGGACGTTGGCTCTTCTGCATCAGCGCGCCCCTCCATGGCACTTCGCGGGTTGGCACGCCGAACGCGCCGCGCCGGCGATGTGACCCATATGCTTCTCTACCTCAATCAGAATACCTGGCTAGAGGACGACGGCGAGACCTTGGCCGAGCAGGTCAAGCAGGCGCGGGAAGACAAGCTGAAGATTGTCATGGCGCACGAGAACGACCCCGCGCTCGGCGGCTGCCAGTTCTCGAGGTTTTTCGAAGTCACGCCGCAGGAGCGGATGTCCAACAGTGGCGCCCGTCCCCCTCCCCCCACAACCCTCTCCTCCCAACGCCGCAGGAGCTCATCGCCGGCGGGCTCTACACGGACCTGGCAAAGTCGTGCTTCCCCGGGCGCCACCGCAAGGCGCGCGCCCTCTCTCCCACAGCTCGACTTTGCCTTTCTTGACGAGCAGGGGGTCGTCCCTGCCCGCAGGTGTCGCTCGTCCTTCTGGCAAAGAGCCTAGGCGCGAGCCCCGCTCGGTCGCGGGCGGACCTCCTCCTTTCGGGCAGCGCCGCAGAGGGCAGCACCAGCCTCGCGAAGCGCAGCTTTGGCGGCCTCAGCCGGTTTTTCGCCAAGATGAGCAGCCGCAGCTCTGCGGAGGCGCGCGACGTCTCTGGAGGCGAGGCGTCGTCGGTGCAGCGGCAGGTCTAATCGGTTGCGCGATGTCGTGCGCAAAACGTGCGGCGCGGCGATGGCCTGCAGCGGTGCGGCGCGGCGCGGCAACCACGGGACAATTCGCTCGCACGTGTGGGACGTATGTGCGCGGCATTTACATTGCGTCGCAGGGGGGGCGAGTCACGTGTGCACGTGCACGGGCAGTCCGGAAGGAGATAGATTATGTGCTTATCACAGTAGCCCCGGGACGGGGGGGGGGGCGGGCCTCACCCGGGGCTCACCGGGGCCCGGCCGTCCCCGCCCCCTCCCTCACCTGCCCCACCCCGGGGCCTCACTCGCGATGCGCCGTCCCGGGGGGGTAGCTCGCTGCCCGACCCAGGGGCACCACGGGCGGGCCACGCGCACGCGGCCCCGTACGCCTACCGCGCGCCCCCGGCCCGCGCCACGCCGCGGCACCACCCGCACACCGCCGAGGCGAGGGAGAGCGCCCGTGCGGCACCACCGCTCACACAGAACAATACTACAAATCAACTAAACGGGTGAGACCCCACTCTACTCTGCACAGACAGTCCGCACTGCTGCAAACGCACAAAGTCTCTAACATCTACCGAGGCGGACGCAAAAAGCGAGACGGATCGCATCACTTTGCCTGGGCCTGGAATCGCCGCCAGAGGCTCGCGAGAGATCCTCCTTGTCGCCGTCCTCATAGGTAATATCCCGTCTCCGGGTCGTAAGAGACGATATATCTCCGACGAAGGTGCCATGGCAGCCAAAGGTCTTCATCATCCGCTTTTGCCCACCAGGTCGGTCCGCTGCACCTTGCGTGGTGGGGAGCTGAGAGCTATCCCCCGCGCAATCGCAGCTTCATGTGCCCTGCTGAGGAGGTCCTGTCGCTCGTGTGCTCCTCTCTCCGCGTCTGCGATCGCCTAGCGTACAGTTTGAAGAGCGTTTGACCTGCGCCGCACGCGAATGCACTGAGAAACGTTCCGTCCCGACGTCCGCCGCCGCAAGGGTTCCGCCTTCGGAGGGTGTTTGGTATGTCTGGCAATGCCGTACATACTGTTTCGTCAGCTGTTTTCCGGCGGCGGATTACGGCATCCGCGAGTTTGAGCGCGCCAGCAGCGCCGCTGGGTTGAGGTTTGTCGAGCTCGAGGACATCAACCTAATAAATAAATAGAGCAGTCATCTCCAGGGAGAGATGGGCGACGCACACGAACACAGAGGGACAGTGCGCACCCCGCCCCGCTCGCAGGGCGTGCATCACACAGGTGGACTGTGTGACTCCTCGGGTTTCTGGGACTCAGAGGTGTGCTAGTCGCTATTCTCCGACAATTCCGACATATCTGACGGGCAGATCAACCTAGCGCACACAAAACAGAGGCCCTCTTTTTTCTACAACAAATGGCATGAAAGAACCGAGCAGGACGGGGCCGCTGTTGTTCGCGCCTCCCTGGGGGCCTCCACATGGACTTCCTCTCTTCTGTCGACGAACCGCCCTCGGCGCCCTCAACAAGTGCTGTCAGCAAGAAAATGCGCAAGGCTTCGTTGCAGGCCCAGGCGCTCCAGGAGCAGCTCTCGGCTCTGTCCAACGAGACGCTCGTGGACATCATGATGCGGAGCGTCTCCCACGGAACAGGTGGCGGTGGTGGCTCCATGTCGTGGCTACGTCAGCGGGCGGCAGAAGCCTTCGCCGCGCTGCCGGAGGCCGCCACCGCGGCTGCCGCAACCGCGGCGGCTGCCGTAAGCAGCACGATCGCCGCGGGCAGCTCAAGTGCAAACACGGTGGCGGAGGCCGCACCGTCCGGCGAGTCTGACGCCAAGCTGCTCTTCGAGGCGCGCCAGGCGCAGCACGCCGGCGAGAAGCACGCCTCGGGCGTGCGCGTCGGCCTGCGCGTCTTCCGTGGCACGCCCTCGCGCATCGAGGCGGGCAAGGTCATCGCCATCCCCGAGACTGCCGACGGCGACGGCTTCGTGGTCCGCTGGGCGACGGGCACCTACCCCAACGTGCGCTACACGGGGGCGCTCGAGACGCTCGGCATTGAAGCGCTGAAGGGTCTCAAGTGGCACAGTCCGCCCAAGCTACCGGCGGCGCCCGCGACCGGCTCGGGTGGAGTGGGAGGCTCGTCGTCGTCGTGGACGCTCGCCTTCGTGCGTGCGATGCTCGCCGATCTAGAGCGGCGCGAGCGCGAGGCTGTCGGCGAGCCGGGGATGGGCGTGATGGCATGCGTGCTGCTCACGCGGCCCGTCGTCGACGCCATCGACGCGCTCGCCGACTCGCACCCTGTGTTGAGCGGGCTCGATGACTCGTGGTCGATGCCTCGGCTCGGCCTCGTGCACGACCGCGCAACAGACACGGTCACCCTGCAGCAGCTGCTCGGCCGGCCTGTTGAGCAGGGCGGCAGCCATTTGCTCCCCGCCGCCGTCCACTTTCCTGCGAGCGCCGTCCACGTGTACGCACGCACCGCTCACGCGGGCGGCGCCCTCGAGCACCTGCCGCTGAGCGAGCGCAGCTCGCCGATGTGGGTCTTCCTTGCCGACGGCTTCCACGAGGCCAAGCGGCCCAAGGCGACGGGCGACGATGTCCACTGCTTCTCGCTGCTTACCCTCCACCGGGAGATGCGGGAGCCTCCCGCGGGCGACGGCGACACGGCTGCCCACGACGCGGCGCCGCAGGTGGTGCAACGCGTCGTCAACGTCTTCCGCCCGCCCACATCCTCGCTGCTCCTCGTCGCATGGGTCTGCCGCGAGCGTGCCCTCGGCGCGGACGTCGCCCAGCTCATCGCGCAGCGCCTGCTCACGCGCATCGCCGCGACGTCGCCTATGGTCGAGGACGGCTTGCGGCACAAGCAAGCCGGCTGGCTCAACGCGCGCGCCGCGCCGCGCGCCCCTCCGGTGCTGCCGGCAGCGCACGAGCGCAGCCACGTGGCCATCGAGCTGCCTCCCGCCGTACTCCGCTGCCTCTCCTCGCACCTGGAGACGCTGAACGAGCATCGAAAGACGGAGTTCCGCTACAACGTCGCCATCGAGATGGAGATTCACCTCAGTCCGCAAAGCAGACTTCGCATCACCCTGCGCCCCGGATGGCTTTACGATGGCCATACGAAGCAGGCTGGCCTCACCTACCTCCTGGACGCGGCGGATCCCGCGCGGCCGCGCGTGCGGTGGGCGACGGAGTTTGTCGAGGAGGAGCGCGCGCAGGAGTCCGGCACGCTCAGGGCGACTCTCGGCATCGCCAGCGACACCCACGGCTCCAGCGTCGCGGCGCTCCTACACTCGGCGCCCGCCCGCCTGGACAAGAAGCAGTGCGCGACCCTGTACTTGCCGACGGCTACGCCGACCAGCGGCCTGCGGGTCGCGCTGCTGCATGCGCCGATGGCCAACGGCGGCACGCTCCTCGCGCCGGTGTCAATGAAGGGGGCGTAATGAGCGTAAGAGAATCGCCTATCGATCAAGGGGCAACGATTACGACGACCGAACGTTCGTGTCGTCTGTCGAGTCCCTAACTCTCCGTAGCGTTCGAACTCCCAGAAAACTGGAAACAAAGGAATTTAACAAACCTTTCCCGGGGGAAATAACGAGGCGAGGGGAAAAAAACCGAGGAGCGGCGGCCTGCCGGAGGGTGCCCCTAATGTGAAACACCTCCCGGGGAGGCCAACTTTGAGTGGTTGTGCCGAGTACTGTTTAAGGGTTGTGGGGCTGCTGTGGGCGGTTTTGGGCGTCCCTGGGGCACCCTCTGGAAGGGTCTGGCCCGTTGCGCGTTGGTTCGGGGGGCGTCGCGTCTAGGGGGTGTATTCACACCTCGAAAATCGTTTCACAGAAGGGATCCCTAGCGATTTCTCGTTCTCATTTTTTCAACAGCGGATTTTCATTAGAACACCTCCTCCCCTCCCCTCCTCGGACCTCGCCCCACCCCCCCCTTCTCCCTCCTCCCATACCTGGGGCCTTCGTCGCACCAAACAAGAACACAACGCACCTAACCAGCGATCCCGAAAGATAAATCTGGTCCAGCCAGAGTCGGTGGGTGGCAGGTTAGTAAAAGAAAGAGAGAAAATGGCAAGGTGCAAACGGAAAAGAAAATCACAGGAAGCAAGCCGCGCGGGCTCCTGTCCTCTCACCTGTCCTCTCACTAAGATACTCTCGACGACGATGCCCAAGGGCAGCTCTGACGACGACGACGACAGATCCGACGACGAGGACGAGCGCGAGGGCGAGGGCAGCGACGACGACAGCGACAGCTCCTCCGCCGAGACGGACGAGCGGTGTGGCGAGCTGCTCGCGCAGCTGCAGCAGGGCTCGCTGACGTACGGCGCGGCGCTCGAGCTCATCGGGCTGCTCAAGGCGAGAGCGGACCTCCCGGGAGTGCGCCAGGCCCGCGAGGCGCTCGCGGCGGCCTACCCGCTCCCGGAGGCGGTCTGGCTCGAGTGGATCGAGGACGAGGCGCGGCTGGCGGCGGGCGACGAGGTGGACGAGGTGATCGAGCTGGCGGGGCGCGCGGTGCGGGACGGCCTGTACGTGGGCGTGTGGCTGCGGCTCGTCAGGCTCGTGGCGGAGCGGCACGCGCCGGGCCTCGTGAGCGCGCTCGACGCCGCGGCGGAGGGCGCGCTCGGCGGCGGAGGCGCGGCGGGCGGCGCCGGCGAGCCGGGCGAGCCGGGCGCGGGCGCGGCGCCCGAGGCGGGGCTGCGCGAGGTGCGCGCCGCCCTGGAGCGGGCCCTCACGGCGGCCAGCCTGCACCTGGCGGAGGGCGACCGCCTGTGGAGCGCGTACGAGGCGGTGGAGGGTGCGGCGCTGCGCTGCGCCGAGCGCGAGGGCGGCGCCGCGGCGGCGGAGCAGCGCGCGCGAGTGCGAGCGCTGTGGCGGCGGCGGCTGTCGGTGCCGCTCGTCGGGATGGAGGGCGCGATGGAGCGGTACCGCGCCTTCGAGGCGGCGGCGGCCCTCGCGGCGGGCGAGCCGGCCGCGGCGGCGGAGCGGGAGGTTGCGACTGCCGAGCGCGCGTACTCGGTCGCATGGAAGGCGGCGGGCGCGCGGAGGCAGCACGAGAGCAAGGTCGCGGCGGCGCGCGCGGCGCGCGGCGCGGTGGACCCGTGGGGCGGCGGCAGCGAGTGGGAGGCGTGGAGCGCGTACCTCGCCGCCGAGGCCGAGGGCGGCGACCCGTGGCGGACGAGGGCGTTGTTCGAGCGGATGCTGAGCCCGGACGAGTCTGCGTGGCGGCGGGCGGAGGAGGCGGCGGCGGCGGGGGAGGGGGGCGGCGGGGCCCTCCCTCCGTGCGCGAGGGCGGCTCTCTGGCGGCGCTACCTCCACTTCCTCGTCGCCAGCCTACCCTCGCCCTCGCTGCGGGTCGAGGCGACCGCGCGAGGCGTGCGCTGCTGCGCCACTTCCTAGACACCTCCTCGACACTTCCTAGACACTTCCTAGGCGACCGCGCGAGGTGTGCGCTGCTGCGCCGCCGACGCGCACCTGTGGGTGGCGAGGCTGCGCGCGCTGGAGGAGGCGGCGGCGCCGGCGGAGGAGGTGCGGGCGGCCTTCGAGGCGGCCCTCGGCGCGCCGCTCGCCCCGCCGCCCGCCGACCCCGCCGACCCCGCCGACAAGAGCCCGCCTCCGAGCGGCGGCCACGCGTGTGACCACCTCTGGCTCCTCCACTCCTACTCGCACTTCCAGCGCCGCCGCCTCGCCGCCGCCGCCGCCGCCGACCCCGCCGCCGCCGTCGCCGCCGCCGGCTCGGTGCGCGAGGCGCGCGACGCCGTCCTCGCGTATGAAGAGGCGTACCTGCCCAGGCTCGAGCCTGCGGGCGAGCTGCTCCGCTTCTGGGCGGACGCCGAGGAGGAGCGCGGCGAGGCGGCGCAGGCGCGCGAGCTGATGGAGCGCGCCCTCGCCCGCTTCGGCGCCGACTCGGCCCTCTGGCTCCACCTCGCCGCGATTGAGCGCCGCCTCGAGGAGCGGGCCGCCGCCGAGGGCGGCGCCGCCGGCAGCGCCGCGCCGGGCGGCGACGCGCCGTACGAGCGGTGCCGCAAGGTGTTTCGGCGCGCCGTGACGGTGGTGCACTCGCCAGAGCACGCGGCGGCGCTGCACGCGGCCTGGCTCTCCCTCGAGGCCACACGCGGCACGCTGAGCACGCTGCGCGCCGCCGAGGAGCGCGTCGCCGCCCACCGCGCGCAGCTCGGCCGCCGGGGCGAGAAGGAGGCGGAGGCGGCCGAGGAGGCGGCCGAGGCGGCCGCCGCGGCGAGGGCGGCGCGCGAGCAGAAGCGCACCGCCGCGCGCAAGGAGAAGCGCGCCGCCACGAAGGCGGCGCGCGGCCCGGGTGACGACTCCTCGCAGCCGGCGGCTCCCGGCGCGCTGGACGCCGCCGCCGCCGCGCCACTGGCGGGCAAGCGGAGCGCTGGCGCGGCGGGGCTGGCGCAGCAGGGAGGCGCGCAGCCCGCGTCGTCGGGCGGGGCCGCGGCCGGCCAGAGCAAGAAGCCGCGCGCTGCGCTCGTGCCGCGCGCCGCCGGGCGGGGGGGCGCGGGCGGCGGCGCGCTCATCCCGCGCGCCGCGCGTCCCGGCGGTCCGCCACGTGGCCGGTCGGCGAGGCCCGGGCTTGGCCAGGCGGCTGTTGCGCCGGCGGCGGAGAGCGCGCCGGCGGGGCCGGACCCGATGCTCTCGAACGACGCCTTCAGAGACTTGATGCTGAAGAAGGAGGAGCCCGAGGGATGAGGCTTGAGAGTGGCCGCCGTCTTCACTGAGAGTGCCCCTTGAAAGCAGCGGGTCTCTTGCGGGGGTAACAACGAGGGAGGGAGTAAGCCGCCAGAAGAAAGAAAGAAAACAGACAACGCAAACAGTTAAGACGCCAGGGCGAGAGCCACCGTGCCCTGCGCATGGAAATTCTTCTCACCCGCCTGACGCTCCCTGCGCCCTTCGGTCATACACACATATATGGCCTCTCCTCCCGTCCTCCCGCCCGGTGCTTCGGCCGGCGAGCAGCCGTGCCCTTCCATGTCGACCCTCCTCGCCTCGGACGACGTTGGCCCGTCGATGTTGTCCATCCCCGCCTTCCTCTCTCCCGCAGAGTGCGCCGCGTGGGTCAGCTGGGGCGAGACGTCTGGTTTTGAGCAGGAGAAGCACGCCCAGACGCGCTGGATCGCTCACCGCGACAATGGCCGGCTGGCAGTGCAGAGCGAGTCCATCGCAGCCGCGCTGTGGTCGCGCCTTGCGCCGCTCATGCCCGCCGAATCGACAAGGCGCGGCGCGGTGGCGTGTGGCTGCAATCCAAACATCCGCCTGTATCGCTACACGCCTGGTCAGCGCTTTGGACAGCACGTCGACCAGTCCAACGCGCTGCCGGGCGGTGAGCAGACGGAGTGGACTATGCTCGTCTACTTGAGTGGCGGGCCTGGACAGGAGGTGGTGGGCGGCGAGACCGCCTTCTACGACGGCGGCCGCCGCTCGGTCGTCGTCGATCCGCTCGCGGGCTCAGCCCTGCTGCACGCACACGGTTTGCGGACTCACCTCAGGCCCAGCCACTCGAGCACGCTCCCGATTCGGCGTCGACTCTCTCCGTGTAGGCGAGCGCTGCCTGACCCACGAGGCACTGGAGGTGCGGCGTGGCGTCAAGTACGTGCTCCGCTCCGACGTCGTCTTTGCGCCCTCGTCGGCAAGCCCAAACGCGGGCGCAGGGGCGGAGAAGGGGCGGGGAGGCCGGCGGGCAAAGCGCAGACCGCAGTAGCTGAGGCGCAGGGCAACGAATATGAAGAAGAATCTCTCTCTCGAATATGGAAAGCAAAGGGTTTAGATTACAAAAAAGCGGCTCATCGATTTCTTATTGGTAGGGTGCCCACAGGACCCAAAAGAAAATAGCTTCGCGGCTCAAAGGGACGCACCAGCGCGACGCACGTTGGCACGAGGCAAATCTGATGTGGCGGAGTTTTTCCAATATACGCAATAGGAGCATGAAGGCCTCTCTCTTTTCCGTAGTTCCCGCGTTGCGCGCGCGCGTTGGGGGGGGGGGACCGAGTGTGAGGGTACCTAGATGTTAAATACACAGGGTGGGGGTAGCAAATACACAAAATACACTGTGTTTTTGGCCTGTGAGCAAATACACAGCAAATACACAGCCAAATACACAGTCAGTGGTGGCGGTGCCGGTGGTTGGCAGACCAGGGAGTCACATGCACAAATGGTCAAGTCCCAATCCGAAATACCAAAAAGCTCAATTACCTGTCTTCAAGTGACCGACTCCCAAGGTCAAATGTTGGTCAAAGCTGCGAAAAATCAATGAAAACTCACGAAATACGGCAAATTTTCCTTCGCCTGCGGCGCGCTGGTAGGATCTAGTGGTCCCCATCGAGTGTGTATCCTGGCTTTGTGGGAGCAAATACACAAAATACACTGTGTTTTCAGCCCAAGTCCAAATACACAAAATACAGACTTAACATCTAGCGTGAGGGAGCGCGAGCGTGACACTACTGCACTTGGCGGTCGGACGTCGGAGGCCGACGACGACGCGCCTGCTTGGCAGGCCGAGAGCAGCAGCTTGGCAGGCCGACGAGACAGCGGCTGATCAGGCCTCGCCCGCTCGCAAGCCACCAAACCCACATGCCCCCCACACCCCAAAGAGCCGAACCCAGCGATGGTGAGTGCATTTGCCCCTGGCAATGGCGCAGGATCCCTGAGCCGTTCCGACGCGGCCGTGATAGCGGCTGAACGTGGTGAGGAGAAGGCGGTGCTGGCGTGGCTCGACAGCGGCGGGCGGGTCGACGCGACGTACGAGAGAGACGGCGTGAGCGGCCTCACGCTGCTGATGGGCGCCGCCTTGTACGGCCACGAGCGGCTGGTCGAGTTGCTGCTTCGGCGTGGCGCGAAGATCGACCTGCGGGACAGCGACGGCTACACCGCGCTGATGCTCGCCGCCGTCCGCGGCCACGAGCGGTTGGTCGAGCTGCTGCTGCGGCACGGCGCTGATGTCAACCTGCAGGACAGCAAAGGCGTCACCGCGCTGATGGCCGCCGCCGTCGAAGGCCATGAGCGGGTGGTCGAGCTGTTGATTCGGCACGGCGCTGAGATCAACCTGCAGAACAGCAAAGGCTACACCGTGCTGATGTTCGCTGCCTTCTTCAACCACCCCGCTGTCGTGCGGCGCTTGCTGCGGGCGGGCGCAGACACGGCGGCGCGCACCACGGGCGGCAAGACGGCGCTGCATTGGGCCAAGGAGAAGGGCCACGCCGAGTGCGCGCGCGCCCTCGAGGAGCACTCGTCGACTGCAGCAGAGGCTGAGGGGGAGACGGCGGTCGCAGAATCAGCCGAACAGGCCGCGGCGGCCGCACGCGAGGCGGCAGCGGCTGCGGAGGCGGCGGAGGCGCGCGACGCTGCCGAAGCGGCGCTGCGCGAGGTGGTTGAGGCGTGCGGCCGAGGCGACGCCGATCTCGAGGCGCTCAGGGCGGCGATCAACGCGAACACCCACGCCGCCGACGGCTCGGAGGCGCTGCGGGCGGCGCGGCGGCTGCGCGACGAGCTGGCGGAGCGAAAGACCCGCGAGGCCAGGGCGCTGAAGCGGCAGCGGCAGAAGAAGGAGAAGGCGGCGGCGGCGGCAGCGCGGGCGGCGGAGCGGGCGGCGGAGCAGGCGGAGGAGGCGCGGGCGGCTGCGGCGGCGCGAGTGGCGGAGGAAGCGGATCGGGTGGTAGCAGAGGCTGCGGCGGCGCGGGCGGCGGAGGCGGCGGAGGGGGCGTCGCGCGCAAGGGAGGAGGCAGAGGCGAGGGCAAGGGAGGAGGCGGCAAGGGAGAGGGAGGAGGCGAGGATGAGGGCGGAGGCGGAGGCGGCGGCGGAGGCGGCGGCGGAGGCGGCGGAGGCAGCGGCGGAGGCGGCAGCTGTAGAGGCGGCAGTGGCGGCTGTGGCGGCGGCGGAGGCTCAAGAGGCGGCGGCAGCGGAGGCGGCAGCGGAGGCAGTGGAGGCGGCGGCGAGCGTCGCTGCCCTCGCCGCCGCGGCCGCGCCGCCCGCCGCCGTCCCTCTCGACGAGCTCATCGCGGCAACCGAGGGCTTTGCCGAGGCGCGCAAGGTGGGCGAGGGAGGCTTTGGGCGCGTCTACCGCTGCGACGCGCTGCCGTCGCTTCCGCGCGTCGCTTGCGGGTTCGCCGTCAAGACGGCGCTGGTCGGTGTCGGCGCCCAAGGCCTCGCCGAGCTGCAGAGCGAGGTGCGCACGCTCAGCGCGGCGTGCCACCGGTCTTTGCTTCCTCTGCTCGGCGTCTGCTTGGCGCCGGCGAGAGCGTGCCTCGTCTACCCCCTCTGCCGCGGCGGCAGCCTCGAGGACCGCCTCTACCGCGCTCCAGCCGCGCTCCAGCGGCTCCACATGCTCGGCTTCGAGACGCCGCCTCCGCCGCTCTCCGCCGCCGCACGGCTCCGCGTGCTGCGCGACGCAGCGAGCGCGCTGCACTACTTGCACACGCTCTCGCCCATGATCCTGCACCGCGACGTCTCGGCGGGCAACGTCCTGCTCGACGAGCGCGGCAACGGCTACCTCGCCGACGTGGGCCTCGCGCGCGCGGCAGAGGCGACGGCCGGCAGCAGCCAGCAGGTGTCGCACCTGTCGACGCAGCGCCTCTTCGGCAAGCTTGGGTACATGGACCCGATCATTCCGCAGAGCGGGCAGGCGTCAGCGCTGACCGACGGCTATGCGTTCGGCATCACGCTGCTCGTCGCCCTGACCGGCCGCGGCGCCGTCGGCCTCCTCGACGAGTGCGACGATGCGCTTGAGGAGCCCGACACGGCGGAGAGCATCGCGGCGGCCGACGCGGGCTGGTCGGCGGCACAGGCCGAGGAGCTGATGCGGCTCGTGGTCGGGCTGGCATACGAGCGGAAGAAGAAGCAGATGCCGCTCGCAGACGCATTGCCGCGGCTGGAGGCGCTAGTCGAAGCGGCGGGGGAGGTGGAGGAGACGGCTGGGGCCGAGGAGCGCCAGTGTGACCTCTGCTACGACGCGCCGCGCTCGGTCCGCTTCGCGTGCGGCCACGCGCTGTACTGCGAGACATGTGCGCCGCGCGTGCTGGAGCGCGACAGCAACTGCCCGGCCTGCCGCCAGCCGGCGCTGCCCATCGCCGCAATTGGGCGGTTGGTGGCGGCGCAGACGACGTTTGTCCACCAGCCGCCCTTGCGCACCGTGCCCCAGGCTCAGCCCGTGGGCGCCACGGCAGCGGTCGGTAGGCGAGGGGGGAGAGGGGGGCGAGGGGGGCGTGGACGTGGCGGGCGGGGCGGGCGGGGCGCGGGGCGCGGCGGCTCTGCTTAGTGAGCTGTGTAGGGGTCCGCCCGCATGCTAAGTTACATCTGCACTTTCATGCACACGACACGACAGTCGACACGAGATCGCGCTTGACTCTGCACTCTGAAAAAAAAGCAGAGAGCTCGGCTGTACTTCCTGTGCGAGTGCTATGGTCGCCGCACGAGACACGGGGCTTCCGACTTGACGGGCGCATGGAGACTTGAGGTCGACCCTCTTGCCTCTACCACTGAGGATCTTCCGCGCACACCGCGGCGTTGTTCAATGTTGCTTGTTGGGGCGCGGGAGAGATCGCGAGAAACGAGATCACCATGCGGATGAGATTGCGGTACGCATGAGAATAATTTCACAACAGGACGGAACTAAGAATTTCAGGCCTTCATTCGTGGAGCTGTCACAGCGCCCCGACTAGCGCCCCGACCTCTCTCGCCGCTCGGCCTTCGTCCGTCGCCTCGCTCTCCCCGCCGCCCACGCCTCGCGCTCCTTCCTCACTCTCCGTCTCCCTCCCCGAAGAGGTAGGCCAGGACCGCGCCCGCTTGCGTCACGAAGATCGGCGGGAGCCTCTTATGCGGGCTAAAAGTCGGCCGTGAGTTCGTTGGCTCAAAATTTTCTTCTTGACTTCGCCTGCGGCGGCGGCGCCGGCGGCGCCGGCAGGCGTTGTCATCGATTCATACAAGTGGAGAAAAAAAACTTTTAAGCGCCCCATGACGACGTTCCCACCCGTCCGGACGCCTGCCGTCGGGACGGACGATCGCCTCACCTGGACTGCGCCGCGTCGCACGACGCAGGCGAGGTCACTGCAAACCAGCGCTCCCGCAGGGTTCACCTCTACCTCTCTGTCTCTCTGCTCCTCCCGCGTGGCACTCGCGTCCTCACTCGGCCTCAGCGCGCGACCGCGTGCGGCAGCACGTGCTCGCGCCACACGTCGGACAGCGCGCTCCAGTCCGGGCGCGCCTCGGCGCCGTCGGGCGGAGAGAGCGCGATCTGGTAGCCGATGCGCATGACCATCACCGCGTACTCGCGCGCCGCCGCGGGGAAGAGCGAATGGCTTGCCGGCGACCACGGCGCCGCCGCCCGCCGGATCAGCGCCGCCGCCTCGCCCTCGCCACCCGCGGCGCGCTGCAGCGGCGTCGGCTCGCCCTCGTGCAAGCTTGCGCCGCTGCGCAGCAGGGAGAGCGCGCGGGCGGCGGTGAGGCTCTCAAGGTGCGCGAGCGGCGTCCAGCCGCGGCTGGCGACCAGCCAGGCGGCGAGGTCGGCGTGGCCTCGGCTGTTTGCAATCTCCTCGGGCGTGCCGAAGGGCGTAGCGGCGCGGGAGGCGCCGTAGGAGGAGAGGAGCTTGGCGACCTCGATGTGGCCCTGGATGCACGCGATGAGCAGCGGCGTGGCGCCGTTCTGCGCAGCGTGTTCGACCGCCGCGCCAGCCTCGAGGAGCAGCCCGATGATCTCGAGGTGGCCGTTCTGGCACGCGATGAGCAGCGGCGTGGCGCCTTGGGTCTGGGCTTGGTCGACCGCCGCGCCGGTCTCGAGGAGCAACTGGACAATGTCGAGGTGGCCCTTCTTGCACGCGACGTACAGCGGCGTGACGCCGTTGTTGCGGGCTTGGTTGAGTGCCGCGCCGGCCTGCTGAAGCACTTGAGCGCACTCGAGGTGGCCCTTCTGGCACGCGATGAGCAGCGGCGTGGCGCCTTGGGTCTGGGCTTGGTCCTTCGCCGCGCCCGCCTCGAGGAGCAGCCGGACGATGTCGACGTGGCCGTAACGGCACGCGGCGTATAGCGGCGTGCGGCCTTCTGAATCTGCTTGGTTCACCGCAGCGCCGGCGTCGCGCAGCAGCCGGGCGACGTCGAGGTGGTCGTTATGGCACGCGGCGAGCAGCGGCGTGGCGCCGCTGTTCATGGCTTGGCCGACCGCTGCGCCAGCCTCGAGAAGCAGCCGGGCGATGTCGAGGTGGCCGTTATGGCACGCGATGAACAGCGGCGTGGCGCCATTGGCCTTGGCTTGTTCGACCGCCGCACCGGCCTCGAGGAGCAGCCGGGCGCACTCGAGGTGGCCCTTCTGGCACGCGATGTACAGCGGCGTGGCGCCGTCCTCATTGGCTTGATTGACTGCTGCGCTGGCCTCGAGGAGCAGCCGGGCGACCTCGGGGTGGCCCTTCAGGCACGCAGCGAACAGCGGCGTGGCGCCATTGGCCTTGGCTTGGTTGACTGCCGCACCGGCGTCGCGCAGCAGCCGGGCGATCTCGAGGTGGCCCTCCTGGCACGCGACGTGCAGCGGCGTGAAGCCATTGTCCGCGGCTTGGTTCACCGCCGCGCTGGCCTCGAGGAGCAGCCGGACGACGTCAAGGTGGCCCCGAGCGCACGCGACGATCAGCGGCGTGGCGCCGCTGTCCACGGCTTGGTTCATCGCTGCGCTGGCCTCGAGGAGCAGCCGGGCGCACTCGACGTGGCCCTCCTGGCACGCGATGTACAGCGCAGAGCGGCCGCCGCCGTCAGTCGCCCCGACGCTCGCGCCAGCCTCAAGCAGCAGCCGCACCGCCTCGGCCTGCCCGTGGCGCGCGGCCCAGGTCAGCAGCGTGTCCTGCTTCTCGGTGTCGAGCCGCGCGTCGAGCTGGGCCGCGAGCGACGTGCCGCGCGTCCGCCGGCCGGAGAGGTGGGCGTGCAGCGAGGCGAGGTCGGCGGCGGCGATGTCGGCGAGCAGCGTGGCGGGCGGGGTCGCGGCGGGCGCCATGTCACCGAGTCGAGCCGCGGCGGCAGACCCCATGCACAATAGGATAGGACGGGCAGTGTCTTCGCACGGCCAGCGGACGACTCTGTCGCGGCGCGGTTCGAAAAAGAATTCCCGAGTACTAGGCACCTCCCCGCGGCGCAACTCTGGCAGCGCCGCGGGCAGGGCGGCTCGCATAGCGCCCGCGCGCGCGCGTTCGAGCGAGCACACACACACACACACACACACACACACACACACACACACACACACACACACACACACACACACACACACACACACACACACACACACACACACACACAACACACACACACACACACACACTTCTACCTCCCCAGAAATCCCGAGGAGGCGCACAGCGTAGATATGTCTTGTGTTGCTGTGTGCTGCACGCCCTGCGAGCGGGGCGGGGTGCGCACTGTCCCTCTGTGTTCGTGCGTCGCCCTGGCGTCGCCCATCTCTCCTGGAGATGTCTGCTCTATTTATTTATTTATACTGTGTGTGTGTGTGTGATACTCACTCACACTCACTAGGCACGGGACTGGCGCGCACTGGCACTAACACAGGAAAAGAATTCTACATCCGCGTTGGTCTCGTGTCGAAATTCGTTCGCAGTGTTGAGCAATGTGCGTCGCAATGGGATGGCAATGCGTCAACTCTGGCTGAGGCGACCAGCCACTAGCGCTCCGATGGCGCACCCTGCCATTGCCGCGGCGAGTCGCGACTGCTGGAGCGACTGCAGAAAGAGCACCGCCGCCGAGGGGCCGCAGAAGATCTCATCGACGTCCCGCGTCGCCAGCCCCGCGCCGAACGCCAGCTCCGCCGCGCGCTCCTTCGTCTCCGCGCTCGCACTCTTGAGGCCAAGGGTGCCTTGCTCGTCGTCCGCAAACTTGCGAATCACCGCCAGCGCGCCGCCAGTCTCATAGTCGGCCTTCATGTGCTTCTGAACCATTGCGCGGTACATGGCATTGCTCTTGACAAACGTGCACGCGCCGGCAAGCTTGGTAGCGCCCTCGCGGGCGCGAGCCTCGTCGCAGCCGTCGTCCGTCGCGCCCTCCTCGGCGGGTAGCACCGGGCAGGTGTTTGGGCCTTCGTGATTCGCAAAAAAGAGAATGGCGCGCACCTCGATGGACTCGCGCGGCGGGGCGTCGGCGCGAGCAGTCGGGTCGCGCACGGCCGTGTGGAAGCAACACCTCCCGCTCTTGCTGCAGTCGCTGTCGTACTGCTTAAAGAGGAGCACTTCGTCCCGAACCATCTTGGGAAAGTAGAACCAGCGATGGCGGCCCGCGTTCCGCGAGGAGAGGCCGTATTGCAGCACGTCGTAGCCCACGCCCTTCAGATCGACGTGGACATAGTCGTCCGGCTTCACCAGCGAGCGCTCGTCGAGGACTGCCAAGTGGTCCTGCTCGATGGGCGAAGACGAGATGTTGCGCCAGGCGTTGATGTACACGAAGCGCCCGCTTCTGCACTCGGCAGGCTCGCCCTGCACAAAGTGCCGCCACAGCGTCTCGGCGTGTGGGCCGCTCGAGTCGGTATGGATCCCGTGCGCGTATCCTTGCACCGAGGTCGACGTGTCGAACGAACCGTCCTTTGCAACGGACGCGTCGCTCTTCTCCGCGCAGCGTACTTGGTGGTGAAAGATTTTGGCGTGCGTGGCTCCAGTGTGCTTCTTCAGCAGATCCTGCATCTCGGCGTAGTAGTCGCTCACCACGCGCTCCGAGTAGAAGTCCTCGTTGTTCAGCGCCGTCGGAAACGGGACGAGCGCAAACGCTGACTCGTCAAGCGTGTGAGAGCTGGCCCGCGCGTCGTGGATGACCGTCTCGAGCGTCTGCGTCGACCCGGCGTAGGCTGGCGGGTCGTCGTCGGCTCGCGCGCGCAGGTAGGTGACGCGGCGCCGCGTGTCTGGCTCGTAGTGAGACAGCTGGGTAGTGAAAGTCATTGCTCGCTCAAGTGCGGAGCGGCTAGTAGAGGGGGGGGGGGGCGCGGGGAGAGACGGACGGACGCGTCCCAGTTTCCGTCCTTGCTATGTCTCCTTTCACTTGGCCACGTCGCCGGATCGGGAGCGATGAGGCCAAGGCGCAAGGGGTTTCGATTGAGCACTTGAGCACTTGATAGGGTCGATTCCGCATGGTACGGGACCCCTCCGATCGTCTCGCCCTCCCTCACTGGTGTGTTCATTTTGGGGGGGGTCATAACAAACACGGTACAGGATCGAGGTGCACGCTGCCGAGGCAGTGTCGTCCCCCCTCTCCCCGACGGCGATGGCGGTGTGACCGATCGAGCTACAAGAGGAACTTGTTCAGCAGGATCCGGGGAGGTCTGGCGCACTACCTCACTGGGCCTGACGAGACCGCCAGGACAGTAACCCGTCACCGCCTCGGATTATTTGTGTGGAGAGTCGAACCACTCCGGGATGAGCAAGCTCATCGTTCTGAGTTGTGCTGTCGATTCAATAGTAACCAGCATTCCACGGCGGGAGCAGTGTACGTACGCAAGAGTGGACTCTCAGTCCTTGAGCAACACAATACCAGAGCTGCAGCTGGCCACTGCTGCCACAGCCACAGGGTGGGGACCCACAGGCACACGTATCAGAGCACAGAGGGCCAGAAAAGAAAAGCGGTCCAGGAGTGCCACGCCGAAGGGGGCAACCCACTCGTTCTCCGAGGTGCGGGCGGGGGGCAGGGGACTGACACGCCAGCGAGAGAGTTGCCGCTGGCGGACAATCGAGGCATGCGGTGACATTGTGACGGTGCGCTGCTCTCTCGTCGCCCTCGCTCGCTGGCGCTCACTCAGCGACGCGCGGCGGCGCTCGCTTGCGCGGCCGCGAGCGGCTCAGGAGCGGGCGCGGCGCGTGTCCTTCTCGAGGCTCTTGCGCAGCTTGTCCACATCGGAGTGCGATGGCTCGAGGCACGCGTGCTTGCGGCAGATGATGCTCTCAGCGCCGAGGCCGCTCTGAGCGAGGAAGCGCAGGCGCCCCGGGTCCGCGTTCTTCCGGTTGCAGTGCTCCGACCAGCGGGCGCGCGGCGCGTGCTTCAGCGGCTTGAACAGAGACATGCGGATCCCGCCGAGCTTCTCGCCCTCGCTCGTCGTCAGCAGCTGGATGCGGACGTTCGGCTCGAAGGTGGGCGCCGCTCGGCCGCCCCTCCGGTGGTACATCTGGTCTCCGCCGAGGTGCCACGTCGACCGGTCGTCGGGGTTGAAGCGCGGGTCGAAGGCCTCGCGCAGGTTGGGCCAGATGGTGAAGACCGAGCCGTTGAGAAGCGCGAACTTCTCGAGGTGCGTGCCGTCGCGCCTCGCCGTCGCCAGGTTGCACTCCCACACGCGCTTCATCCCCTCGGTGTGCTGCGGGGTGGTCAGGCTGTACTTGGCGCACTTTTGCGCGATGTCGGCGAGCCAGTGCGTCGGGCCCCAGCGCTTGCGCGGGAGGCAGAGGCGCCCACGGTGTTGGTCGATCGGCAGGACGAGGAAGACGTTGCGCGTGTCGCGGTCGCCGCGCGGGCACCAGAAGCCGCGGAAGCCCGACTGGTCGCCGGCTTGCGCGAGCGCGTCCTTCCAGTCGCACGAGTGGTCGCACTCGATCTCACGGACGGTGACGGACTCGGCGGCGTTCTGCGCGTTGGAGAAGACAACCTCCTCGCTCTTGACGGTGACGGTGGTGGCGGCGAGCTGCTGCGCGGTGGCCGTGTCCTCCTTCTTGATCTTGGAGACGAAGGCCTTGAGCACCTCCAGCTGCGACGTCAGCGACACGAGCTGCAGCCGGTTGAGGAACTGCTTGACGGTGCCCGAGTTGATGACGAGGTCGTGCACGCCGTCGTCCAGCACCAGCTTGCCCTGCTCGAGAGCGGCTCCGCCCTCCTGCCTCCACTTGTTCTGCCTCAGCTCCGCGATGACCGAACTCAGCGCCTGCCCGCCAGCCTTGGTCTCGAGGTTGGTCCCGAGCCCGCCCGTCTCGCCGCGGCCGGCCATCTTGTCGCCCTTGGTGAGCGCGCCGAGCCCCTCCAGCTTGCGCGCGACCGCCGAGCCAGTGAGCGCCTCGCCCGCCGCCTCGCACGTGAGCAGCACGTACTCGGGCGGCAGGAGCTGGTTGGTGCGGTGGGTGCGGCCAAACTGCTGCACCACCTGGATCGGGGGCAGGGACGCGGGGCGTCGGGGCGGGGATGGAGGGGGGGCGGGAAGGGGCGGGACGGTGCGCGCCTTGGAGGCGGACCAGCCGAGCTCAGGCACGATGTGGACGCGCCGCCGCTGGTTGGCCTCGTTCTTGTCGGCGTGCAGCGAGACGCCCGTGGCGCCCGCGTCGCTGAGGATTGCAATCAGCTTCTCTCCGGACTGAAACCGCTTGCGCTCCGCAAGGTTGATGCGGGACGCGGGAGTCCCCCGCTCGGCTCGTGAGCAGAGCACGTACCCCGACCCGCCCGACGCCTGCGGACGCGAGCCGGTGCTGGAATGGGGAGCGGGGGCGGGGGCGCGTCGGGGGGCGGTTGGGGGCAACCTTGAGCATCCGCTTGCTGCGGCCCGTCATCTCCGCCACGTGCTCCGCCCCAAAGTAGTCGATGAGGGCGTCGAGCGCCGACGGCGGCAGGTCGAGCTTGTCGAGCTTCTCAATCACCTCGTCGCGGAAGGCGTTGAAGGAGGCCGGCGCCGCGCCCCCGCCCGCCGCTGCCGCCTGCTTGCTGAGCGCCGCGAGCAGACCCTCGACCGCCTCGCGCGCGGGCGAGACGAGCGACGCCTGGCTCGACGAGCCGGCCGCCTCAGAGCGAGCCTGGGCAGCCTTGTCGGCAGCCTCGCCCGTGCTCTGCAGGCCGATGACGGCACACTTGCCCGCACGGAGCGCTCGACGGACCTGCCGCTCGATCTCGGGGACCTGGAGAGGCGGAGCGGGCGTGGGTGGGTGGAGTGCGGGAGCAGGGTGCGGCTGGCGGGCGGGCGCGAGCGGGGCGTTGCCTTGAAGGAGAGGAGAAGCTGCTGGAAGAACTTGGACTGTGCCGAGTTGAGCGCCGTGCCGCCCGAGCGGAAGAGGAAGGAGAGCTGGCCGAGCTGCTGGTGGATGAAGACCCACAGGCTCGCGGACTGGTCGTAGAGCGTCTGCTGCGCGGGCGTGAGCTTGGCCTGCACCATGTGAAAGTCGACTCCCCTCAGGCCCAGCGAGCGCGCCAAGTAGGCCCCCGACGACTTGAGCTGCGCCGCAGAGGGGCGGGGTAAAGGCGAAGGGGGGGGGGGGGGGGGTCGGCTGCGTGGCGGAGGCGCCTGCACGGCCAGCATCTCCATCGAGCCGGACGAGCCCGAGCCCGAGCCGGACGTGAGCACCGACTGGAAGGACTTGAAGTTTTGGAAGAAGGTGCCCGTGCCCCACAGGCCGAGGCGGGTCATGTAGCTCATGTCGCCCACCTGCGTCGCGCCCGTGGCCGACAGGTACATCACGCGGGCGTTCGGCAGCGACGCCTGCAGCTGCACGACGGACGTGCCGACCGGCTGCCCGTGCGCCGCACCCTTGGCCTTGTGCGCCTCGTCGAAGAGCAGGACGCCGTCGAAGGCGGGCGTGAGCCACTTCATCAGCTGGTCAAAGCGCGTGGCGCCGCCCGACGAGGCGACCAGCACCGAGTACGTGACGACGAGGACGCCCTCGTCGAACGACTCGGCGAGGTCGCCGTAGCCGGCCGACGTGAGCGAGAGGAGCGGGATGTCGACCGCGCCAATGTCGCGCAGGTCGCGCTTCGCGTCCACCGCGAGGTCGGTGTTGCAGGTGAACCAGACGGCGCGCTTGCGGCCGAGCAGAAAATTCTCGAAGATGACGGCGGCGCCCTCGCGCCCCTTGCCGACGCCGGTGCCGTCGCCAACGTAGAAGCCCGCGCGCGAGCCGGACGGCAGCCGCCTCTCGTGCTGCTGCAGCGCGTACACGACGGCCTCGAGCTGGACGCGCGAGAGGGCGCCCGAGGAGAGGAGCTCGGGCGGGAAGTGCGGCTTGTATGTGACGTCGACCGGCGGGACGCAAGCGAGCGACGCGGACTCGACGACGTGCTCGATGTGCGACGGCCCGTAGTCGAGCTTCGACGGCTGGTAGTCTGCGAAGGACTCCGCCGCGTCCGCCTCCGGCTCCGCATCCGCCGCCTCCCCCATCGACCCGTCCCCGGCGCCGTCGCCCGAGCCCGGCTTGGACAGCATCGCCTCAAGGTCGGCGCCGCCCTCGTCGTCCGCCGCGCGGAGGTCGAAGGACTGCCACGACTCGGACGCGCGCAGCGCTGCGAACGAGGGCGCGAGCTGCGCCGCCAGCCAGGCGCACAGCCCCGCCCGCTCCTTCTTCCAGAGCGTCTCGCGGTCCGACGCGACCGCGGTTGAGGCGCTCCGGCCGCGCTCGAGGATGGGGCGCAGCTTGGAGAGAGGCAGCGCGTGGCCGATCGGATTGAGTTTGCGCGCCTCGGCGCGCTCCGCCTCCGCCGCCGGCCAGCACGCCTGGCAGTACGCGCTGTGCTCCACCTTCGAGACGCCGCCGCCGTCGACAGTGCTCCTGCTGCTACTGCCGGCGGCGCCGCCCATCAGCCCAAAGAAGTAGGACTTCTCGCGCTCCGTCGAGCTGCAAGTTGCGCACGGCGAGATGTAGACGTGCTCGACCTCGAGCCCCGCGCAAGGCCCGTCGGAGGGCCTGCCCTTGCCGACGCAGTCGCGGCAGCGCCACGCCTCGCTCCACTGGAAGCTGTACGGCTGGTAGGAGCGAGAAAAGGCCTTCGCGCCGTTGAGCTCCTTCCTGCAGCACTCGCATTTGATGATGCCCTTGTCGTAGTAAGGTGGTGGGTTGTAGTCGTCCTCGTCCTCGTCGTAGTCGTCGTAGCCGCAGGCGTCGTAGGCCGAGTCGTCGCTGTCGTAGAAGCGCTCGCGCTTCGGCTTGACGTCGGGCTTGACGTCGTAGCCGGGAGGGGGCTTGTTCTGGTCGGGGCACCTTTTCTCCTGGAACTGCTTCTTGTAGAACGCCTGTCGGGCGAGAGGAAGGCGTGGAGGGCGGGGGCGGGGCGGGGCGGCGGTGTGCCGGGGCGCCGTGTGTGTCCCGCACGCACCGGGAAGCACTTCTCGCAGCGGTAGCCCCCCGAGCTGTCGCCGCGCATCCTCGCGCCCTTGCCTGCCGTCGACTTGTTGCACTGCTTGCACGTGGCGTAGTGCTCCTCCTCGTACGCACAGACGCGGTCGTCAAGGTAGCTCGGCGTGTGCGGCGGCGCCTTAAGGAACTTGGAGACCATCGTCTTCATCTTGTTGGCCTTGCGCATCGCGAGCGTCGTCCCGTCGCCGGCGTCCTTCTCCCAGCTCGGCGGCGGCGACTCGAGCTTGAGCATCGCCTTGTACGCGCGGAACTGCGCGAGCCGCAGCTTGCCCGGCTCGAGCGCCTCCTCGGCGACGCGAGCGCGGACCTATTCACAGCAGTGGCTGTGAAGAGACGCTGTTCACGCCTCCTCGGCGACACGCGCGCGGACCTCGGCCGACACGTCGCCGACCGGCGCCTCCTCGAGGAAGCGCTTCATCACCGCGGCTGCGTCCTTGTGGCGCGCCACGTCCTTGAGGGTCATCTGCGAGGCGCGCAGGAGGGGGGGGGAGGGGGGGCGTTGTGGCCCGGGGGGGGGCGGGGGGGGCGGGCGCAGGCGCTGGAGGGGGGAAGGGGGGGAGGGGGGGGGGGCGTCCCCTTCTCCTTGGCCTCGCGCGTCTCCTCCTGCCGCTTGAGCACGCGCGACTCCTCCTCGGCCAGCTGGCTCTCGTCCACGGCGCTGATCTGCTCGGCGGCGGCGGCGGCGGTGTCCTCCTCCTCGTCCTCGTCCTCCTCTTGCATCCAGCTCGCCTCCATGACGTCGGCGGGCGCGAAATCTCTCGTCGCGGCGGCCGACGCGGCGGCCGACGCGGCGGGCGTGCTGCCCCGCCTCGAGCGCGTGAGGGAGAGCGGCGCGTCGAGAGGCGTCTCGGGCCGGGGCTGCTCCGGCCGGGCTGCTCCGCTCGACGACGCGCCACTGGGGCCGGCGCCGCTTGAGGACGCGCCGGCCGCGGGCGCGTCGCTCGAAGAGGCGGCCCCGGTCAGCGCAGCGACGACTCTTGCCGCGAGCGCCGCGTCTGGCTGCACCGGCGGCGGAGGCGGAGGCTCGAGGTCGATGGCGGCGGCGCGAGCCTCCGCCTCGCGCTCGCGCTTCTCGGCTAGGCGGGACTCGGTCACATCGACGAGGTCGTCGTCGTCGTCGTCGTCGCCGCCGCCGCCCTCGCCATCCACGTCCTCGTCGAGGGTCAGGTCCATCGGCGTCTGCTCGGAGGCCCCAGGGGCGGGCGCCGGCGGCTCCTCCGCTGCATCGGCATCCGCATCCATCGGGTCCTCCTCGGCTGCGCCGGCGGCGTCGGTGGCGTCTGACGTGCCGGGCGGCGCCGAGCCACCACCAATCGACGGGCCGCGCCTGCGCGTCACCTTGTGCGCCACTGCGACGGTGGCGCTCGCGGACGGCGCGTCGTCGGCGGAGGGCGGCTCGGTCTTGACCCGCACGGGCGCCGGCTCGGTCTTGACCCGCATGGCGGCGCCGCTGCTGGAAGCGGCGCCGCTGCTGCAAGCGGCGCCGCCCAGCGCAACGGGCTCGATCTTGACCCCCGATGCCCGCGCCGGCGCCTCCTCTGCCGCGAGCCAGTCGGGGCAGGCGGGATCGGCGCGCAGCGCAGCGCCGAGCGCAGCCACCGCCTCGTGCAGCGCCGCGGCGTCCGAGACGGAGCCGAGGCGCTTGCGCCACGCGGCGAGCGGAAGCGACCCAGGACGCAGCCACTCCGAGAGCGCGGCCGGCTTGATTGCCTGGTGGAGTTCGCGCCTAGGCGTGGGACGACGGCGCGGGCGTGAATCAGCCCAGCGGCCGCGGGTGGGCGGGCGGGCGCGTGCGGGCAAGAGGCAAGCGCGGCGTGAGGCAAACGCGCGCGGCGTGGGACGACGGCGCGGGCGTGAATCAGCCCAGCGGCCGCGGGTGGGCGGGCGGGCGCGTGCGGGCAAGAGGCAAGCGCGGCGTGAGGCAAACGCGCGCGGCGTGGGACGACGGCGCGGACGTGAATCAGCCCAGCGGCCGCGGGTGGGCGGGCGGGCGCGTGCGGGCAAGAGGCAAGCGCGGCGTGAGGCAAACGCGCGCGGCGTGAGGCGCGCGCACGTGAGCTTGGCGATCTGGACGACCTCGTCCGCCCCGTCCGCCTCTCCTCCGTTCTCGAGGCCGAGCGTGTCCTCGACCCACTTTCGCTGCTTGTATTGCCACGACGCCCGCACGTCGTCCCACGGCAGGCCGTCCTCGAGCGAGCGGAGCGCCGCCGCGACGGATCGGGGAGTGGTCCCGACCTCGAGCGGCCGCTTCCGGGCGGACATGTGTGGGGCGCACTGAGGGCGCAAGCTGCAAGGCCCGAGCGACCGCTGCAACAACCACCCAGCCTTGCGCGGGAAGAATAGTTACTCCCAGAGCTCGCACCGGCCTTCACCGGCAAGTTTTTTTGGCGCGGGGCGTCAGAAGAGTCGTTGTTACGCGAGGAGAGCTCGATAAACTCGAGGGGCCAAAATATGCCGCGAGGAGGGCAGAGTTACGCCGAGAGGCGAGAGCAAGGGATCGGCAGGCGGCGTCGTCGCAGAACGAGGCAGAGGAGAGCGACGCGACAGACAGAGGAAGAAGCGACAAGAGAAGAGAACGACGAGAGTGGGACGACCGCGAGGTGGCATGAAGGTTGCAGCGAGAATCGGCGAGGGACTGCGAAGAGAGATAGGAAGAGGCAGACGCCCACCCAAGCCGCCAACCAAGGGTGGGCCGCGACGGCTGGCGCACCACACCCCTCTCCTTAAAATCCCTGTGTGGTGGCCTTCGCCTTTATACGTTATTCTTCCGATTCTATATTCTTTTTCGAAGCGATTTTCAGCGATTTTCCAGCGGGAATATATAAAAGAATATTTGAGAATATAGGCCCGATTTGGTGAGCACTTGAGCACTGGATAGGGTCGATTCCGCATGGTACGGGACCCCTCGATCGTCTCACCCTCCCTGGCTGGGTGTGCTCATTGGGGGGGGTCATAACAAACACGGATTTGGAGCTGTATTCTTGGCATATTCGAGACCCTGTTTGGGACCAAGAATACGGAAAGAATACGCGATACGGAAAAAGAATATAGATAGTACTGGGCGAGAAAAACGTATAAAGGCCAAGCTTGCGGCGTGCCGGCCTCCCGTCCCTCCCTTGGGTTGTCTGTTTTCTTTCTTTCTTTAGAGACCACGCCTCGTCTGCTTTTCGCTGCAGATGCTGAAAGCCGCCAGGCCAGCTTGTGCTGTTAATAGCAGGCGTGGTCTGCGACACGCAAAAGATGGCGGGAAAAAAGTGGGTTGAGACGTCTTCTTAGGTGAAATCTGTTGTACCCCGCTTGCTGACTCTCCGCTGGGCTGACTGCTGACCGACTCAATTGCCCCGAGCGCGCGGACGATGTCGGTCGGCGTTGGCCTCGTCAACGCACAACGGGATCATCTTCCAAAAGGCGTCCGCGGTCGGAAGACGAGATCGAGCAGCTATGGCGGTCGCGCTGCTATGGCTCACGTCGCTCTCGAGCACGCTCGCCATCCTGGAGGCGGGTGGCTTCGTCGCGACGCCGCGCTTTGCGCTGGTCACGAGGGAAGTGGAGGTCCGCTGTTTTGCGCAGTGCCTCCTCCCACTCCTCCCTTCCCATTCGGGAACCCTCAATTGAGCATAGGTGCTGGTCGACCAGACCACGCGGCTGCGGGACGAGTACGTCGCCTGCGTCGCCGACTCGCTGACCCGCTGCAATTTGACGCTCACCGATGCGGTGGACGGCGAGCTGCAGCGCGCAGCGTCAGCGCGGGCGCACAACCGGCGACTGGTCGAGGATGCGGAGGGCCTGTACCGCCGGTGCCGCGCCGCTCGCATCCGTGGGGAGGCGGCGGTGGCGCAGTGGCGAGCTGCGAGCCCGCTGCCTTCGAGCCCCTACGCACTCAGCTGCTCCGCCGCCGAGCAGGCGGGCCTGCAGGCGGCGCAGGGCGACGTGGACGCCGAGCTTGCGGCGGTGCACGCGGTGAATGACGAGTACGCCAACAAGTCGCAGGGGACCGTCGCCCTCCTCGTCGGGCAGATTGAGGCGCGTGGGCGGTACGACCGGGAGTACCTGCACAACAAGACGCTCGCACACGTGCGGCTGAGGCAGCTGCGGCTCAGCCTCACCGCCAACTTCTCCGCCGACCTCTCCCTCCGGCTCGGCTCTCTGAACCTCTCCCTGCTCCTGGCCTGCGCGACGCTCTCGCCGAGCCATCGATGCCCCGGCGAGTCTCTCCGCGACATGGTCAGCGCCTCGCAGCAGCGGCTCTACTCGAGCTACACCGGCGCGGTGCGGGCGTGGGGCGACAGCGTGGGACGCGTGGAGAACTACGCGGACGCGGCGCAGGACCGGCTGGCGTCAGCCGCGAATGCGCTCGCCGCAATCGCTGCCTGGTTTGGCCGAAACTTCCCTGAGTTTCAAGGCTCGCTCCCCGGTGGCGTGCCTTGGCCATCGCTCGGCCTCGGCGCCTTTGGGCTCGATATCGGCGACATTGCACCCATCGCGCCGCCCCTCTCGATCGACGAGATGTGGCAGCGCGTCAGTGAGGTGGTGGCGCGCTACGAGGAGAACCTTGCGCTCGCGACGAGCGAGGTGAATGCGGATGGAAGCCTCCTGCAGGCTGACGCGTAGACGTGGTTGCGTGGCGTCGATTCTGTCCCCGTCACGACCCGCTCCCACTCTCAGGAGAACCTCGAGCGACTCGACGCGGGCCTCTCCTTCTTTGACGACTACGACCCACCGCAGATCGACGCGCTGTCGCTGCAGCGCGACCACCGGCGCGCCTCCGACTCGTTTGGGGCCGACTCGCTGCAAACGGCCAAGCGGCTTGGCGGCCAAAACGACGTGAGCGACAGCAGTGATGAGCCTCTCGCGGGCAGTGCCAACGCGAGCGGCACCGTGCGCTTCTCGCGCTGGCTCTCCTACGCGCGCGACCTCACCTTCTTCAAGCGGCTCGAGCTATCCAACCCGGGCATCGACTTCGAGTGGCTGGCCGAGCGTGTTCAGCTCATGCGTGCCGTGCTGCTTGGCTGCGACTACACGTACCGGGCAGTTGTCACGGCGATGCGCCTAGGAGCGGGTAGGGCTCGCCAACACCACTGACACAACCGGTGAAATGCGCCCCCCCTCCCTCGACCCTCCTCAGTTGGCTTGGATCTTCCGCTTTTGGGGTCGCTCAGCTCTGCCCGTGCCACCCGTGGACGTAACGACGACGGCCGAGAGCCGCCGATTGACAGTCTTTCACCAATCGCAGACTCAGTTCCTCGCGTCGGTGATGACTCACACAGCGACTCTCGCGTCCATCTGGGCGATCGGCGCGCTCATCGCCGGCAGCCTCGCATGGGGCGCCTACCAGCCGTGGCTCGACGCCTATCGCGACGGCTGCACCGCGACGGTGCGTGGCGAGGACGGCCGAAGGGTGGTGATTGCGACGGGCAACACAGCGCTGGCTTCGAACCTGTACGCGATGGCCTTCAACGCAGCGTCGTCCGCGGGCAACAAGGACCGGATGCAGGGCCTCGACCTCTACGACGTGGAGGTGGACAGGCGTTGCGACGAGCATGCGCCGCAGACGACCGTTGAGCACGAGGGGACTGTGCGTCGGCTCGCGGCCGCCATCGACGCCCACGCAGCGGTGGCGAATGAGATGCGGATGATGCGAACGTGCCTCGACGTGGCCAGGATCGACGCCGAGTTGATTATCCACGCCGACGTTGCGGCAGACAGCTCTGCTCTGCTCGCCCATGCTCTGGCGGAGCCCGCTTGCGACGAAACGGTCTCAAACAGCTCCCTGCCGCTCGGCTCCTTTGATTGCGTTGGAGCACTGCCAGACTGCATGATGGACTGCGCGGAGCTCTCTGATGATCAGGGCAAGGACGCGTCTGGTCTGAGCGGCTTCGCAACCGGCGCGGCATGCACCGCCGAGTGGTGGTTCCACTCGTGGCTGGTCAACTTGGCGGCCTGCGCCGTGGTGTACTTGTTGGCAAACGGAGGCCGTGTCCTCTTTGTATGGGTGCGCCTGTGCCGCACGTAGCCGCCCCTTATCCCGTGCGCCCGAGCGTAGCCCCGTGCTACGCAGGGCCTCGTGCGGCTGCTCTGGGACCAGCTCAACACGGGCCTATTCGCATTTGTCGGCACCTGCGACGCGAGAGGAGAGGGCACGTACGACGAGGCCGTCCTCGCGGGCAGGATCCGCGGCATGCTGGGCAGCCTCAAGGCCACTGGCGGACTCATGATCTTTGCGGCTGCCGTGATGCAGGTCCCGTGGGTGGCTGGGTTGATCTGGGTCGTGCCAGAGGTGGCGTACACCTCGCTAACGTGAGAGAAAGGCGCTCTGCTTTGATTTTACATACGACGACGATGTGTACATACGACGATGTGTCGCGTGTTCAAGTTCATCTCCTCTCAACGTGGACTCCGTCGCTCATGATACACGCGCTTGCGATGCTGACCCCCATGCGTTCCCGCCACTGTACCTGGATTGCTCTCAATCCTGTTGTCGCCTGATACTATTTCGCCCTCTGTGGGAGGCGGTCCAGTGAGCAGCTGCCACCACGCCAAGCTGCCCACGACAGCGCCGCACATCTCAGTCATGGAGGTGCGGCGGCCAATGCCTCGGTGCAGTGCACTGGTTACCCGGAACGTGTTTGGCTCCACCACCGAGGACGGGCGGTAATTGGCCAGCGTTGGATGAGCAGAACCAGATTCGCTGCGTGAAGTGCCACGCTGCCGTCGAACTGAAGAAGGCACGCCAGGGTGCGCGGCGTCACTTCGAGACAGAGAGCATCCCATGACAGAGCTCAACGCTCGCCCAGTCGACGCGCAACCCTGGACGGCGCTCTGTGTTCGGCGTCCAACGGGCTTGCTCCAAAAGGGCTCGCTCGAGGAAACGGTGTCGGCGGCGCACCTGGCGGGAGGGGACAGTGTCCTGGACGAGGAGAAATCGCGCGGCTACCGACTTGTGAGTGTGTGTGTGCTTCACACACTACCGACTTGTGTGTCTTGTGAGCCTTTTGTGTCTGTGTGTCGCTCGTGCGTGTCGTCATCATCTGTCTAGCGTCCACCCATACCGCGTTGGTGTCCACGCTCTGGGTGGTAGTGGCGGCGCTCCAAGAGTACATACACACATAAGAGTGGTGCTCTTGGGAAGAGGTTCCTCCTTTCCGCTCCCCCCCCCAAGGCGCGAGACACACGTCCAGTCCGAGCCTGGCTGGATCTTCAGACTTCACCTTTGATTGATTCATCTCCCGCTCGAACTCGCGCCACCGCTTCAGCACGTCGCCGCATAGCCTGTTCATGTGGTAGCCGAGCGGCGCGAGCATCGGCGCCGCCCGCTCCGCCGCGATGGGTTGATGCAGCACCGCCGCCACGATGGCGCTCGGCCTCCGCATCGGCGCGCCTCCCAGCGACGCCGTGGTGTCCGCGGCCGCGAGCGGCCCCAGCAGCGCCGCCTGCGCCGCCGTCTGCTCCTCCGCCGCCCTCCGCCTCTTCTCCTTCGGCGCATCGGCCCACCCCTGGTGCTGCTCGGCGCGCCGCTCGCCCTTCTCGAGCCTCTCCCTCTTCGTGGGCGGACGGGCGTACGCGAACAGCTCGTCGGCGTCGCCCGCCGCCGCCCGCCTTTCCGCGGGCACGGTGCGCACCGCCTCCGCCGTCCACGCCTCCCGCAACGCCGCGCCCCGGCCCTCGCCGAGCCGCTGGAATGGTCCGCCGCCGTCGGCGTTCGCCGCCGCCGCGGCCCAGGCCGCCGCGGTCAGCGCCGCGCCCTGACCGACGAACGCGCACAGCGGATCCGGCATCTGGCCCGCGCATCATCGATTCATTATCTTACGTCCGTCCCGCCGGCCAGACTCCACATCACCTCAACGTAAACGAACATTGATGGGAAGGCGAAACACAGTCCGACCAACGACTGGGACACTAACGCGGTAGGGTGGACGCAGGACGGGCGATGACGGTCATACAGGAGCGACACACAGAACCACAAGACAACGAAGACACTCAGCCAACGGGGCGGCTGCCACACATCCTGAGCGAACTTCCCTAGTCACCCGCGGCTGGACTCCATCCGGCACGCGTCGCTGGGCGCTCAGAGCTGCGTCCCCTGCTCGCCACCCCGACGCCCAAGGCGCCCGAGCGAACGACAGGCGGCACGCGAAGACTGGTTGCAATCCCGCCGACCGCCAGGCCGCGGGATGATGTGTGCGTGGTCATGTAGTGGGTCTCGGAAGCTCCCCTCTCGGGCTAGGGGCCAGCCCCTCTCCCTTGCCCTCGGAACAGTGTGTCCGAGTCGAGGCGTGTGCTTGCCGGTCGACGGCCGCGCGCGGTTGGCATTGTGACGAAGGGTGTGCGCGGCCGCGGCGCGCCCGCCATGGCTTGGCGCGGCGCGCCTACCAGCGGCAGTTGTCGAGGCACGGGAACGCTTACCCGGGGTCATCCTCTGAGCCTGGTCGTCGGCGCCGCGATGCCACGGCGGCGCATTCGACGTCGTCGGCGCGCTGCCCTGCGGTGAGCCCCGCCGCACGTGGCGACGGCCGCAGGTTGGCCCGGTGCAGCGCGCCCTGGCCGCAGACTGAAGAACGGCCACGAGGGGTGTGTGATGTGCGGTGCGGGGTGTGAGGGGGCTGCGGCCTTTGTGTGTGCGCGCGCGCCGCTGCCGCTCGTGGTGTTTGAACTGAAGAGGGGGGGTCGGCCTTGAGAGCTTACGGGTGGTCTCACCGCGCCAGAGGCTCTGCCTCTCCTCTCGGGGATTGGACTGAGGGATAGGGGCGGGGGATCCTCCCTCTTCCCACCATCGATGCCGGGGCTCAACCAATCCGGAGAGGTCATTACCATTCCTCCATACATCCTCCCAGCTTCATCGGCGGGCGTCTGGGAGTGTGTCGTCAACTGGCCGGGGTGGGGTGGGGTTCGTGAGTCCGGGAATTTAAGAAAGAACCCCGCAAAAAGAATTTAAACAACCCAACTCTCTCTCACAGCAGACAGGCTCGACACCGGGTGCGAACTAAGAAAGAAAGAAAGAGAACACACAACCCAAGGGAGGGATGGGAGGACGGTGTCAGGAGACGGAACACGGAGGAGCTGTATAGGTCACTAGAGACCCACACCATCGCTACATCACCACAGCCACCAAGTCGGATACAAGTCGATGACAATGTACGCGGCAGGAGAAACCCAACAGCATGACAATGTGCGCGGCAGGACAAACCAAACATGAGACACGGTTACACAAGGACGGTCAGGCTACGGTCAGGAAGTAGGTTTGAGTTCACACTCTCCAACACTCCCCCATTGTCTCCGCATTCTTCATGAATGAGGATGCGGCAGACAACAACAGCAGAGTGTGAATGTGTCTGAGCGTAGGTATGCCGGTTACCCGCCGGCGTCTCGCGGGGCTGGCTAAGCGTCCAACCTTGCGTCTTCGCGAAGGATGGTCTTGCTTGTTGGCAAGACTTGCGCGCTAAGATGATCCAGTGAAGGGGTCAAAGCGCGGCCGAGTGGGCGGAGAGAGAGAAAGGGGAGATAATGAACAGGAGCTCGTTGTGGAGCTCGGTCATGGCGCGCCGCGAGCTGCAATCCGGGCTGAGCGTCGCGGGGCGGCGGCTTGAGCGGGCGCGGCAGGCGCGGCGGGCGCGGGAGCGGCAGCGGGGGCGCCCCCTTGCGGCGCGGCGATTGGGCCGTTGGGAGGCCTCGCCGCGTTGACGCGGATGAGCGCATCAGGGACGTGAGGACGATCTTCAATGCCCCGAACGTTGATGTTGCGCCACGGGCCGCCGACGTCGGAGATGGCAGGCTCAGTCTCAGACGTCCAGACGGCAGAGACGCTCGTAGAGGCGCATTGGACTTCTTGCCAGAGGCGTTGGACAGCGGGACGGGCTAGCGCGAGGAGGCGAGACGAGGAAGAGACAGCAATGAGGTAGAGTGGCATTGCCACGTCGAACAGATGCCCAACACTCCCCCACGACGTGGTAATCGCCACACAAGGCAGAGAGGGCGTGTCGATCGTCGCGTGTTCATCGCGTACAGCTCCGGTCGTGTCGAGCGGCGACGTCGGAAGTAGCGGCGGCGAAAGGCAGGGTCCACATTCGGTGCGAGATCTTTGCGGTAACTGCCGTTGCAGCAGCCCGAGAGCTGGTAGCGGAGGCAGCAGCTGCGATGGTGGTCCGTAGGCGAGGAGAACGGACCGGTAAGGAGAAGCAAGAGGGGATACTCGTGTCCACACAGCCGCAGTGCTGGCGGAGATGCGCTCTGTCGCAGAAGATCCGCAAGCACCCAAGTTGATGTTGCGGTTGTACTCATTCTGCTCAGCCTCCGAGCCAAGCAGTTGGCGGCCGCTGTGCCACCGTGCGCCGAGCCTCTGTGCCCAGCCAATCACCACGGCTCGCCTCTGTGCCCATGGCGCCAGCCAACGTATCGAGCGTAAGCCGGAAATGCTGTGCGGCAACACATCTCGCTTGTGTGCCGCACCAGCTCTCATGTCGGCCTCAGTGCCGCACTGCTCACTCCGTGCACTCACCGGTCGGTACCATGTCAGGAGACGGAACACGGAGATTTTGTATAGGTCACTAGAGACCCACACCATCGCTACATCACCACAGCCACCAAGTCGGATACAAGTCGATGACAATGTACGCGGCAGGAGAAACCCAACAGCATGACAATGTGCGCGGCAGGACAAACCAAACATGAGACACGGTTACACAAGGACGGTCAGGCTACGGTCAGGAAGTAGGTTTGAGTTCACACTCTCCAACAGACGGCAGGTGCGAATGGAGTCAAAATTCTTGTTGCGCGCCGCCGCCGCGCGCAGCCCAATTGGAAGTTTTGCGCCTCCTTCCCCACGCCGCCCCAACCAAGCGTGCAGAGAAGTTTGACCTAACGAGGACATGGCGTGCATGCCCTTCGCGTGCGAGCTAAACAGGAACGGCGCTTGCCTGGCCGTGTTCGACTGCCGCTGCACGGACGAGGCGTATCCCGGCTGCGATGCCGGCGGCTGCTGCATCGCCGACGTGTGCCAGAAGATCGGGTGCGTGGCCAGCTCCTGCTCGCTGAGTGGCTGCAACGCGACGACGCCACACCAGCCGCCTGCAGCGCCGCGGCCGCCGCAGCCGCCGCCCTCTCCCGCGCCGCCGCTGCAGCCTCCGGCGCTTCCGCCGGCTCCGCCGCCGCCGCCGCCGCGGCCACCGACATCGCCGCCAGCGCCTCCTCCGAGCTCGCCTCCCTCGCCGCCCCCCCCATCGCCGCCGCCGCTTCCGCCGCCGCCCTCCTTCCCGCCACGGCTACCCGACTTCATGCCGCAGCTGCCGCCGCCTCCGCCATCGCTGCCACCGCCCTGGCCACCGCCGACGCCGCCGCCGCCGGACCGTCCGCCGCCCAGCGCCCCACCGGGCCATCCGCTGCCGCTGCCGCCGCCGCCGCAGTCTCCGTCGCCATCGCCGCCGCCTCCAGCCTCTCCGCCTCCGAGCATGCCTCCAGCGCCGCCACCCTCCCCTCTGGCGCCGCCCGCCCCGCCACCCGACGAGCCGCCGCCAGCGCCGCCGCCGCCGAGCTCGCCGCCGCCGCGGCCGCCGCCGGCCTCGCCGCCGCCACTCCCAGCAGCGCCGCCAGGCAGCCCTCCGCTCCCGCTGTCGCCGCCGCCGCCGCCCCTGCCGCCGCCGCCAAGCTTCCCGCCCACCCTGCCGGCTGAACGGCCGCAGCTCCCGCCGCCTCCGCCCAACTCGCCTCCACCGGCGCCGCCGCCACCTTCCCTGCCGCCCCCCTCGAGCCCGCCACCGAGGTCACCGCCGCCGTCGCCGCTGCCGCCCTCGCCGCCGCCGCCTGCCCCTCCCTCGCCCTTGCCGCCGCCGCCGCCGCCGTCGCCGCCTCCGCCGCCTCCGTCCGCCCCGCCGCCGCCTCCGTCGCCGCCGAGACCCGACTCGACTCGGGCGGTGGTGCTCGTCCTCCACCTCGTGGACGGCAAGACGCCCAAGCCGCTCGTCACCGCCTCCGCCTTCCAGGCAGCGCACGCCGCCTCCCCCCTCCCCGCCCGGCACACCCTCACCAACACACACCGCCTCCCGCCGCCTCCCACCGCCTCCCGCCGCCTCCCACCGCCTCCCACCACCTCCCACCGCCTCCCGCCAGGCGGCGAGGCCGCGCATGCTCTCCTCGGTCGCCTCCCTCCTCGGCGTCCGCGTCGAACGCCTCTCGACGACAGCAGAGCCGCGGACCGTCGGCGACGGGTCGGCGGTCGCCGTCGAGCTGCTGATCGCGGACGACCCGTCCGCAAAGTCGGCGGAGGAGGCGGCCACGGAGCTCGTCGAGCTCGGCGCCGGTCGACTCTCCTACGAGCTCCTCGTCCCCGTCGACTCGGTCCGCCACTCGCCCCGCGACCTCGAGCGGCCCCGCACGGCGCTCGCCAGCAGCCTCGACGCGCTCGGCTGGGCGGCGGGCGCCGTCCTCGTGCTCGGCGCGGCGTGGATCGCCACCGCGGTGCACGGCAGACACCGCCTGGCGGCGAAGCGGTCGTACGCGCACGGCGCGCTCGAGATGACGGGCCCGATCGGAGACGGGTTGGAAGGGACGGAGCCCGACTGGCGCGGCGAGGGCACTGGCGGTGGTAGAACGCCGCTGCAGGAGTGGTCAGACGACGCCGACGCCGAGCCATCGCTGTGGGAGCGTCCCTTATAGCAGCGGTGTGGGTGTGTTTCTTCTTTCGAGCTATCCGATTTAGGGAAATGACGTTGGCGCCACGCGCCCGCGGCTGAGGCCGTGTCCGGGTGACGCCTACCGGCGCGTGAGGGAGGGTGTCGCGAAAAACGTGAAAAACGGTGAAATCCGTCTAACTGCCATGTCACGGCCGGTCGGCTGCTGCTCTCGCCACGCTGGCGGCGCGGTCTGGTGCCGCGGCGCCCAGCTCTCCTGTGGGCTCGCGGCGGCTCGCCGCCGCGGTGCCGAACAATGTGACCAGTCCGGATTCGTCCCGGCGTGCCGCCGGTGCCGCTTCCTCGCTGATTTTTGGCTCGACCAGTTTGTCGACAAAGTTGCCTCCGAGCTCCTGCTGCTCGACTGCGCGGCGGAACCGGCCCATCGCGGCTGAGACGTGATGCGCCGGCACCGGGGCAACGGCGCGGGACCATTTCCAGGCTCTCTCGAGCAACCTCAAAATTGGCCGATTTTGTGGATCTCAACCCTGCTGCTCTCTGACCACAACCTCGCGGCCCGCTGCGCGGCTCTCCAAGCGCGAGAGGAGTCGTCTACGAGGCGGCGGCGAGCGCAGGCGGCGGCGGCGCGGCGGCGCGGCGGCGGATCGCGGCGCAGACAACGGCAGCAATCTGGCTGCTGCTTGCTGCTGCAGCTGCAGCAGCTGCTGCTGCTGCTCCGCTGATTGTGGACACAATTCCTCCGCTCACCCCGCCCGCCCGCCCCGCCCCGCCCGCCCGCCTCTCCCCGCTTCCCCGCCCGCCCGCCCGCCCGACCGACCGCCCGCCCGCCCGACCACCCATTCCCATCACCATCTCACATACCTTCATATAGGCGCTCGAGACCTCCTCTCGCTGCCTACTCGCTGCCTCGAGGGCGGAGGGGAAGACGTCGAGCTGAGCTTGCCTCGCTTGTACTGAGGCCCCTCCCCGAAAGGCAAGTCTTAGTCACACGAAACCCGAGACCCCTCCCCCCCACCCCAATCCCCCCACCCCCTTGCTCCCCTCCCCCCCTCGGGAGGGCCGAACTGAGGCGCCCGTGGGGACCCCGCAATTCCCTCCCCCCCTCGGAGGGGGCCGGATGGAGGCGTACCCCGAGGGCCCCGCTCTTTCCTCGCATAGCGGCCACTCTTCGGATCGCTGGTCGAGCGACCCGGGGGATGCCCCGCGCGCCTGACCCAGGCGCGAGAAACGAATCTGCGAGGCGTGGCCGCATATGCGGCCCGATGGGGAGGAACGGGGCGAGCCCCCTCCAACCCACCCGCGCTAGGTCTCGGGTTTGACGCATGGGGTCACTCCCGCGAAACTCGTGAATCGTGAACTAGCCGGGGCAGTCGGAGAAGGGGCAACTCCGTGCACTGACGGTCGGCCGTCAGAAAACACGCCTCCGTGGCTCGGGTTACACCAATCCTCGCTACCCAACGCGGCCAAAGGATATCCACCTCGAGAACCTCGAGAGAAGGTGAAATCAATTCGGCTTATCTCGCAGCGCTGTCCCGCGCGCTGTCTGTCCAAGCCGCAGCCGCCTCCCGCCTCGCCACCGTGGCCGCAGTGTGGTCCAACAGTGTCTCGATCTGCAGCATCTCGAATGGCGAGGCCCGCTCCGTCTGTCGGCTTTGCGCTGCCGACGTCCACGCCCATCCGCGAGCGCGGAAGGAGGAACTCCACCTTACCGCCGCCCATGCTGGTCACGCTGGACAGACATCTTCGCGATGTGTCCGGCGCGTCGCCAGAGCTGGTCGCGGTCCTGGAGGCACTGGAGTGCAGCTTTCGCGAGGTGTCTCTGCTGCTGCGGCACGGCCTCAGGACGGGTGGTGACGCCAAACACGGGAGTGGCGTGTGGCAGCGGGAGGTCCTCAAGCTCGATCAAAAGGTCGCCGAGATCATTCTCGCAGCTTTGCGTGGCACTCGCACGCGAGTAGTCGCGCTTGGGACGCACGAGGGCGTCGTCGAGCTCGAGGGCGATAGCAGCGGCAACGGGATTGGGTTGGATGCAGCGCCGCCTGCACCGGCTCCGGCAGTGTCAGCAGACCCGTACGACTACTACTGTGCACCAACGTCCCCTGCGACAAGCCCGTGCGTGAGGCGCTTTGCGGTGGTGGTGGACCCGCTCGGGGGCGACGCGGAGAAGGCGGACGCGGGCGCGTCGTCGGGGACCATCTTCAGTGTCTACTCGGCGCGCGCGGGCGGCGAGGAGGGCGGGACGCGCGCCTCCGTGCTCCGGAGGGGCGAGGAGATGCTCGCTGCGGGGTACGTTGTGTTCGGCGCCGCCACGCAGCTCGTGCTCTCCGTCGGGAGGGGCGTCGACGGCTTCACCCTCCACCCCTCTCTCGGGTGCTTCACGCTGACGCGGCCGCAGCTTCGGATGCCGCACACCGGCCGCTTCTACTCGGTCAACCTCGGCCACCGGCGCCAGTGGAGCGAGGCGATGGCCTTGCACGTCGACCTGGTCTCGCAGAGCAAATCGCTGCGCTACACCGGCACCTTTGTCGCCGACGTGCACCGCACGCTCCTGTACGGCGGCGTCTTCTTCTACCCGGCGAGCTCGAGGCGGCCAAGGGGCAAGCTGCGGCTCCTGTTCCAGGCGGCGCCCGTCGCCTTCCTCATGGAGCAGGCTGGCGGCGGCAGCGCGTGCGGTGCGGAGCGAACCCTCGAGATCGAGCCCGGCACGCTGAACCAGTGCGTCCCCGTCGCGTTCGGCTCGCGCTCCGATGTCGACGCCTACGTGCGCAGCTCGGCTGTGCATTCTGCATGAAAGCGGTTAGCCGTCGCTCCTATACCTGGGTACCGTACCTGCTACCTCCTACATGTACGTCCTAACTGCCGTACCGCCGCGTACGCACGTCCAACGTCTCATACGGCTCTACGCGGTAAAATACGGCTTACGCCCTACAAAAAAAAGTATCTTTTTAACGGGACGGCGTGCCGTTTTGTAGATTTTATAGAGGGCGACCGCGAAAAGACGATGCCGCGCGCCTCACGACGCCACCTGCGGTTCGCTCAGCTCCTCGGGCGCCGCGCACACGCGTGCGGCGACCCGCTCTCCGCCACCCGCTCGCTCGCCGGGCGCGACGTCGAGCAGCAGCTGGTGCTGCGCCGTCAGCGCGCCCCTCTCGCCGTCGAGCGCCTCGGCGAGCGCCTCGACGACCGTCTCCTCGATGAAGTCGCGCGTGGAGCGGCCGCCGAGGTCGTCCTCCCACCGCTCGCACACAAAGTCGACCAGCCGCGGCGAGAGGCGCAGTGATGGCGCCGCGCCGCCCCACGAAGCGCGGAGCCGCTCCGAGACCGCGTCCAGCTGCCGCGTGACGACGGAGCGGCGCCCCTCGCCCCGGAGCGGCGTGAACGGCACGACGGAGCCGAGCCGGCCCAAGTTCTCCCACCGCCCGTCGCAAATCTCGCGCAGCACCTCGCGGCGGATCCCGCGCATCATCTCGCCTACGGCAACGGCGCACGCCAGCTGACGCGCCACCGACCGCACACCTCGCCGCCTCGCGGCCGCTCTCGCCGTCGGAGCGCGTCGCCGCCTCGCTGCCGCCGCCGCCGCCGCCGCCGCCGCCGCCGCCGCCGCCGCCGCCGCCGCCCTCCTCCGCGGCGGCACGCTCGCAGGCGGCGTTGATCGCGTTGCGGCCGCAGTTTGTCGTCATGACGATGAGGGCCTGCGGGCGGACCAGCAAGAAGGGCGGGGACCGTGAGCGGAGGCCGGGCGGGCAGCCGGCCCCGGCCGGTCCGCACTGGGCGGGGCCGCGGGCGGAGGCGCGCGCGCGGGCAGAGGCGCGCGGGCGCGGGCAGAGGCGCGGGCGCGGGCGGAAGCGACGCCTTTGTCGCGTCCACCGTCTCGCCAGACCCAGACGCGATTGCGCCCGAGTCGAGAAAGTTCATCAAGAAGGTGAGCAGCCCGTCGGCCGCGCGGTCCACCTGCAGGCCGGCGCGGAGAGGGGGCTCGGAGCAACATTTTGAGAGGGAGCGCGAGGTGTCGCCACGCGTCAGCACTCGCCTCGTCGAAGAGAATGACGCACGAGGTGTGCTCGGTCCCGGCGCCGCCCTTGCGCTGCGCGCGTCGCTCCTCCGCCTGCCGGATGAAGTTGGTCAGCTCGCCGCCCTCCTTGTACCCGACGTAGTTCGGGTCGCCGCCCGTCAGCCGGTTGAACTTGCTCGGGTGCGAAAACTCGCTCAGGTTCCACCTCCGAAAGTTGCGGTCGGGGAGGCACCTGTGCCGGCGGCGGGAGGGGCGCGCGAGGCGCGGCGGTGAGGGAAGGAGAGGGCGGCGGCCGGTGGCCCCCGCGCGCGCGCGACGGCGCGCCTCCCCAGCAGCGCCTCGCAACATGCAATCCCGAGCTCCGTCTTGCCGACGCCCGACGGGCCAGCAAAGAGCAGCCGCAGCGGCCGGTCCGCGTCGGAGAGGCCGAGAAGCCGGCGGCGCAGCGCCCGCCCGACGACGTCCTTCGCCGCCGACTGACCGTCGATCCTCCGGTCGAGCGCCGAGCGCAGCGAGCGGAGGTGGCCGCCGGACTGCTGCTGCGGCATCGCCTCCACTCGCGCCTCCTCTCGCGCCTCTTCCAGCGCGCGGGCGCGCTGCTGCCGCTGCGCCCGCACCGCCGCCTCCATCTTCGCGGCGGCCGCCGCCGCCTGAGCCGAGACGGGCTGCAACACCGGGGCACCGCTCACAGATTTTACTCCAGGCACTCGGTCGGCCGCCATGATCCGGATGGAGCGGCACGCGGCGTGCAGGCGGACGGAGCGGCGGCACGCTGCGGCGGCGGCACTCACAGACCGTGGCAGCATGACTTCTCGCGGTCTGCAGCAAAGGGGTTTTTCTTTCTCTTTCTTAGCACTTGAGCACTTGAAAGGGTCGATTCCGCATGGTACGGGACCCCTCCGATCGTCTCGCCCTCCCTCACTGGTGTGTTCATTGGGGGGGGTCATAACAAACACGGTACAGGATCGAGGTGCACGCTGCCGAGGTGCAAGAGGTGATCTGTGATCTGGGGGGGGCGACAGGGAGGATGTGGCCCTCTACATCTGCATCGCTCTCTGTCCCGCGCCGGATGTAGAGCTCTACAGCTCTACAGCGCTCTACAGCGCTCTACAGCGCTCTACATCTCTACAGCTCTACAGCGCTCTACACTCTACTACACCCTCCCTCAGGCTGCGTTCCCACGTCCCACGAACGAGGAAGGATCGAGGTGGCCACACCTTCCTATTCTTCTCAATAGGAAGGGGCAACGGTGTGATTTCGAGGAAAACTCGGCGTCGCGAGCTCGCGGCGCCCCGTTTTCGGGCTCCGGGGGCGCGGGGTGGGCACCGTAGGCGGCGGGCGGACGGGCACATTGGTTGACCCTTCCAACAAGGCTGTGAATTCGGTGGAGGCCAACAAGCAAGCTGCTGCTCTACCCGCCGACTCGCAGGTGGCGGCGAGAAGTAGAACCTGCGCGGGGGACGGGGCGGGGGCGGGGTGAGGGGGGATGAGGGGGGGGTGAGGGGGCGGGGTTGGACGGCGGAGGAGGGCTTGACGGTGGCGGCGACGGGGCTGGCGGGCTTGGCGGCGGCGGGGCGGCGGCGGGCTTGGGGCGGCGGGCTTGGCGGCGGGGGCGATGGCGGTGGTGGGGACGGCGGAGGGGGTGAGGGAGCGGGCGGCGACGGGGGAGGCGGGCTCGGTGGGGGCGGCGACGGGGGAGGCGGGCTTGGCGGCGGCGGGCTTGGCGGTGGTGGCGATTGCGGTGGTGGGGGCGACGGAGGGGGCGGGCTGGGAGCCTCCACACACCTCCAAACGCCCTCCGCCTTGGCCCCCTTCCCCTCTCTTCACCGGCGCCCCTCTGCGCGCTCGGCGGGCGCGCGCTCGCGGCGGCGTTGCTGCTGCAAGCCGCCGGCGCTGCGCCCCTTTCTCGCTCATCGCCGCTCTGCGTGGCTCCCCCCCCTGCGTCAGGTACTGCTTCACTGCCTAGACAAGGCGCATGGCTGACAGCAGCGTGGCGCCTGCGCAGTCATCGGCCAAGCGAAAGGAGATCTACACCTACACAGCGCCATGGCTGCTGTACGGCATGAACTGGAGCGTCCGCGCAGGCGCCACGCCGCGCCGCGCCGTCCCTCTGCCGCCTGCGCCGGGAGCGGACGGGGCTGAGCGACGCTGCACGGCTCCTCCTTGCGCCGCCCGCCGCCCCTCCGCGTCGCCCGGCCGCCCGCCGGCTCGTTAGTCTCTGAGCGTGCGGCCCTGTGACGTGCGCAGACCAGCGCTTCCGGCTCGCGGTTGGCAGCTTTGAGGAGGAGTACTCCAACTCGGCGCGCCGCCGGTGGGAGGGGAGGATGCGCCGCGAGCGCGGCCCGGGACCGACGGGCGGGAGCGGAGTAGGTGCGCATCATCCAGCTCAACGAGGAGACGCACGAGTTCAACGAGGTGGCGCAGTTCGAGCACCCGTACCCCGCAACAAAGATGATGTGGATCCCGGACGCGAACGGCGCGGCTCCGCCCGGCCCGCCCTCCGCCGCCCTGCCCGCCCTCCGCCGCCCTGCCCGCCCTCCGCCGCCCTGCCCGCCCTCCGCCGCCCTGCCCGCCCTCCGCACAGCGCTCGTCACGCGCCGCGGCTTTGCGAGAGCAGGCGCGCGGCGCGACCTGCTGGCGACGACGGGAGACTATCTGCGCATCTGGCGCAGAAAGGGAGAGGTCGGGCGGCGAGCCCTCGCACCGCCGCCGCACCCGGAGGCGCATCCGGCTGTAGGAACGTGGTCGACAACAAGAGCGTGCGGTTGGACGGCCTCCTCAACAACAACAAGAACACGGCGAGCCGCCCGCGGCCTGAGCCTCGGCTGCGGCCGCCGCGCAGCCTGACCGAAGTGGTGCCCCCTCTCGGTAGGAGTTTTGCGCGCCGCTGACCTCGTTCGACTGGAACGAGACGGACCCGAACATCATCGGCACGTCGTCGATCGACACGACTTGCACCATCTGGGACGTGACGCAGATGCAGGCCAAGACGCAGCTCATCGCGCACGACAAGGAGGTGTACGACCTCGCCTTTGCGGCGGGCGTGCACGTCTTCGCTTCCGTCGGGGCCGACGGGTCGGTGCGCATGTTTGACCTCCGATCGCTCGAGCACTCGACGATCATCTACGAGTCGTCCGACGGGCAGGGCGGCTCGCCCCTCCCGCTGATTCGGCTCGCGTGGAACAAGCAGGACCCAAACTACCTTGCGACCATCACGATGGACTCGAACAAGGTTGCGATCCTCGACATCCGGGTGCCGTCCTTGCCAGCGGCGACGCTCGAGGGGCACTCGCAGTGCGTCAACGCCGTCTCGTGGGCGCCGCACTCGAGCTGCCACGTGTGCACGTCGGGCGACGACAACCAGGCGCTCATCTGGGACCTGAGCCCGATGCCGAGCCGGATCGAGGACCCGATCCTAGCCTACTATGCCGAGTCGGAGGTGAACCAGGTGCAGTGGTCGAAAACGCAGCCGGACTGGGTGGCCATCTGCTTCGACAAGAAGCTGCAGATACTGCGAGTCTGAGCGCGAGAGGGGAGAGGAGGAGGACGGGCCGTCCCCTCTGCCGCGTGCCGCTTCGCCGCGGCGCGCGCGCGGTGGGCGCGAGACGGCTTCCTTACTGTGCCGCGCTACCACACTGTACCGTCATCGTCATGGATTGCACCCGCGGGCCGGGGACGCGCCGTTCGCCGGGGTGCGCGCGAGTAGCGCGCGCTGCTCTGTCTGTCGCGGGTTTGTGCCACGTCTATTCGGCGCCGCGGTCCCGGAGTCGCCAAGAGTTTAGCCAAATTTGAACCATCACTAAAGTTCATTCACACGCACTAAATTTAGTCCCAGGCGCCCTCCGTGAAGTGCTCGCCGATTGGCGCGTCGACAAGTGGTGGGGTGAGCTGCCGTCGCGCAACCTGCAGCCAGGCATGCGGAATCAAGGCGAAACATCACGCGCTGGCGAGGACGGGTCGGCGGCGGCGGGTGAGGAAGAGGGGGCGGTGGTGGCGGGCGAGGAAGAGGCGGCGGGCGAAGAGGTGGCGGCGACGGCAGCCTCGGATGGAAGTGGCGGCAATGGTTCTGGCGTGCTCGCTCTCTGTCGTGCGCTGGCGCACTCTGGCGTGCCCGAGGACGAAGGTGCAGCGCCCAGGCGGCGCTCGCTACGCAGAGCACACCGAGGTGGGGAGCGGGAGCCCCCACCAAAGCGCAAGATGCCGGAATTCTCAGCCGACGGGCGGCGCCTGCGACCGGAGTGGCAGCGGGAGTTCTCAGTCGCCGGGAGAAATCCCAAAAGGTTTTGGCAGAGGCAGGCGATGGGTGCCTTTGTGCGCGGCGTGATGAGCGTGGGCGAGGGCGGCAAGTGTGCCCTCTTTGCGGTGGGGCCCAAGCATGCCGGAGTGCTGGCCAGCGAGGGCAGGTCGGCGCTCGCCATCTACGAGTTCCTCGCCAAGGAGGCGCCGGCGCCTGCAGCCTTCCAGGCGGCGATCGACAGCTTGCCCGGCGCCATCGAGAACAGCAAGCTGCTCGACGGCAAGCGCCGCGTCCGCTCGCTCACCTTCCACACCGAACTGGACCACCTGGTGGAGCTGCTTCGCCACCCGCACCTCCAGCCCGTGCTCAAGGAGGAGCACGTCAAGGCGGTGGAGGCGCCAGACACCACGCGCTCGCTCGCTCTCGAGGTGCAGAAGATGCTCGCCACACTCGAGACCAACTGTGAGGTGGCTACCCGCACGGTGGCGGCGGCGCGAGGCGCCTGCCAGCGACTCCCACGTTTGAAAATTACACACCCATGAAGCATGATGCTGCGGGAATCAAAACTCTGCGTTTCTAAAAGTTCGTTTTACCATCGCTCATACAGTTCCACATGCACATCATCATGTTGTTCCACAAACATGGGACAAAAAAACCGAACACTCACACGAAAAGTGAATGCGGTTTCATTGAACCGATTACGGCTCTGGCGCAGGCGAACCAAAGAGGGCAGAGGGGCCGAGGCGGCGGAGGAGTTGGACGTGTGGCGGCGGTGCCACCTGCCGGTGCATTGCGGGTAGCGGCAGCGAAGGACAGCCTTCCTTCACAGCGAGCACAAGGCAGTGGGCTGTGGGGGCACTGGCCCTGCGCTGCGCATGAAAACAACTCGGCCCGGCCAGTCGGAGCCTCCAGCAGCGAGCCGCGTGCGCTTCCCTCCTCCACCGCGAGAATGCTGCCCCGCGCGGCCGCCGCGCCACGCCGTCGCTGCAGCGTGGCCGCCTCTCCGTCCGCCTGTACCGTGCCGCTGCGTGCCGTTTGGCGCTCCGCTCTTGTGCCGCTCGCCATCTCTGGGTGAAGACCCGCGGCAACCTCCGCCTCCGGCTTCCCTCGTCGTGCAGGGCCCGCGCCACTGCGCTCCCGAGAGGCCGCTTACTGGACCGGACACATCGCCTGCTCGCCTCGCCCCTCCCGCGACGTCTCCCTCCGATAGCTCGACTGCCGCAGCTTGGTCTCTGCGTCACCCCTCCGCGCCGCGAGGTAGTCGTATCGGGTCTTGCTCGCGGCCGCCGTCCAGGGCAGGATGCGCTCGAGCCCGGCGGCGTTGAGCAGGTTGGTCGCGCCCGCCACCAGTAGCAGGGCGCCGAACATGGAGAAGTTGAGCGCGACGACCCACGGAAGCGTCCCGGGCAGGCACTGGCGCGACGGGCCGCCGGCGAGCCGAAGGTCGAAGCTGAGGACCAGCCCCGACCAGCCGAACCACGTCGTGAAGTCCACGTACCAGCAGGTCAGCTGCGCGGGGCCCTGAAGCCAGTGGGCGCCGCCCTCGGGCCCCTTGCCCATGTCGTAGAAGCTCTGGTCGGGCGTGGTGCGCGCGAGGCTAGCCGCGAGGACCAGGCCGAGCAGGACGAGCCCCCAGTAGGCGGCGGCCCCCCAGATAGGGGAGGTGAGCTCGCCGGCGCGGCTGCAGAGCAGCCAGAGGTAGTTTGCGAGCGAGAAGGACCATACGTACCCCACGATGTACTCCTCCACGCCGAGGCTGATCTGCAGCGACTCGCTGTGCGCGACGCGCGGGCTCTCGTGCTGCAGCGGCACCGCCCAGCCGAGCAGCCACGCCGCGAGCAACGAGAGCAGCACCTGCTCCACCGCGCCGGCCGCCGCCAGCCGCGCCGCCTCCCTCGTCGTGTGCGTGATCGCGAGCTGGCGCGTGCCCGCAAAGTGCTCCGTGACGTTCCGGACGAGGAGGTGGCCAGCCTTGCCGGTGGCCGAGGTGCAGGCGAGCGTGGCGGTCCTCAGAGCGTAGGTGCGCGCCGACTGGTCGGCGTACCTGCTGTCGGGCTGGGAGCGGTTGAGCCGCATCAGCCGCAGCAGCGCGTGGACGAGGAGCAGGAAGAGCAGCAGCGACGTCAGGAAGGCCGCGCCCGCCGCCTCGCGCGAGCGGAAGTTGCCCGTCGGGCCGACGCTCCCTACCGCCCGGTGGAGCGCCTCGGTGCCGGCGTCGACCAGCAGAGAAGCGGGGACTCGCACGATCCACGGCAGGCTGAGCAGCATGTGAGAGAGGGCGTTCTGCCACTGCGAGTCTGGCTCGCTCCGCGCCCACGCGCCGAGCAAGAGCGAGCGCAGCAGCACCACGGTGGCGCAGTCGCACGCGAGCCCGAAGGCGGCGGCCTGCACAGTGTCGGCAAGGATGCAGGCGCCGATGTGGTTGCCGAGGGCGCTCACGGTGCACGCCATTGCCATCATCACTACGTTGTCGTTGATGTATTGGAGGAGGTTGCCGGCGAACAGCGTCCCGCGCGGCGGCGGCGGCGCAGCGATCAGCGGCTCGGAGAGGCGGCTCATTCAGTCCAGACTTCTAGCGGCAGGCGCCTCCAGCCAATGGATGGTGCCGTTCTGCGCGCGACTGCGCGACTTTGCTCCGGAGCGGACTTCGCGGGAGAAATTCAGAGACACTCGCAGGACGCGCGCACTGGCACATGGCACATGCACTTAAAATCCCTATGTGGTGGCGGCGTGCCGTCCTCCCATCATCCATGTAGAAATTAAAAAAGAAAGCTCAAGGTGCTCGAGCGGCTTACGCCGCTGCTCGGCCGGCAGGCCGCCGAGCTCTACGGCCGCTTCTCGTGCAAGCCGTCGACCACCTTCAACCACCAAGCGCGCGGCAACGAGCCCTCCATCTCACGCGTGCCGCTCGAGCACGCGGGGGAGATGCAGGCGCACCTCTTCCGCACCATCACCGCCACCGCCCCCGACGAGATCCGCGACGTCCAGCACGACGCCAACCCCGCCGGCCCGACGGAACGGCGGTGCGAGGAGGCGATGCACCTCTCGCAGCGGCACGGCGGCGCTGGCTGGACGCACCCTCGGCTCGTCGCGCCGGCCGCCTCAACCGGACGCGTGATGGACGTCCTCTACCTATTGCGGCGGCTCGAGGACGTGTCGCCGCTAGTGCCGCCGCCGAGTGAGTGGGCCACGTCGGGCGTGCCACTGCTTGAGGAGGCGATCGCGTTCATTGCGATGCTCGTGAGCGACTCGGCGGGCTTCAAGCAGGGCCCAGACGACGAGGCCGACGACTGGAAGTACATCCGCGGCAAGATTGTCGCGCCCGACGGCTCGCTCAACTACGAGGGGATCGAGCTGCTCTCGGGGCGCCACTTCCAGCACGTCGCCAGCGACGCCCTGCAGCAAGACATGTACAGCGCCATCGTCGACGACCCGTCGGTACACCCGGCGACGCGTGCGCACCTCCGCGCGGCGAAGCAGCTCGGGGCGGGCGCGGTGCTAGGCATCGACGCCATCGAGGACGCCGTCGAGTTGCCGGACGAGGCATTCCTTCACGAGGTGCAGGGCTACCTCAACCACCCCAGAGGCGCCATCACCCTCGCGACGCGGTGCACCGGCGAGAGCGAGAGGACGAAGTGCATCTACCACGCGTCGAAGCTGCGCGAGTGCCCGCCGTGCGCCGTCGGCGCCGCCAAGGAGCGGCACATGCTCACGCGCTACGAACACTTCAACGGCACGCACTGGGATGGGTTGCAGATACGGCGGCCACGTCGGCGCTGGACACACCTCGATCAACACCCACGTCATCTCCATCGCCCGCGCCCTCGGCGCGGCGGGGAGCCTCCAGGAGGTGAAGCTCGGGCCCAGAGACCCCAACCGAGCCGTCGACAAGGAGTCCAACCCGAACCAGCGGGGGGACGGCGTCCTTGGCAACTGGACGCACTCGGCACGCAGGATGGTGTTTGACGGCACGACCATCACCGCAGTGCAGTTCCGTAAAGGCATGCTGGGCCCGCTGGCGAGAGGCAAGCACCTCGCCACCGACTACGCCGAGGAGGCGAAGCGGAGTGCCAAGGCCGCGGCGTGCGCGGCCAACAACTACGACTTCATGACGTGGGCGGCGAGCACACGCGGCGGCATTGGCCGCGAGGCGGCGGAGTGGTTCACCACCGGCTTCGCCGCCAAGGTCGCCCTGGCGCGCTCCGACGGCGAGAAGTGGCGAGTGCGCAACGAGCGCAAGCGCCTCCTGCAGCAGCACTCGGCCATCATTGCGAGGCGCAACTGGGAGATCACCCAGCGCAACGCGTGGCCGAGGATGGGCGGCGTGGCGCCGCGAGCGCCGCCAGTCGAGTAGTAGCGGTAGGGAGTAGAGGTAGTCGTCTCAGTAGTGCGTGTCAGAGCGTCCCGTGTCGGTCAAACAGCGTCTGTCGGATAGTAGGAGAGAGTGTGTCGTGTGTCGTGCGGATCAGTCCTGTCTGAGTAGGGGAGGGGAGAGACGGAGAGGAGAGTCATTGAGCCTTGGCACCAGCCGGGCAGTGGGTTTGGCCCTGGCATCAGCCGGGCATGTTGTTGATTTGGCCTTGGCATCAGCCCTGGCAGGCGGGCACGCGGGACATGCACAGGCGCCAAAGGGGCGCAGAACCGACCTAACCCGTCGGAGGTGGGGGGAAGGGAGTACCGCCGGGTTCCCCTGCGTGAGCGCAAGAGTAACCCCGAGAGGGCTGAAGATGAGCGGTGCGCGCAGGGGTCGGCGTGACGGGGCGAGGGACGCGCCGCGCGGGGCGCCGCCTCACCGGCCCAAGTGGCGCAGGGCGAGGCGGCGAGAACCGAGCGAGCACGTCCTCGTGAGCCCCGTGGCTCCAACCAGGCCCTTCCTTTTTTTTGAGCAGGTGTGACGCCGCGCGAGCGACGCTCCGAGATCGCCCGAGATGGCGCGGCGCGGCGGTGGGTGAGGTGGGGTGGGGGGTGGGGGGGGGGGGCGGCGTGGCGTGGAGCTCCGAGATAGCGCGAGATCGCCCGAGATCGCGCGGCGCGGCCCGAGATCGCCCGAGATCGCGCGGTTCTGCGGTCGGCGAGGTGGGTGGGTTGGGAGCGAGGGGGCGGAAGTGTTCAGTGCGGTAGATGGCGAGCTCGAGGCGCGTGAGCCGGACCTGTGAGCCGGACCACCCCCTCTTGTTATCTGCGTTGTTGAGCCAGGACTCAACATACTCGGGCTTGCGAGTCCCAAACTGTCACTCCCCTTTCTCCCGGCCGGGGTGGGGCGCGCGCGGGGGCGGCGGGTGTGCGGCGGGTGTGAGGGATGTCTGTGAGCCCGAGAGCGATATGCCATGTCCGCCTTGCGTTTGTTCATAACATCGAAGGCTAAGCTCAAAAAGAAAAAATTCGCCGTCGCTTCGCTCGCTCACCAGCGAACAAAAGCAGCTCGGGAACGCTCTGCTCGAGCTTTCCCATCTCACCCTTTCGCACATGTCCTGGCGCAAGCAGTGGCACAGTCCGCTCTTCATCAGGGCGCAGGAGCGCGAGCTGGCCTTCCGCGCACTCGGGATCGACCCAAGTAAATCCTCGGAGCCGTCGCTCGACGAGATCAAAGAGCGGTACAAGACGCTGGCGCACAACTGCCACCCGGATCGGCATGCGGGTGCGGCGGAGAAGGCGAGGGCCGAGGCCGAGTTCAAGCGGCTTGGCCAGGCCTTCGAGACACTGCGCAAAAAGACGCCGAGAAGCCGTGCCTTCATCGCCATCGACCCCTTTCAAGGGATTCCGTGGTACCACTACGCGCGGTACCCGCCGTGGAGCTTCGCTCGAGGTCCGCCCTTCGCTCCGACGGGATTCTGGTGCCGCCCGCGCCAAGAGGCGCCGCGAGTGCTGCGCGAGCCCGCCGCCTTGACACGTTGTCCGCCGCGTTAGGTACTCGCTCCTGCTGATCCCCATCGCCGCTTTGCTGTACGACGCTGCAAACCCGTCCTTTGGGGAGCGTCGGCTCGAGCGGCTGCTCGAGCAGGAGGCCCAGGCGGACGCGGAGCGGCTGGCCGCCCGCGCGGCGATGCTAGCGATGGCGGCCGAGACGAGCCGAGCCAGCGAGCACGCCAGCGAGACGACGGCGGCCGGCGAGGCTGCTGGTGCGGCGACGACCAAGGACCGGGTCGCGGCGGCGTTCGCCAGGCGGGCGGAGCGAGTGAGCTCTGTGGAAGCGGCTCGGGCTCCATGACGGCGCTGCACACGGGCCAGCGAGAACAACTTACCTTGAGGTCAACGAGAGAGAGTCCGGCTCCGGGTCAAATTTACATTTCGTGGGTGTTCTCTTGTGATAGAGCGAGTGACGGGTAATCGTGGCCGTGGCCAAGAAAATCAAAATATTAAGCTCTCTATTTGGACCACGGCGAAAAACTCGACGGTTTTGGGCGTTTCAGAGCACGCTGAATCGATTGGCTGAGCTATAATTCTCGCCAGCCCTTTCCTTTCATAATTATTGACTCAAAACTCGATGATCGCGCGACTTTGGAGCCGTTATAGCTCAGCCAAAACGTTCCTCTCGAAAAGTTGACTTAGGAAGCCGCAAGCGGCAGCTTCTCAAAGCCTCACCGGCGCTTATTCTCTTGATCTTTCAAAACCTAGGCCTGCGGCCAAAATTTTCTAAAGGCCGCTGCGCGGCCAGCGCAATGCGCAACCAGTCAGCGACCGACAGTCAGCAGCAGACTGTGACGATTGGCGGCCTCGCGCCCTCAGTCGACCTCCTCTACCAACTCCCCTGCCCAGCCCATATGCCTCATCCACGGTGGCGCAACCACTCGCGCAGGGAGAGAGAGAAAGTCGGCGATCTGCGCCGTGCAGATGAGCTCCGCCTCGTCTGCGTCGAGGACGCCCATCGCAGGGCTGTCATAGCGCCATTGCATATGACGTACTGCATGTTGTTCATTACTTCGCAGGTGCCAAAGTCGAGGATAACCTCACTCAGCGATGGCGAAGGCTGCACTCCCGGCCGGCGGTAGGAGGGATGAAGGTTATGTACTTCGCAGTGTACAGTGCCTTCCGGCGCGAACAGTGCCCGGGACGAAAGAGGAGGCGACGTCTCCCTCGTCCATGGACGGTGTAGCCAGCTTGAGAGACGGGAACGAACGGCGGTGAATCGCCGACAGCGGCGCCTTCGTTCCTTTCCAGTGAATCGCCGGCGGGTGCCCTGAGCGTTGTATCTGTCGGCCAGTTGCCGCACCGCCGGCAGCAGCTCCGCAGCAGCCGCCCAGATGGCGCCGGTTAGGACAGGAGCGAAGCCGCGTGGACACGGCTGAGCGACGCCGTGCGTCTCGTTTGGATGCTGCAGGCATGCCGGGCAGCGCGCGTGCTCCATCCATACCGCGGCGTCGGGCGCCCGCCGAAATCTTCGATTTCTTCGGCGTAGGGGACCAAAAAACCCTGAAAATTTTCTTCGCCTGCGGCGGGCAATTAATTTCGATACTTTCGCTTTCACAGCTCTTTCACACGACTTTATCCGTCACTCGCTCGATAGTGCCCCGAACTGACCTCGTGTGCGTACACGAGAGCTAAAACGTAAACGAAGTACTACGGGCCTGTCTGGCGGAACGACGGCGCGTTGGGCCCGGTGGGGGGGGGGGGGGCCTCCGGGCTCCGGCTCCGCGCCCGCTACGCGGCTTTTTCTGGCTTTTTAGTCCTAGGTGACCGGCCTCCGCGCTCCGGCGGGATGGAGTGGTTTGCTGTTTGTGCATACTGGATGTACGTTTAAAGCGCGCCCACAGGCAGCACTCTGCGCTCTCTCCACCACGAGTACTCCACCCAGGGCTCTAGCCTCTACTCTTACTTAAGGTCCGACAGGCCCACTCCCTTACCCTCCTCACTCTAACCCGCAACACCCCAACCCCGTCATCGCCCTCGTCCTCACCCTCCAGGTGACAGCGGGGCAGGGTACAGCCGGCTGGTGGAGGAGGGTGCAGGCTCCAGGCTGGTCGACGAGTATGGCTCGCTGCACCCAGCAATCCCCTTAAGCTTGCTCACGGCGCGCCTCCCCCACCTTGTGAGCCAGCCCACCGCGCTCGCCAACCAATCCGGAATCCGGGCCCTCGCCCTCGCCCTGCTCTCCCTCGAAGCTGCTCTCCCAGCTGTTCACACCCAGCTGTTCACACCCAGCTGTTCACGCATTGCCACTCCCCACTTGCAGGGTGGGGACGACAAGCCGTCGCTGCGCGCGCTGTGCGCTTTCGTATGCCAAAAGCCGCAGGTGGCCAACCGGCTGCTCTGGTTGGTCCTACTTCTCTTCGTCCTCCTCTTCGCTCTCAAGATCGTGCCCGACGTATACGACCAGGAGTTCGCACACGCAGCCGAGGAGTGAAGCGCTAAGGGAGGCGGCCGACGCAGAGGCTGCCGAGGACGTAGCGCTTCAGGTATATATTCGATAGGCACCCTGACAGTGGCACGTGCATGACCTACATGTACATGTGATGGATACGTGCATGCGAATGGTTAGCATGTCGAGAAGACCGGTGTGTATCGCGACCGTGAAGAGGTCCGTGGAGGATCGCTCACGCCCTATATATCTCGTCTCAATCGCGCCGATAGCGGTGTCAGGGACATGGCGTAGACATGTCCCTGAAGACTGGGCAATATAGGACCCCACTTGTGATGACTGATGAATGATGTCGGTTGTCGCCGCGCCCTATAAAGTGAAAAGTCACGTCACCCTTTACGGTAACTTCTGACCTTCATGCTGACCTTAGCCCTTACAGCTTACAGGCCCAACTTGGGGCTCGGGAGGGTCACGGGGTGGGGGGGTGTAGTCGGGTAGTAGTCGGGGTAGGCTCAATCTTCAAAGCAGCGCTCCCCATCTTAAGAGATTGATCAGGGGGGCTGGGTGAGCGATCCTAGAGGTCAAGGGGGCATAAAAAGAACACAGAGCAAAAAGGCTCACGGCACCCGGGTCCCGGGGCCGGGCGATACCGATAGTTCGTTTCTTTGGCCCGATGGCGGCGGGCGGGAGTTTCGCTCGCAGCACGCAGCACGCAGGGAGGGGTAAAGCCAAAAGGGCGATCCGGGAGGACCAAGTTTCAAAGAAAATACGACACGCGTACCATACTACCGTGTACCGACTTGCTCGCCAGAAGCAGAACGTGCTGAGTGTGCGGGTGTGCGCAACGAAATGCTTTTCATCGCAGCACGCCGCACGAGTACGAGTACGAGTGGCGCGCGTCCCCTCCCTCTTACCGTAGCGCGCCACACCTCCTTTGAAGATAATCGCCCAGGTATGACCGCGCATCTGTACTGCCCAGGACTGACGCCTTACCTGCACATCGCTGAGAGAGTGCGTCGAACCGCACTGTGGAACGAGCGCTCTCACGATCACATTGTGGTGTCGATGGCGTGGACTGCGTTCCCGTGGTCGCTCTACCCAGGGGGCAATCAATCCCACATTACTGGTGAACTCAGCCCTCGGCCGTTAACGCGTTTCTTCATTGAGACGAAGGCCTTTGAGCCGCGGCTGACTGCGACGAGTGCACGCGATCCTCGCCAGCGGGACGTGGACGACTACCTTATTCCCGCGCCGTATATTGAGAGCGGCCCTGTGATTGCTGAGGCAAGAGGTAGTTCAGGTGGCACTCACCATTCATCCACAGCACATCGCAGCCTCGACTTCTTCTTTGGCGGTCAGACTACTACCAGAGTGGGACCAGGTAGGCGGCACAAGGGTTACTACATGCGATGGGAACTCATGCAGCAGTGGTTACGAAATCGTACCGCCTTTGAGCGCACACTGCTGGTGGAGACGGACAATGGTGGCCAGCCACTGGGCGTGTCGACAATGAGGTCTCCGAGCAGTCCATGGCCCGCTGTACGACGGTGCGATCACCCGCTCGTCAACAACAGCGCGATCGCCCCGAAGATGCATTGGTCTTGGAGTAGAGCACCAGAAAATCGTAGCGAGGCCTCGTCGTGCATTCCGCCATGCACTGCGCAAGATCTCGAAGCAGGTGGGGCAGGCGTAGCCTGCTATGGACAGTACAGCGTGGCGGCAGTGCTACCTCGTGTGCGTTTCGTCCTCTGCGTGCGTGGAGACGTCCCGACCTCGCCGCGTCTGTACGACGCCCTTCACTACGGCGCGATTCCGCTGCTGATCTCAGATCACATGTGGAGCGTGGGCTTGCCCTTCCAGTGCTTTGTGCCATATGAGTTGATGGTGGCCACTATCAGCGAAGCAGAGATTCGTCGTGATGCTGCAAGCGCGCTCCGGAACCTGTCGACAGCAGTCTCGCCAGAAGCGGAGCACCGCATGCGCAGTTTGGTGCGCCACTTCCGCAAGGATCTCCTGTGGCGCCTTCCTGACAGCCGAGTCACCGAGAACGTCTTGCTCGAAGCCGCTCGGTTTCGAAAATCAAGGACCAATCATGGGGGGTGTTGCCCAATTGTTGACCGGACCGATCGATTTTACCCAACGGAACATTCTGGAGGCTGCCTCTGGGGCCCAGCGGCGGTTGGTACTGCGAGCGGCGGCTGCCGCGGCAGAGCGCGCGGCGATGCTCGTGAATCGAACCGCGCTGTGCGCCTCCAGCGCCGCCGAGAGCCGCATCTTTGACCGCGACCTCGGTGGTGGTGATGATTGGAGAGGTCTGCGCGGTCTCGGGCGAGAAGACCGCGTCGTTGGCGACCGAGAGCGATCTGTGGAGGGATCAGTCGACAGCGCTCTCAGAGGCGTGCGAGAGGAGGTCTGGCGAGGTGTAGCGTTCTATAAAGGAAGGGTCTGGGAGTGTGCAGAGGTTGCGGGATCCCTGAAGCTGGCTACGGAGGGCAACGGGCTGGCGGCTCACCGGTGCCGGTGACGGTAGCAGTCCTCGGAATGCTCCTCGTTCACTCCCGAGGCCTCCAGGATCATGTCCTGGCCGCACGGTGAAGAGTGCCGAGCGTCACCATATGATGGAGTCAATGGCCAGTTCTCGACCGTTGATAGCACCTGCGAGGATAGATGGGCGGGACGGTGAGAGAGAGAGGCCAAGGTGGAGGCGCTAGCGGGTGAGCGGCTCGGCGTCCAGCCCCAATCGCCCAAACGCACAACGGTGGACTGGTGGCGGGCGGGCGGGGAGAAGATGCCGCACCTTTTCGAGGGTGGGCCTAGCCATCGCGCCGACCTTGTGCCAGCAGCAGAGCGCCGTCGGTGATGATCACCGTGAGCAGGGTCAGCACGTCCGCCACCATGCTGCCGGAGGCGCTCGGAAGGTCGTTTCTCGGGTCGCGACCAAGTTTTTTCATCAAGATACCGGAGAGCCTCGTTTACCTGGAAAAGCTCTCTTTCTGGTCTTGTATGGCGCATTTGATGCTGTGTATGTGGCTCATATGACCCCAGAGCATGATGCTAGTCCATATTGACCAGGATGACGCAGAGGTTCATGCACGGCTGCGGTACATGTGAGTGAGTCGCGCGCAGTACATGAGTGAGTTGCACCTGGTACATATGAGTTGTTCGCGGTACATGAGTCTCGCCTGCGGTACATATGAGTCGCACGCGGTACATGTGTTGCGGCTGGTACATGTACATGTGAGTTGTGTGCGGTACTAGTAGCGTAGTAGGATGAGATTATGAAAAACGCCGGAATTCGGACGAGTACTCTCGCCTGCACAAATTCGATAAGTGGGACAAGGAGGGATGCGTCCCAGGGTCCTGGAGTTTCAGGCGTGCTTTCGCTCCGACTCCTCGGTGACCAAACGACGAGCTGGAGAGCTGGCGACCGAACGCTACCCGAGGCGGCTGGCGGCGATGGACGACCGAGCGGAGACGCAACGAATCGAGGAGCGGCTCCCGCAGGGAACCGACGAGTGGCTCGCGAGACCTCGGCTGTTGACGACTTCGCGAGGAACGATCACGCCGGTGGTGATACTGCAGCCGCTGTCCGCGCCGGTCGGCGACGTGGTGATGTACACCGGGCCGTTGCAGCCGATCGGCTGGCAGCTCCACGGGATAGGCAGGGAGTTCGGCGGCGGGACACAACCTGCGGATGGCGCGATCACACAAGACAAGCGCAGGGTCGACGTCGGGCCGACGCGAGCAAGCAAGTCGAGGCGGATGGATCGGCGCCTCACCCACTGGCAGTGCATCTACTGCCGGCGCGAGACGCGGAACGATGCACGGGCGACGAGTTGCTGGAACTGTGGTGGCGAGAAGGAGCAGCTCCGAGATGCGGACAGTGAAGGGCGCGAGGCGGCACGCCGCGGGCAACGTGCGAAGGAGTACGCTGGCAGATCGCTGAACGCCCTCGGTGCTGGTACGTCGCTGGTGCCGCGAGCCGCGCAGGGAGTGTTCGAGCGGGCGCGAGTGGACGTGCTCGTGCACTGGGAGACGCAGCAGCTCGAGCAGTACACGGGGGCGGCTTCTTACCTGCGAAAGGAGGAGTCCATGCTCGGGGTGATGGAGTCGTACTACGTCGTGCACACGGGCGCTCGGGTGAGCGTGTTTGATGAGGAGAGGCGGTCCCACATGACGGGCACGGACGTTGCTCGTTTCTTCAACGCGATCGGGCGCAAGGCGGCGGTGGGCGTGCCGGGCGAGACTACCTTTCCCATGGGCGGTTACTTCAACGAGTTCCGGCGTGAAGGCATGACCATCGAGCTCGTGCGAGAGCTGCGCAGTGCGGTCACGTTCGCAATCACTGCGGCCGGCGGCGACGTGACGGCGATCACGAAGAACGCGATCTCCCTTAGTGTGGGTAAACGAAAGTACCGCTCGTAAAAACGGCGCGTCAAATGCAGCATCCAGGCGTCTAAAGAAGACGACATGAATGGTTCACAGAGAATGTGTTCAGACCTTTGGCTTTGCGCGGGTGTGTGTTTGGTTTTTGTGTGTGTGGACAGCCATTCCGCGTGGTTGAGGGGTTGAAGGGGTCTGTCAACCACTTGGTTGAGGGTTGAGGCCTCTGTCAACAGTGCGATAGCCAAGTATACAAAATAAAAAAACAAAAAATCGGCCGACGTTGCCATCAAGGAAGGGAAGGAGCTGCAGCTGTCAGCAACTGCAACTGATGTCGAGGCCGGAAAGAGAAGGCCGCGCCTCAGATTCATCTTCGGCTCACCCGCCGTCGACGCTGGATCCTACTAGCTTTCTGTGTCCTCGTCGGTGTAGCCGCTGTGTTCGCCGCTGTGTTCGCCCTGGTTACGACCTGGGGTGGAGGCGAAAGGCTCGGAGCCCCGCCAAGACGGAGGTTTGGTGCCAGTCGCCATTTGGGGGGGGCAGGCGGCGGCGCGAAACTAGTAATCAAAATTCATGAGGAGGCTGCGCAATTGTGCGCGCGATAGTAGGAGATGTAGGAGTCGTCTAGCTTCTTCAGATCCTCAGCCTCGCTACCCGATGCGAGGATGGGGGGCTGTTGAAGACCGACGACCGCGCAGCCGTCTAGTCTACGGCCACACACACACACACATAGTGTCCTTACCACCCCTGGACTGCATCTGCGCAGTTTCGTACCGCTGCGGCGCGGTTTTGCAAAAACCGTTCTGCAGCGGCGCGGTTTTGCCCTTCACCCGCAGCCTGGATTGATAGTCATTGTGGGTGTGGGGGCCGCGGGCCAGGACTTTTGTTTGAACAAAGTTTTGACAGTACATTTCTGTCGGGCCTTGGAACAGCTGGCGGGCGCGGGGGCGGCGGGCGCGGGGGCGGCGGGCGCGGGGGCGGCGGGCGCTGGCTGGATGAGCCTTCGGCCAGACGCGAGGACGCTCACGAGGACCAGTAGCCTGACCTGTATCGAGAAGCTTCACCTATTATTCTTCCTTCCCCATTCCAGAGTGATAAATAGTCCGCCGTATTCCCATGTCCCCGGATTCCCATGCCCAAATAGTGGGTTAGTGGCACGTCACGGCTCCCCAACTCCCGTTGTGCAAGTTTGGCACGTCATAGTCTCTGACTGCTTTCGCTGGGCGGCACGCGCTTTGCTGTTGTGGTGTCACAACTCGGACGCTCTAGAAATATGTCTTCCTCCGGGAATGTACGCAAGAGCCACATACATGGAAAAACCACCGGGCACGGGGAAGTTGCGAAGGGCAAGTGGAGTGCGGGAGGTACGACTGGGCCTGCGAGCGGGGGCGCGTGGCGCCCTTCATGAACCTGTCCTTTTCAGATAGGACACCGCCAAGCGGTGCTTTCGTGGACCCCACGTGCCACGAGCTTTCGTGGACCCCACGAGGTGATAGGGTGAGGGGAGGGGGGAAGGCCTCGAGAGAAGGGTGGTGTTTAGAAACACCGGGGTTGGTTGAAGGGAAAAGAAACTACTCCTTTTTCGACTTCTTCGGCAGGAGCACCGAGTGGATGTTGGGGAGGACGCCGCCCTGCGCGACGGTCACGCCGCCGAGGAACTTGTTGAGCTCCTCGTCGTTGCGCACCGCGAGGGTGATGTGCCGGGGGATGATGCGCGACTTCTTGTTGTCGCGCGCGGCGTTGCCCGCGAGCTCGAGCACCTCGGCCGCCATGTACTCGAGGACGGCGGCCAGGTAGACCGGCGCGCCCGCGCCGATGCGCGAGGCGTAGCGGCCGAGCTTGATGTGCCGGTGCACGCGCCCGACCGGGAACTGGAGGCCCGCCTTCGCCGAGCGAGACGTCGCCTTCTTCTTGGAGCCACCGCGACCACCCTTGACCATGGTTGATTTGTGTTTGATTGTGCGCCCTGTGGTAATTTCGTGCCGCGGCCAAGGTCCCCTCAGCCGAACACCCGCCCTGCAGCGGCGCGCGCCAGAATTCGAGGCATCGCCGGCTAGCCGCGCCCGTGTCTCTCCCTGAGTGCACAACCAACGACCCGTCGGCACCGGCACTCACAGCCTCCCCCTCCGTCCACCGCAGGCGCCATGCCCAGCGCATCACCCGACTCGCTCGCGGCGGCGCAGCGTGCCTACGACCTGCTCAACACCGACTTTCCCCAAGTCGACGCGCCGTCGCTCGCCGCGCTGCGCGACGCCCTGTCCGCCTCCACCTCCCACTTCCCGCCCACCGCCGCCCTCGTGGCCAGCCTCGAGTGGGCGGCGACGCAGCCGCCGCGGCCGCCAGCCGCTCCGCAGGGCGAGCTCGTCGGGCTCTGCCCGCTGCCCGCACCGCCGTCGTCGTACGCCGAGGTGTACGCCGTCGGCTGCGTCGAGCGCGCCGCCGCGGCAGTCGCCGCGTACGCCGAGGGCCGCCTCGCCGTTGCCGAGCAGACCCTTCGACGGTGCTCTCTCCCGCCACCGACAGAGGCGTGTCTCTCCGCCTCCCTCTTCCTCGATCGGCCGGGCTCGGTGTCTGTAGGTACGAGCCTCGCCGCGCCGAGCCGGCATGCGCTGATGACGGCTCCGACGTCGAGGCTGCGGCGGCAGCGATCGCAGCCTCCGCGGTCGGCGGCGAGGATGACCAGAGCGGAGTCCAGAGCGGGCCGGCCGACGGCGAGGTGAGCTGCGGGCAGAGAGGAGCGAGTGGCCCACATCCGCTCGATCCGTCCGCCGCGCGCTGCCACCCGCCCGCGTCGCGCTGCAGGTGTGGGCGGCTGATCCAGACGACGACGACGTGCCGTACGAGCCCTTGCAGCCTCTGCAGACGGCAGACGGAATGGCGGGCGCTCACTCCCTCTCCCTCCCACGCCCACCCTGACCGCGCCTCGCTCCTCTGCCGTAGGCGGGGCCCGACGCCGCCTGCGCGCCGCTCCTCCTCGCCTCGCGGCCACACGCGGACCTCGCGCCGGCGCCCCTTCAGGCGTGCAAGCGCTGAGATGCCTTCGCCGCGGCGACTCCACCGCCTCAAACACCGCCACCGCCTCCCCAGCAGCAGCACTTCCACCACCACCGCCGCCCCCTCCTCCTGTCCGCGACGACACAGTCACACCGTCCACCACCGACACCAACACCTCCGCCGCCGCCGCAACCGCCGCCGCCGCATGTCATGTCCACGTGCACGGACACGTCTCGCAGGCCCGCCTCGAGGGGCTCGTCGGTTCGCTCGGCTACGCGCCGCTCGCGCCGCTGCCGCGCGATGCGCCGCTGCACGCGCGCACCCTCGCCGCGACGGTCGCCGCCGTCCGCGCCGCCGCCGCCGCCGCCGCCGCGGGCTCGCTCGACGCGGCTGCGGCCGAGCGGCTCGCTTGGCCGCTCCTCTCGTTGGCGCGCGAGCGGGTGCGCGCGGCGCCCGACGAGGCGGTCGAGCAGCTGCCGCGCTTCCTCGCCGCCCTCGACGGCGCCCGCGGCTGGCGGCGCCGCTTCCTCGCCTCCCTCCTCCCCGACGGCCTCCCTCCCCCTCCCGCCCGCGCTTGGCTAGCCCTCGAGGCGGCGGTCAAGACAGAGCTGCCACCGTTGCTCGCCGAGCTCAGCTCCCCCGCCGCCGCCGCCGCGCCGCCCGCGAACCCGACAGCTCTCCTGCTCTCTCTCGCGTCGTGCTACGTCGACCCGCCGCCGCAGCACGCCGCGCGCGCCGCAGAGGCGCGCGGCGCGGCCCCGGGCTTGGGGGGCCCTTTAAGCCCGCGGAACACGGAGCCCTCCGAAGGGGGGGGACCCCCCCCCCCCCCCCCCCCGCCCGGCACACCGCGCCGTCCACCGCGTCGTCTCCGCCCCGTCGGCTCCCCCTTCTCCCCTCCGACCGGTGTGCCCCCCGACGGCCGCCAGGCGCTGCTAGCGAGCGGCGTGCCGCAGCTGCTGCTGCAGCGGCGGATCGGCGCTGGCGAAGTGAGTGGTGCCATCCCCCTCACCCCCCAGACAGGGCAGGGGCGTCACTGCCGCCTCGCGCAGCTGCCACTGGATGCCTCCTCCGCCTCGTCGCCCCCCCCACCCCGCGCCATCCCTCTCGCCCTCTCGTCCGCAGCGTGGCGACGCCGACGCATCGGCCGAGTGGTCGTGGCTGCTGCGCGCTTGCTGCCGCCACCGCACGGTCCTCTCCTTTTGCTCGCGGGTGAGGCAGAGCCGACTCGAGCCCCTGCCCCGTGCCCCTGCCCCGCTGCCCGCCCGCTCCCTCCTCCGCCCCTCCCTCCCTTGCCGCCTACTACCCATCCTCCGTGCCAGGTGCCGGCGCTCCTCGCCGCCATCCGCAGCTCGGTGCCGCCCGCCCTCGGCCCCGGCCGCCAGGGCGGCACGCGCCTCTCTAGCCCACCCGCACACGACGCTTGCATCTCCGCCCCCACACGCCGCCCCCTTCTCGCCGCCCTCACGTCCCCGCCCTCGCACGCCACCCTGTCCGCCCGGCAGGCGCACCTCTCCTCGCGCGGCGCCGAGCGGCTGACCTGGCTGTGGAGCCTCGCTGTCGAGCGGAGGCAGCCGCCGCTCAAGGGGGACGCAGAGGTCGAGGCGGAGGCGCTCGTGGCGCTGCAGGCGGCTTGCTCCGCCGCCGCCCCGCTGCCCGCCGAGGCGGACGGCGGCACAGCCGACACGGACGAGCACTTGCGCGCCCGGTCGGAGCGCGCGCTCTGCGTGCTCGAGCTGCTCGAGACGCTGCGCCGCACCGCTGCTGGCGCGCTGCCGCCGCAGTTGCTGCTGCTCTCCCCGGCAGGCTCGCCGCTGTGGGCGGCGGTGCAGGAGTTTGGCGCCGGCGCTCGCGTCGAGCTCGCGCGGCGGCGAGGCGCCCACGGCGAGGCGGCGGCGGCAGGGCCGGGAGGCAGGCAGGCGGGCGCGACGGGCGAGCAGAAGCTCGCCGAGCTCCTCGAGCGCGTGGGGCTGGCCGTCAAGTCGCTGCAGCTGCTCTGCGCCGCGCCGAGCAAGGGAGACTAGCGAAAACACACAAGGCAAAGTGCTATTGAAGCGGGAACGCCGTGTATTGCGGACATGCGTGTGTGTAGTCTGTTTTCACCGCTGAGCTCTGAGGTGAACTGTTAGACCCGTGAGAGGAGGAGCGCGAATCGATCGCCTGGGGCCTCGTGGCTGGCTCGCGTCGGGCCTCGGGGCCGGCTGGCACAAAACGAGATACGTGGTATTGTACCTACTTTCTTTGCACGACGCCACTTCGATCCTCACGACCCAGCGTACTCACTTCGTCGATCTCTGGCGCTGCGTCCAGCACGCTGTCCACCGGCAGCCTCGTGTCCTTGCTGTCCGCGAGGCTCCTCGCGACCGTCCGCGCATGCCCGCTCAGTGCTGTGATCACCCTCTTCGCCGAGGCGTGGCTCTCCTCGCCGCTGCCAAGGCGGTGCGGCAGCCCCTCTTCGCCGAGCTGCGCTGCGACGTCGGCCAACGCCGCGCGCGCTGCCTGCCGCGCTCGCCGCATCGCGTACAGCTCGCAGCAGCTTCGCTCGCCGGCGTCGAGGAGCGCGGCCACTGCGTCCAGCCCAAAGGAGGAGGCGTCGAGCGAGGAGAGCCGCTCGTAGATCGCCCTGCCCGCCCACGCGTCGGCGGCGGCGTAGGCCACCTGCCTCTCGCCCAGAGGCGCCGCCCAGTCGGAGGCCTGCAGCGCCTTTGGCTTGCTGAGCTCCACCCCCGTCGTGGTGGCGAGCAGGCGTGCGAGGCTGCGCGAGCGCTCTGCCACGCCGGCGAGCTCAACCCGCCCGTTCACCTCCAGCCCCCAAAACTGCCATAGGTCGATTGCGTCGTTGTCGACCCCGACGCCAGCCTTGAGGATCGAGCGGTCCTCCAGCGTGGCAGTCAGCGCGTGACGCACGCCGTCGGCACCCTCTCGCGCCTCCCGCGCCGACTCGACCCACGCGCCTCGTCTGCCGAGCCGGTGTCGCGGCGCGAGGTAGACTTGGGCCACGAGGCATGCGTGCATGGTCGAAAGCTGGATGACGGCTGGAGGGTTGGGTCGGCCCTTTCGGTGGCTCGGCCGCGTCTCGGTGTCGAAGCCAACCACACCTGGCGCCGAGCAGTGTTCTTCGACCCAGGACCGCACGTCCGCCGCGCTGGTGGCGTGCGTGACGACTTTCTCGCCGATGCCCGGGAGGAGGAGGCCGGACGTGGCCAGGAGCAGGAGGAGCATATCTTGAGGCGAACCGCGCGCGGACGAGGAGGACGCGGACGAGGAGAGCGCCCGCTCGCAGAGAGGCCTGGCCCCGGCGGTTGCAAGAAACACGAAAGCGCCCCCGTACTCTCGAAATCTTGGCCTCACATCTTACATACATAACTTAGGGGATCAACTGTAAAAGGGCAGCAGCGATCCTGCAAAAAAAACGGCAGCCGGGCTGCCATCGGCCAACCTAGACGGCCGTCAGCGTCCGCACCGCCGAACCGCCGAACGCCTTGACCTGCTCGGCCGTCAGCGTGATGGTCGCCTCGTCGGCAACGGACGCACCGTCAGCAGCGTTGGTGAGCGTCCGCACCGCCGGCTCACCAAATGCTTTCACCTGCTCGGCGGTCAGCGTGACGGTGGCCTCGGCTGCAGGCGCGTCGGCCACAGCGTCGGTGAGAGCACGGACTGCCGGCTCGCCGAAAGCCTTGACCTGCTCGGCGGTCAGCGTGATGGTGGCCTCGGCCGCAGGCGTAGCGTCGTCAACGGGCGCGCCGTCGGCAGCGTCGGTGAGCGTCCGCACCGCCGGCTCACCGAATGCTTTCACCTGCTCGGCGGTCAGCGTGATTGTGGCCTCGGCCGCAGGTGCGTCGGCCACAGCGTCGGTGAGAGCACGGACGGCCGGCTCGCCGAATGCTTTGACCTGCTCGGGCGTGAGAGTGATGGTGCCCTCCGAGACAGCAGGTGCCGATGCGGTCGCTTCCTTCGCCACCAGAGCTGCCGCCGGCTCCTCTGCGGCCGAGAGTCGAACGCCAGAGTCGAACCAGCTCCACACGCTGACGCCGACGCTGGGCACGCCGACAACAGGCTTGTTGGCCTCCTGCTCGTACATCTCCGCGTAGCGGGTGTCGTAGCCCCATGTGAAGCCATCTGGCGGCGCCGTCGCCTCCCACATCGCAAAGGACTGTGTCACGCTGCGAGCATCGAATGGCGCACGCTCGAGGGTGGCGACGGCGACGATCGGTGGCGTGACGCGCGTGCGCACGGCGCCGCTGGGTGGCGCGTGCGGGATGGCGAGGGCCTCAGGCGAGCCCCAGGCGAGCAGCAGCATATCGGCTGTTCAGATAGATTCGGCCCCCCCTCGCCAAGATTCACGCACAGACTGTGAACGTCAACGCCCAGCGACGACAATGAGAAGTCATCACGCGTCCCAGGGGAAGGCGAACGGCCTTTGATTATGAAGAAATCCCTCTTTTGATTATGTGAGTAAGCTTGAATTCACGCTCAACGATTTATCGACACACCCTGCGACCCGGCCTCCTTGATAGGCGTTGTTTGTGGAGAGGGACAAATCACGCTCCCGGGACGCCATCTCTGGGTTCGTCCTTACCGCACCGGGCCGACCCTCGGCGGCAAAAAACGGTTACGTCGTTTATCAAGGGAGACGATACGCTAACTCCCCCCCCAGGTATCGTCTAGCGGGCACTGCGTAGGAGGGCCCGCTAAGGATGTCGGCGGCCTCGGAGCGAAACAGCGGCAAGGAGGAGTCCATGGCACTCCCCTCCGCGTGGGAGCGCTACCTGGGCGCGACGGCCCACCAGGGGCCCGCGCCCTTCGGACGCACCCCAAGGTGCAGCGCGGCCACTCCGCCCGCCGCGCTATCGAAAGCACCTTGACGGCCTGGCCCCTGCTCCCAGGCAGAACCCCGAATCGCTGTCGTCGTCGGTCGACTCCAATCCGCAGCAGCAGCAGCAGCAGCCACGGTCGCCCGCCTCTTCGACAGACAGCATCCAGAGCGGCGGGTCCACTACGTGGCGTTCCGAGTGGGAGCGGTTTCTCGGTGAGCCGCATTGCAACGCCCTCCCGCCCTCCTCACTGCTCGCGCGCGCTCTGAGCTCTGACGCATACCTCTCACCACGCCCTGTCAGAGGAGCCCTGCCCGGCGCTCGCGCTCTGAGCTCCCTCGCATGCCTCTCGCCACCCATTACAGGTGAGCCATGCCCGGCGCCTCGGTGGGGCAGCCGGTGGTGATGTGGCTGAGCTGACATGGCATGGATGATGTGGCTGCAACGTGGGCAGAGCGCGAGTGAGGCACCACGATACGGGATGCGGTTGGCCCGTGGACTGATCATGTGAAGCATGGAAAGAGAGTCATGTGACGAGTCGTACGGCTACGGGGGCCCCTTTAGGTGGGTAGCAGCTCTAGTGTACCGAGTCCGGCTCCACGGGCTGTTGTTAAAGCTCCGTGTGTTTGTTCAAAACGGCGTCATCTTTGGCCGCGCTTGCTCTAAAGTGACTGGGGCGCTGGGCGATGGGGGGGAGCTGAGCACACCACCCGCACCGTCCACCCCGAGAGGTCAGAGCCGAGAGCGCCGCGCAGGCACGATCCACACGGCCGCGTGGGGGGTACTGGGGAGAGCCCCCCCCCCCCCCCACCCACCCCCACCCCACGGGGGGATATTGGGCCTCGTTCGCGCGCGCGGGCGCCGAGAGATACAAGCGGGGACACGCGCGACAGGACGAGGACTCCGGTGCGGCCCCACGCACAACGGCCGGCCGGGCACACGCCGCGAGCCAGCGCGACCGGGATAGCGGCCAGCCAATACCCCGCGCCGCAGCGGTGGAGCGCGGTGCGCAGGCCAGGTGGGCACATCACAGCCCCTTGGAGCGCCCTGTGAAGACCCGGAGGGCTGGAGCGAAAAAAAGCAAGCGAGTGGGCACATCACATAATTCCATGCACATGTCCACATGATATATTGACAGAGTGGGGATGTGTGCTCGCTACTACACGTACTCTCTAGCCACACGATAGCCACACGACACAGTAGACAACCTGGTAGACAGAGACTGTGAAAGGCGACAGACTGAGGAGGGTAAAGCTGAAGGGGAGGCTGAAGGCAAAGAGGCTCGGAGCCCAACCAGGGGAACGTACATGTCTCGCTATGCACAAAATGCGAGACGACATGATGGATGGAGCCGTGGCTCGGCCGCCAATAGGTCGCACTGGGTGGCAAGCCGGCCAGGGCCACGCCCGAGCTGTAGGGCGCGCGGGCAGGTTGGGAGCCGTCGCACTAGAAGCGGTGGACGGCCGCCAGCGGCACTTCGTCAGCGGCGGCCGACGGCGGAGGCGCGAGACTGCGGGGCGTGCCTGCGGCTTGCGGCGGCCTCGGCGCGAGCGCAGCCGCTGCGGATGCCGCGAGGTCCGGCTGGCGCGGCGTGGCCTCCGGCGCGCCACCGCGTGGCGTCGGCGTCGGCGGCGTACCGGGCGGCGGTGCCGGTGGCTCGGCCCGGGCGGGCGGCAGCGCCGAGTCGCCGTCCGTGAGCTTGAGCTGAAAGACTTCGTCTTGCTGCGCAGCGGCCTTGCCCCTTGGCCCCGGGAGCAGCGCCTTGACAACCGTGGCCGCCTTGGAGGCCGTCGCCCCCACCGCCTTGGCCCTGCTCCAGGCCTGCGAGGGCGGGTCGACCTCGAAGCGGATGCTCTCGCGCAGGGAGTCGATCTCGTCGGCGACGCTACGCGGGCTGCCAGCCGGGCTGGCGCTTTCGCCATTGTCGCCCCGCGGGCTGCCCCGCGCCGAGGGCATGCGACCCGAGGCGCGCAGCGACTCGCGCAGCACCTGCGCTCGCTCGACGCCGCGCATCACGTCCTGCTTGGTCGCCTTGGTCTTGAGCATGTCGACAGACATGACGGCGGCGATCATCGAGAGCACCAGCTTGGGCCGCGCCTCGAGGATATCCTGCCAGCCGCAGAAGACGCGTGCGCCCATCTTGTGCGCCGTCGAGATGGCGAGCTTGGCGTTGAGCTGCCGCTCGAGCTCCGTGATCCCCGGCTTGATGAGGTCCTCGCGGATGGCGAGCGGCGCCACCGCCCTCATCAGCTCGAGCAGGAAAACGCCGCTCTTGACGGCCGGGTCGCCGAACTTGCTGAGCTGGACGTCGCAGCCCGCCGACAGCACCCTGGCATTGGCCCACGCGAGCACGTGCGCCGAGTCCATGTCGAGCTCGTCGAGGAACTGCAGCAGGTCCTTGCGCATCAGCTGCCACCACACGGCGAGGAGCAGCTTCTCGTTGCCCTCGGCGATGTCGGAGCCCTGGATGCCGACCACCTTGCAACCGAGCTTGCGCGCGACGCCGAGGGCGTACTCGCAGTTGTCTCCCTTCTCGTACCGATTCTTCGGCGAGCCCTTCACCCTGCTCCAGTCGACGGAGCCCGGCTGCAGCCGCTCCATCACCTTGAGCAGCACGATGCCCGTGCACGAGTCGGCGTACAGGTCCTTCATGTTGAGCTTGAGGCCGAGCGACGCCGCCCAGTTCTTGAAGACGCGCCCTTCGGCCGCGTCGTTGGTCTCCTCCTCGTACGTGTCGAGCTCGCCCTCCTCGCCGCCGTCGCCAAAGGCGTCCACCACCGAGGCCACGAAGCACTGCTGCATCCGGGGCCGCGGCTGCGTCAAATCGCTCGGCGCGACAGCAAAGATCTTGGGTCCCGCCGCCGCGATGGCGTGATCGACGACCTGCTTGGCGCGCGCCTCGGGGCCCGCGCGCCAGAAGGCCTCGGGCAGGCCCTCCCCGGCGTTGACCGCGGCAAGCGGCATCTGCACTGACGTCGGCAGAATGGTCTGCTGCAGCGGCATCGGCAGCGTCGTGCTGCCAGGAGGGGCGGCGGCGAGCTGCGGCACAAAGGGCGTTGTCGGCGCGCCGGCCGTGGAGCGTGCGAGCGCCGGGTCGTTTGTGCGGTGGTCAATGCTCGTGTTGAGCTCGTCCGTGCCGCCGTGCGCGGTAGGCGGCGCGCGGGAAGCGGCGGCAGCGCCGTCCTCGGCCGAGCGCAGGAGCGAGCCCTTGCCGCCGAGCGCGCTGGAGCCCCACGCCCCACCCGCGGCAGGAGCCTCGCCGCCGACCCCCTGTGGCGCGATCGGCACGGTGGGGAGGATGCTGTTGCCGACGGAGAGCATCGGCTCCTTGGCCACTTGGTGCAGCGCCATCGCGAGCTGCGTGCTGATGTCGCCGTCGAGCGTCTCGCTGACCGCAACCTCCGTCGGCAGCCGCCGCCGGTCCTGCGGGTGCTGCCGCAGGTAGTCGTCTACGTGCTTGTTGATCCAGCGCGAGAGCAGCGCCTCGGGCGGGACCTGCCCCGGCTTCTCGCCGTCCGCGAGCAGCGCCGCCAGATGCGGCTGCGTCATCACGTTGATCTTGGAGAGCAGCCCGTGCTTGATGATGTTGTACGCCTGCTGCAGCGCCACCTGCTTGTGCTGCGGCGCGTAGAGCAGCTGTGTCTCGTGGATCATCGGCACCGCCGCGCCGACCGAGGCGGCGGCGTTGACGAGCAGAGTGTGGTTCTCGAGCTGCGCCTCGGGCGAGAGGTCGCTGCCGTCGAGCGGCGCGGTGTTGAGCGCGCGCAGGTCGAGGGCGTCGGGGTCGGAGGTGGCGAGCAGGCTGCCGAGCAGCTCGCCGTCGGCCACCTTGTGCAGCACGTCGTTGCCCAGCGGATTCATCGGCCCGCCAGAGAGCACTGGCGCGTCGCGCAGCACGTTGTTGATGTGGCTGACCATGTCGGCCTGCTCCTGCGGGTCGAAGGCCTCCTGCGGATCCACCTCTGCCGACCCGGGCGGCGTGACGAAGCGCGGATCAGGAGGCTCGACGATGGTCCCATCGGCGTGGATGCCGCGCTCGAGGTCCTCGCCAAACGGGTCCGGAATGGCTGCGTTCTCCGTCCCCATCGAAGCCACCGGCGTGGGCTTGGCGGGCAGGATGCGGCGCATGGCAAACGCGGCCATGCCAAGGAAGGGGAGGAGGAGCAGCGGCAGCAGGCCCAGCGCGGCGGCGCCGACGACAGGCGGGACGATGAAGGCCAGCGGAGGGGGCGGGATGCACGGGTCCGTCGAGTTCGTCGAGTTGGTCGAGTTGTCGCCCGGCTCGCAGTAGCTCTCCCCGGGGGCGAGCGGTGGGAACGGCGGCTGAGGAGGGTACGGTGGCGGCGATGGAGGCGGCGTTGGAGGCGGCGGCGGCGGCGGTGGCGAAGGCGGTGGCGGAGAGGGTGGTAGCGGCGGCGTCGAAGGCGGCGGCGGCGGCGGTGGAGACGGCGGCGGTGAGGGCGGCGGCGGTGAGGGCAGCGGCGGCGTCGGCGGCGGCGGCGGCGGCGGCGGCGACGGCGACGCGGAGGGCGGCGGCGGCGGCGGCGGCGGCGGCGGCGGCGGCGGCGGCGTGGGCGGCGGCGGTGTGGGCGGCGGTGGAGATGGTGGCGGCGGAGATGGCGGGCTCGGCGGGGCCAACGGAGAGAGCCTTGTGCAGAGGTCGTTCTCCTCAAACTTGGCGATGATGTCTTGGATGGTGCTGCCAAAGATGCTGTTCCCCGACGTTGCAATGGCCTCCAGCGTTTCGTTGCTCACCCCTCCGAAGCCAACTGCGAAAAGGGTGAGGTCTGGGTCTTGCGCCTTAATCAGCTCCGCCTGCCGTATCGCCTCGGACTTTCTGTAAGTTCCGCCTGCCGCAGCTCCGCCAGTTCCGCACATTGAGGGGCCGGCTTCATATTGCCAGGGGTCGTTGCCAAAATCCCAATCCTTGTAACAAGAGATGTCGTTTGCGTCACAAGCGGGGTTACGGCTGCAGGTCTGCTCTCCATCGGTCAGGAGTAGCATGACCTTCGTGACACTTGAACGGCCAGTATCGAGCAGCTGCTTTCCCATGAGGAGCCCGTTGGAAATGAAGGTCCATCCCTCGTCGCCGGTTCTGTAGTCTTCAATGGCAGTCGTGAGGTCGCCAGTGTTGAAGGTGAGGTCGCTGAGCTTGGTCGTGTCGGAAGCAAATTGTACCAGCCCCACGTTAGCGACTGTCTCGGCGACATCCAAGGAGTCCACAACTTTCTGCGCAAACGTCGCCACATCGCCCCGGCTGTTTTTTATGCTGCCGCTGGCATCCAGAATGATCACCAGATCGCCGACCAAGCGGCACTGGGCAGTCACCGCTGGGAGCAATGCCAGAGAGGAGGCAAGCAGCAGCAAAGTTGAGGCGTCAGCGCTCATGGCAGTAAAGCGGACACCGAAGTGAAGAGCCGCCGGTCCCGGCTTCAATGAAATTGCGTCAACACGCGAGCGGCACGGTGAAAAGATTTTTCGGGGGGTACCAAGATGGACTGCTGACAGGGTCTTCCAGGCGAAAATCCCAGGGTGGTGGTCGTTCTCCCATCTCTGCTTTGCGTTGTTTGCTTTGACCTTTGTGTCTTTCTTTCCTCCACCCCGAACGAACCAACCAAGCAAGTGAGAGAGAGAGATTTTTTGCAATGCAATCGGACGAGGCGTACCCCGAGGGCCCCACTCTTTCCTTCGCATAGCGGCCACTCTTCGGATCGCTGGTCGAGCGACCCGGGGGATGCCCCGCGCGAAAACGAATCTGCGAGGCGTGTGGCCGCTCATGCGGCCCGATGGGGAGGAGCGGGGCGGACTATGGGGATCGGCTTCTTACACAGCCCTTCCTTGCAGCGAGCCCCCTCCAACCCACCCGCGCTAGGTCCCGGGGGACGCAGGGGTCAGCCCCGCGCGACCTCGGGAACTAGCCGGGGCAGTCGGAGAAGGGGCAACTCCGTGCACTGACGGTCGGCCGTCAGAAAACACGCCTCCGTGGCTCGGGTTACACCAATCCTCGCTACCCAACGCGGCCAAAGGATATCCACCTCGAGAACCTCGAGCAATGCAATACCAATCCAATCTAACGCTCACACAGCATTTGGGCACTTGAAGCCCTGTTCACGCGCGCGCGAGACGTGCAGACAGGGTTGCCAGGCGTGAGAGCGAATGGCGCGGTTCACGCCTCGCACGACAGAGAGAGAGAGATGCGCTCTGCATGGTGGGACATAAAAGAGAGCGAGTACTTGGGCGAGTAGGCCGTGCGGTCGACGCTGCCGCGCGCAACTTTGCGCGCGAGGCGGCGCAGCTTGAGAACAGCGGTGGGCGAGAAGCCGCCGCCGAACGTCTCGTGGAGCAGCAGGTTGAAGTTGTTGCGCTTGACAAAGATCGCGTCGTCGTAGAATTTTACAACAAAAGGCGGTCGCACGACACGATTCGTAGAAACCCAAACCGCAATGTGCGCCTTGACGTAGCCGTGGCCGTTCTTGTGGTCGTGGGAGAAGGGTTGGCCTGGCTGCCCGCGCGCCTTGCAGCCCATCTTTAGGCGGCGGGCCTTCTCCTCGGTGCTGCCGAAAAGGCGTAGGACTAGGAGTGACGTGACTCTGTTCACTGTTGTCGATAGGATAAAAGAGTGTGTATACGGTACAAGAGGTATGTTGTCCTTGTGGGGTTGGCAACGGACGTTTTCTTATTTTCAGCCGCTTTTTGTTGGCAGCCGCTAGTACCACTGGGTCGCGTACAGACACCTTTTAAGATATGACATCACGGTACGCTCTCGAGAAATGTGTACATTTCTCGAGACTCCCCTCCGCGCGCACTGCACGAGACCTGCAACAGCAAAAGGAACCCGCGTCGCGAGCAAAAGCGACGTCGAAACACTGGTGGGCTCGCGCCCGGGTGCGCGCGAGCCCACCCCTCTCTCGCCGCCGCACAGCATGTCGCGCCGCGCCGCCCGGTGGTTGCCGAGACAGGAGGCTCTAAACCCTCTGGCCGCGCGCAGCGCACTACTCGTCTTTGACTTCCGATGGCGATTTGAGGACCATCGTGTCGACTGCGTGGACGGTCCCGCCCTGCCCATCCATCTCCGCCCAGATGGCCTTGAAGACCATCTGCTGCCGCGCGAGGGACCGCTTGCCCTACGAGAGATAGGCTCTAGCTCCGGTCACAGCAGCTCGGGCCTCTTTCTAGTACCCGGAGAGGGATTGGCGCCGCGCCTCAAACTTTGGCGACACGCACTCGATCGTGATGTGCGAGCCGTTCGGGTCGTCGTACGCGCCCATGACCTTGACGCTGGTCGGCTCGAGCGCCGCCTCGAGTGCTGCGGTGCAGCGGTCGACCACCTGATGACGGGTGCAGCCGTCAGCGCTCGCCAGTTGGGCGGAAATCGACTGCGGGGCAGGCTCGCCGTCGGATCGTTGATACCAGACTGCATCCGGACGCCGAGGGATCGCCAGCCCACTGCGGCAACCGGGCTGAGCGAAGGCAGCGCTCGCGAGGTGCGTGCCGCCCGGACGGTGAACGGCAGCGCAGACGCCATACGAATTGTTGCCGCGCGCGGAGTCGCAGAGGTGCGAACCAGGGAGCTGAATGTGCCGACGACGCCCAGCAGCATTGGCAAGAGCGCCGCAAGAAGAATTCATTCCGGGGCGGAGTTACTTTTAAAGGCCCACTCCAAGCCCCCTTTCGAGTCGACAGCGAAAGTGGTACCACTTTGTCGCCGCAGCCTCCTGAGCACCCCCACGCCGGTTGTGGCTGCTCTCCGCCCACCAGCCGGCCACAGGCCGCCACCCTCGCCGGTCGGCGTCGAGAGAACGGCCAGACTCGACCGACCGGGTGTCGCGCCGCTGCCTCTTCTCGCGCCGCTGTAGCAGCGCCAGCGGCTCGGCCGCGCATCCTTCACACACGCCGCCACGACCAAGCTGAGCGGGCCCGGTGTCGAGGTCTGGTGCGAGCTGCATGCGAGGGGCGGCTGTGTCCACAGCAGGTCGACCAGACGGACCTCAAAGCTTGCCGTCGGCGTGCTGTCGTGGCGAGAGCGCGAGACCGCTGCAGAGGAGCCGAGTGAAGTGGCGAGCCAGCGGCTACCAGGGCCACCAAGTGGTAGCCCTTGCCCATTCTGATCAGGGCTGTGCTTTGGTGGGGTTGTGTTTGAGCATGTGTGAAGTGGGAGTGCGTGCCGGCGGTGTCTGTGGGTGCAACGGGCGTGAGTGAGGCCGTTTTGCCACCAAAATGTTCCTGACGGGAGTTCCGTTTAGCTACATACACTGAGATACTTTCTTTTCTCCCAGTAAGCTAAAAGTTGACTTGCCAACAACAAACCTATGTAAAAAGTAGTTACGTACACTGAAAATACAAGAAAAGTATGAGCCCGACCCATTACAAACTGCTCGCCGATCCGTCCCTCTTTCTCGCCCCTCACTGCGCGATGGGCGTTTGTCTCGAGGGGATGCTTGTACTTGTGCTACTGCGCCTCTGCACGCTCGACGCTCTTTCGAAGCCGTTCTTTCTGCTCAGCACTCTCTTTGCCGCTCACATTCTGCCGGTCGACTATGGCTTTCCCGCGCGAAAGGCCGGGGCGCCTATCAACGACATTATCATCGTCGCGATATGGGGGACAGCTGTCGTTGGCGCATTCGCCCTCCTGTCCTCGCGATCAGCAGATGAGGGTATGCGATCGGGTGGACAGGCGTGGTTGCGCGGGGCGTGGGTGACGATGGGCATCCTCATCAACACTGCTCCGTTGGGCGAATGGGCCACCATCGCTATGGGCTTCGAGATCGCGCGAGAGCACAACGGCGTGTGGGTCTCCCCTGACGGCGATCGTCCGCTCCCAGAGTCGGGTCGAGACCTCTACGCCCGAATGGAGTGCCCCGCAATCGGCTGGGTCTTTACGCTCGGGCTGCTCGCGTTGGCAGCATACACACTCGGTGAGATGCTCTTCTGCTGGGTCGTGCAGCAACTGGAGAGGCAGAAGACTAGTGTGAGCGACAATGTCAAGGTGGTTCACGTGGACTTGGGTGCTGACGGGAAGTTCGACCTCGACGGCGACGGCGTCGTGGAGGCGGGGGAGCTTGCTGCCTTCTATGGCAGACTGAGACTCTGTGTGCGTATTGGATGTCTCAACAAGAGCGGCCCTGCGCTCTGGCAGGTCTTGCGCCTCCGGTGCTCACAGCTGCCACCCTCCCACACGTGCTCACACCTCTCACACACCCTGCCGCGCAGCTGGCACGCAAGCCCTTTCCCCGTTCCGGCACCGTCGTCCCGGAGCGCTACCTCGAGGCCACCGGCGAGTGCTTCATCCTCATGCTGCTGGTCTCGTGGATTCTCACCTACCTCTTCAACCCGGACGTGATTGAAAACAACCCGCTCAAGAGCCGCGTCGGGTACAACAACATGTGTGTCGGCTTCGACACGCCGCCGGCTCGGTACGCCGCCATGCCGCTGCAGGTGCTGCAAGCCTTCCTTGCCGGGCGCTATGTCGGTCTCGACACAACGCGTGCGTCGCTCGAGAAGAGGACCGGGCGCATCAGCCGCAAGCAGTATTGGTTCTCACGGGTCGCCAACACGGCTTATGGAGTCTTCATGCTATGCTTCCCCGTGCTGCTGGTGCTGACGCCGAGGGTGAACACCAAAGCGTGAGCGCGCACACCACCCGCGAGCCGCCTCCCCCTCCCCCTCCACCTGATCCACCTGTCGCCGTGCAGGCACACGTACCTCTTCTTCGCGATGATCGTCTTTTCCTTCGTCGTGATCGCGGCCAACTTTGCCGAGAGCCAGAAGGTGGCGCTCGCGAGCAAGATCTGGATGGGCCTGTTCACGGCGCATACTGTCCTCTTGCCCGTGTTTGGAATCGTCGACTTCTCGGCGTACGACGAGTGGGAGGTGGCCGGCTGCCGGTCGGGCGGAGACGAGTGCTACGAGTGGGCCGAGGTTGAGCTCGAGACGGCCTACGGGCCGTTGGTGGTAAACACTACCAGAGGCACAGCGCAGGAGCCACCGGTGCCTTGGTACGTGCTGTGGTACCTCGACTGGGGCTGGTTCGCTTTGCTGGGGCTCGCCGTCGTGTTTCTTCCCGACTCACCGCCGCTAATTGTGACACTTGCAGTCACCTGCGCGTGGCCGGCCGCTGCTCTCCCCTTTTGACCGTCCTCTGCCCGGACCCTGTCCACACGCAGGTCAAGTGGAAGCTCGACGAGGAGACAGAGGGCGAGCAAGTTGACATCGCAACGCCCGCCAAGTTGCAAGCTGCCGTGGCCACGACCGATAATGTAAAGACGGGGAGCGGTGGGCCCAGCCGCGAGGAGGGGGTGGACAGCATTCCTCCTCCACCTCCCCCGCCGCCGCCGCCACCGCCTCCTGCCGCACCTCCCCTAGTCGCGGGTCCTCCATCAACAACGGAGGAGGACTACTCGCTGTGGGAGGCGGCACGAGACTCTGCGGCCGCCTTAGCCGCAGCTCTGACCGGTGAGCCGTCGTCAGCACCAGACACGCGTCGCGGAGGTGCCTCTTCATCGATGCTCTGAAGCGTGAAAAAGACTGCGAACGGTCTCTCTCAGGGACAGGGTATCTCACGCGTTCTGACGCGCGCGACCCTGTGGGCAAGAGTGGAAAGAGCGAGAGAGTGCTTTTGATCCTCGCTCGCAAATACGGGGTACCTTACGCGCGGCCGCGGCCCCGGCGCCGTGGGAAAACACAGCTGCGACCTCGCCGACGTCTATCGCGCTCTAGACTACCCCAAGATCCGGATGGCTCTTACCTGGCTCTTACGCCACTTCGCCGTGTGTGCTGTGAGAGGTCGCACGAAAAGCGCGCCGTCCGCCGACGATGTGCGCGATGGCCTCGACAGTATCCTCGGCGAGCGCCGATCGCAAAAATGGGGCTCTCCTCACCGCGCTCATCTGGTCTCGCGCCGCTCCGGCCTCGCCGCGCGCCCGGGCCGCGGCCCCGCGCCCGCGGCGGCGCGGAATACCGGAAACCCCTCTACTCGAACTCGTGAAGGAAGACTGAACGGAAGTCGGAACCTTCCAAGCAACGGCTCTTCCTTGTACTGGAGAGCGGCTGGAGCGTGTGAACGGTTGTCTAGAAGAGGTGATGCTCTCGCCCACAATCCCACAAACAGCCACTAGACTACAGACGAACTTAACACATGTGTCAAGTGTTATATATTGAATATTCGCGCCGGACGGGGGTGACGATTTCGCAACTCGCCCCGGCTTCGCGAGGCCCACTCCTAGTGTGGCACACCGCAAGCGCCCCGCGAGGGCGTAATCGAGCACACCAGCTCAGGTGGATTTGCACGCCGCAGACGGTGCCCGGCGCCACGGAAGAGAGAGCCAGCGGCGGCGGCGCTGGTGGCCGCCCCCGCCCTCCTTGCGGCGCGCGCGAGCAGCGCGGCGGTGCTTGCGCACGTAGTCGTTGCACGTCTTCTGGCGCCTGCCGACCGAAGAGCTCGGGGGGTGAGAGGGCCGGCGACGGCAGGCCCGCCGCCGCCGCTGTGCGCACGCACAGCAGGATGAAGGTGCCGGTCAGCGTCGCGGAGAAGGCCTTTGCGCCGATGGCGGCGGAGGGCTGCGAGAGGACCATCGCCGCGCAGCAGAGGCCGGCCGCCGCGTTGGAGCAGGTCATCGACGAGGCGTAGGCCCACAGCACGTAGCGGCTGTGCGGGTAGAGGCAGTAGAGGTTTAGGAGCGCGGACCCTACGAGAGACGGGGGCGGAGGGGGGGGCGCCTCCCGTCAGAGCCCTTCCGTCAGAGCCGCGTCTCCGTCGAGCAAGGTCTCGAGGGCGGCTGGCCGTCTGGGCGGCGCACCGAACTCGAACGCGACGGCGCCTGCTGAGAAGTACGGCCAGCCGGCGGGGCAGACGACAAAGGCAAACATGAGCCCGGCGAGGCAGCCTGCGGGGTGGGGAGGGAGGGGGGGGAGGAGAGGGCGGAGGGCAGTGAGGGGCGCCGCGGCGGGGGAGGGAGGTCGCTGCGGACGCGCCGATGTGGTGGAGGAGCAGCATCGGGCCGAGCCGGAAGACGATGAGGTCCTCCACCATGTAGCCTGAGGCCGGCAGGGCAGGAGAGGGTGCAGGCGACCGCCCCGGTCTGCATCTGTGTGGCGACTCATGCGTCGCACCGCCAAAGACGTAGAAGAAGCACCAGTCCCAGAAGCGCTGCCCGTTGGCGGTGAACCAGGTGGACGAAGCTGTGTCGACCCACCCCGAGATTGAGTAGTTGGCACACGCGAGCGAGAGCAAAAAGATCGCGGGCAGGACCATGATCTGCGTCCACATATGCGAGGCGCAGAGGTAGAGAGGCAGCCCGAATTCGTCGGTCGACGTCCACGAGGGATTCTTCCTGCACAGCTTACGGACGAGGGCGCTGCTCACCAGCCATGCCACTCCCACAAGCCAAGCAGCCCCGAGCGGCACAACCACCAACTCCCAGCCATCGCTGAGGCTGCTGTCGGTCGGTACGGGAGAGGGCGGCAGCTTTAGCCGCGGCGCAAGGGCCGCCGGAACACGCATCTCCCACCACGTCGTGAGCATCGTAGCCAGCGGCGCCGCGTGTTGGGGTGCCCGACGCAGCGCGTGGGGTCGCCGTGGAGGCCGACGGTGTTACGACTTTTTTTCTTTTTCCGGTCCGGGGGGGCCTCTTTTCTTCCCGATCATCCCACAATCGCTGTCGTGGGATCGCTTGTCAGGGAGAAAGCCAGTGTGGCTTGCCCGCCAAAAGAAAGCCAATTTTTGACTTGGGCCCTCGGGCGGCCTTCTCTCGAGGTCTCGAGATACACAAAGCGGCCAACAGCGTGGCTGCCACACACCCGTGAGTTTCATTTCTCTTTTCTTGCTGGTGAGGTTGTCTGCTGTGAGAGAGGCGTCCTTGAGCTCGCGCAAGGGACGCGACGCCATCTCCATGCTGCGGAGCGCGCGTCCGATTCGGCTGGCTCAGGCCGCCACCTCGCGGCGGATCTTCTGGGGCCGCGGCAGCTCGGATCCGCCGCGGCCGCTCGCACCGCCAGAAACGGTCGACGCGTGGATGGCCGACTCCACACTCATCGACCCGGGCCTGCCCGTCTGGCGGCGCGCAGAGCTGTGGCTGACGCTGCGCATGCTTCACGGGCTTGACCTTGAGGACTTCCTTCGCGGTGCGTCCGGCGCCTACCCCGTCGTGCTGCGGGCGATGTATAATCGCGACTGGCCAGTGCTCGAGCCGCTGGTCTCGGAGCAGTGCCTCGACGCGATGCAGGCGACCATGGAGGACATGGCGCGGAATGCCCAGCGGGTGGACCTGGCCGGCGACGAGTCCGACTTTCAGATGATCTCGTGCCGCCTGAGCCGCGCCCAGATCCTGCAGAGCGACAGCGAGACGCCGGCAGGCTCGTGCTTGCTACACGTGAGCTACGAGGTGCAGGAGCGGTACACCATCCTCGATTGCCACTCGGAGCAGCCGCTGCCGCCCTTTGACGGAAGCGCGAGGGAGCAGAAGTCGACCTGGGTGTTTTCGGGCGTGGTCACGCCACCCACCGGCGAGGAAGCCTCGGGCAAAGGCGAGGGCGAGGACGGCGGCGGAGGCGGAGGGGCGCGGGATGAGGTGGAGCATGGGTGGCGGCTGCACTCTGTGGTGTGATGCGCCGGGCGCGGAGAGTGTTTTTGGTCCCCAAATCCCTCGGTCCTCCCTCCTTCACTTTTGTCCTTGGTGCTTGGAGCACTTGGACACTGGTCACTGCGCCGGGGCCGGGGGGGGGGCGGCGGTTTGGCCCAACGCATCCGCGGCCCAAGCCCCCAACCCGGTCCGCCGGTCCTCACTTTTCTCTTTTGACTTCTCGCGGGGCCCCTCATTTTTTCTACCTTCCTCTACGAACAAAAGCCTCTGTCCAACGGTCCGTTCACAGCCTTGTTATTGAGAAGAAAATACGTCCTAATGGCGCTGTGCGCTGGTCTGTGAGAGGTTGAGGTGCGAGCGAGCCCTGGAGGCCCTGGGGATGGGGGGAAACTACCCGCGGGCCTAGAAGGCCCGAGCGCAGGGGGGTGTTCACAGAGAAAAAGAAAAATTGTGCGCGGAAAAATCCAGTAAACCACCCTCTCTCTGCCTCGCTCCGACCCGACCATGCTTCTCGCTCCTGCCATGCTTCTGCCACTCGTTCTTTCCCTGACAGCATGGGCGCCGTATCGTAGCGCGCTGCCGAAGCTGGTGTCCGGGAGGCAGGCTGTGGCGGCCAGAGCGGCCGCGGCTGTTGCCGCCGACGCCGACACCGTGGACGCCGAGGCGGATGCCTTCTTTCGTAGCATCGACGAGAATTGTGACGGGCTCATATCCTTCGAGGAGCTCTCCAACCACCTCGGCAGCTTGGGGTATGCGACGGGCGCTATCGAGCATGTGGTTGACATGCTCGACCTAAATCGCGACGGTGCCCTCTCCGTTAAACACCCGGTGAGATGATGGCACGGAGATGAGATTTCACACTGCGTTGCGCCACAGGCGAAATCTCGCCCGAGGAGCTGCGCGAGAGCTTCAGGCGGTACGACGATCCCGCGCTGCGTGCCGCCCTGGGACTGAGCCTGTCTGCTGCGGATGCCGTCTTTGATGCGCTCGACGCAAACGGCGACGGCGCGATCTCCAGGTCGGAGCTGGCCGCATACCTGAAGGGCAACGGCTACGGCGACCCCAAGTACCGCTGCACGGCCGACGCAATCTGGCAGATGCTCGATATCAACGCAGACGGCGCGGTCTCTCGATCCGAGCTGCGGAGCGGCTATCTCACCTACTCGGCGCTGCGAACGGCGCTCGGCATGGGGAACAGGTGATACTAGGCTCGAGATGGAGAGTCAAGGTGAGTGGAGATGCGTGTGTGGATGGTGGTTGGTGACGAGTTGTGGTACAGGGAGATGCGGTTGTATGTCGCCATGTACATCACACGAGTGTTCTTCTCTCAACCCGCGTCTATAACTACTCTCTATATAGAGATTAGTCATTAGACTTTAGAGGGAGTACACACGGCGACGGGGCCGTTTCACTAGAGTATCTCTCGCTCATTCCCCAGTTCCCCACTACCCTTCTCCCCTTTCCCCCTGCCCGCGCCCCGGTCCGGGGTAGAAGAGACTCTGAAAAGGGTGAAGAGAGAGTACGGGCTACGGCTCTCTACACACACCTTTCCTAATATAAGAGAGAAGAACGTACAGTATGTTAGCGCTGCACCTGCATTTTGGGCACATGCAACCCATGGTCCATGCTGAGACGCGTCCCTATAGCACCTATGTTTCCTAGCACCGCTCTGCCTAGTGAAGAATGAGGTCCCGGTTGGAGTGCCGGGCCTTCTTCGCTTTGTTGCGGCGGCGGAATGCTCTTTGAACGCGGGCGAGCGACTCCTCCGTCGTCAGACGCGACTCCCCGCTGCGCGGCGTGATGGAGCTCCAAATGGCGGAAGCAGTACTGGGAATCGCTCCCACTGATGTGGTCCTGGGCAGTTTGACCTCCGTCTTTGACGACTTCCGGCCAGACGCAGAGCCTGCAAAGTCGCCCCACGCAAGTGGCTGCGCCGCCGCTCGAGCAAAGTCCACCACGGCGCTCGCAGTAGCAACCGTGTCCGCGTCGTCCTCGTCCATGGACAGCTGCTCGCCAGCGGGGCCCTCTCCAGTGCACACTGCCTGCAGGATGGACATGAGCCGCATATTGAAGTCGTCCTGAAAGGTTGCGCACGGCAGGTCGTTGGGCGGGTAGAGGAAGGGCTCCTCCATGTCGCGCGCCACCTCGTTGAGCCCAAAGTAGGAGAGGATCGTGACGAAGGAGAGGGCTGGGCCGAGGATCATTGAGCAGACCCACATCGAGTAAGGGAACGCCCCCTCGATCTTAGCCAGCTGGTCGATCTCCGAAGTCCCCCATTCGTCTTCAAAGTGCCCGACTTTGGCAACGGTCACGAGAGGGACAATCGGAATAAGCAGCAAAAGCATCGTTGCCACCATTTGCGCGTACGGGAAGGGGAAGGGGGTGTCCTCCACCTTGCGCGCCTGCGCAAAGGCCACCATCCCCTCCGAAAGCGCCTGGTACACACGGGAAAAGACAGGCGGGTCGACGGCGAGGCCGCCGTTGAAGCGGCGCTCCGTGAGCATGCGGCAGAGGCGGGCGTGGACGAGGCCAACACGATCAGGCGCGATGCGCAGCCTGCGCGCCTCGGTTGCAGAAACACCTCCGAAGACGGACAGCGGCGAGAAGGCAAATTTCGCTCCCGAGGGATGTTTCCGTTCCTTGGAACGGAGATCGGTGGCTGCCGTCGCCTCGGCACTGCCCTCGTCGTCCTTCTCGTCGGCGGCGGATGCATAAGCGTTTGCACCATGCTTGCTTCCACCGTGCTTACTTCCATCTTCTGACGACGTCTTGGCTGCTTTTGCAGCTCGGCTTGCAACCTCAGCAAAGCGATGTCTAGGACTGGTGCCCTTGGCGCTGTCACCTTCGACAGGCCTCGGTGGCACCCGCAAGCGCGCCGTGATGTTGGTCTGAGTCTTCGCAGAATTGATCTGCTCCTGCTTGGCGGCCCTTGCGGCTTGGACCAAGCCCGGATTGCGCCTGGCGCGCCCGCCGCCGCGCATTCGGAGTGCGTCAGAGCCCACCTGCTCCGCCTCCATCGGGACGAGGTTCTTCAGCTCATAGTCGCGACGAAGCGACTGGAGCGCAAGCGCGTGCAGCAGCGAGCACCTGTGGAGAAGCAGCGCCTGGAACCGGCGACGCGCTGCCACCTTGGATGCAATCTCTGGTGGAGGCAAATTCGCCGCAAATGTCGCGACGCGCGACCAGCCTGCATGCCCTGGACGAGATGACGCCTACCGAGACACTCGAATGGGTCCCGTCCGAGGAGAGAGCAAGGTTTGGGGAGGTCTGGGTTGGACGCCACAGGCGAGGAGTTGGGCCAGGGCGGCGCGCCGATTCAGGGGACGGGACCTGCTGCGGATGATGCTGCTGGGCCAACGCCACGTCCGCAGCAGCCCTCATTTCTACGCCATCCTTGGAAGCAGCGCGATCAATCTTAGCCAACGCACGGACCTCGTTTCCACGGTGGTCAAAGGCCATGCACATCGAGACAACGTCCCCCCAACGAGAAGCCATTTTTGCGACGGCATCGCGCCTGGGCATAGAGTTCATCCCTCACAAACAACACCAGAGGCGAAAGTCCGAGGGCAGAGGTGATGGCATCTAGGTGCGCGCGTGTCCCAGAAGCGCATGTACGCAATGTTGGTGCGGAATGTCAGCGCAAACGCCGCGACGTAGCAGTAGATCTGGAATGGATACGGGTGCATGATCAGCCGGTCCATCATCGAGTCCGAGGTGTAAACCTACAGAGGGAAAAGGCATGTATCAAGTTCAGATTGCGCCGATTGCAGTGGCCGGGGAGCGGTGTGGGCGTGTAGCGTACCTCGATGAAAACAGCAATGAGAGCGGAGATGATTGCCGGCACTACAGCTCGAGGCAGGGCTGAGCCGACGCAATGGCACAGAATGGCCAAGAAAGCCTTGCGATAGAAGATCATCACAGACAGAAGATCGTCGCGCGCGCGGCCTGTGTTTTTTACGGTCCGCCGATCGAATAATTGACTCGTCTTGTAGTGAACAGGCCGAGTTTGCGGTTTGAGCGCTTAGCGCAGACCGACCGACCGCAGGGGGGGTCCGGTCGGCGGCCGCGGAAGACCGCAGACCGGGGGGGGGGGGTCAGGTCGGTCGGAGCGCAGACACCGGGGGGTTGGTCGGGTTGGTTGGCTCGAGGGTCACACCGCACACGCTCGCCGCAGCTGTGAACTGTGAATAAACTAGGGGGGGGGGTACAAAATGACGCTCGGATCAGCATCTGGATCGATTGCCATTCGCTGCCGCTTGGACGACTCGGAAGCCGATGAGCCCGGGTGACGGCGGCGGCGATGTGTCGATCAAGCCTGGCAAGTCATCGTAGTCATCGGAAGGGACGATGCGCGCGTCCTGTGGAGAACTGGAGCGCTGCCAGAGCTTCTACAAAGCTGGTACAAAGCGACGGCAAGCAGGATAAGGCGCTGCGTGGATGCTCCACATATGTGTGTGGAGTCGGGCTCGCTCGGGCCTCGGCGAAGAAGTCTCCTTGGCGCTTGGCTGCGTGACTAGTTTTCATAGTGAAAACCGGCGATTTCGAAGCGCCCGTGGCGGTTCGCGAGAAGGAGGGAGAGCGTTTGAGGGGGGTCACGGCAAGAAAGGACACACCGACCGAGGGCGAGGGGGGGGGGTCGGTCGCGTCTCACCAGACACCACCTCGTCCGCCCCGTCGGCCGCGGTCCCCCGCCGCCGAGAGCCCGAGAGAGAGCGACCGACCCGGGAGGGGGGTCCGGTCCACACCTCGGGGGCAGACCACCGACCGGCGGGGGGGGGGGGGGGGGGGCCAACCCTTTTTAACTCTGGGCCTGGGGGGCCCCCCCCCCCCCCCCTTAGGGGGGCCGGCCCCCTTGACTGAAAAAAAAAAAAAGTTTTAAAAAAGCCCAAATTATCCTTCCAGAAAGGGACTTCCCCCCCCTTACCCCCTTGGGGGGGGGTGGCCCCCCCCCAAAAATTGTT